TTTTTTTTCTTTCTGAATATTCTGTAAGCCAGACAGTTTAATCTTAAACATGTTTTGATAACACGAGAGGTTATGCTATCTTCCTGATTGCCAACGGTGCTTTTGCATTGATGTATTTTTTTATAATAGTGATCTCACAATAGAATTCGAACATTTCAGATTAAGCACAAAGTTCATTTCATACAATCCTAAAAATTTAAGGGTTCTCTAGATATTTTCAAGTATTTATGTAAAATTGAATTGTTATATTTTACGATGCTGTCATATGCTTTTTTGACTTTTTGCTAGATTTTTCAGTTGTATTTGAAATCCCTCATTGTATAGATCGTGGCTCACGCGTTTCGTCAAGAACGCAAATCGAGTCTTTGATAATTAAACAACTCTTGCACAAGCGAAACATTTGTTAAAACCTGGATTTGCTGTGTTTAGATTAAACAAAAACCTTCACCTAAAACAGAAGAGAGAAATGTTGCCGTCAGCTGTCTCTGGCAAGGGTATTCGTTCTACTTTTATGAATAAAAAACATCGTCCTTTTAAGCAAGCCCCATTACTTTAATAACTTAAAAGCATTCTGTAAATTTAGACACCCCGCTAAGTAACCAACAGGATCCGCGAAATCGGGGCTTTATTTATACACTTGCATGATAGAGTATGCCTAAAAACTGGATCTCTGCCCCCTCCATCTTTAAGTTGTTACAAGGCCGAATATTATGAAATAAACCTCTACCTGATAACTTGAAGTCACCTTCGGTTAATATCCCACATATTGAATGTAGGCTTAGGGTATTCTTATAATACCTTATAACTTTTATTATACTTACTTTTACATATTCATCATTTGTATATTGGATCTGTAGATTTTACCAGTTTCACGTTGTTACTGAAACGTGTCACGTTTCTAAACACAGAAAATGTAACGGAAATTTAAACAAAATAAAAGGTCAACAAATGAAAGAAAACAAAACATATTTCATTCCAGATATCATGAAAGACATCATTCGTAATTGTGAATTTATGACGTGCGAAAGGAACGATATTATAATCCGGCAAGGTGACACGGGTGACAGGTGACACTTTTTAATTTTAAGAAATTTAATCTAAAATTTAATGTATTCAAATACATTTTATATGCATTTAGAGATTTTTTCACTAGAATTTCAGCCAGTATTTCGTATTTGAGAGTTTGAGAGTAAGTGAGATTAAAAAAACTACAAATAAGTGAGTTTTGTTAACTTTTTTAATTTGAATATTAAAAGATGTTTATTTGAATAATCTATTTATTCTTTTTCACGGAATAGGTTCTACATTATTCTCAGTGGACAAACTTCAATTTATCTCAATAATAAATCAGACGATGATAATAACGAAGTGGTGGAGGTTGACCAACAAGACGAAGCAGAGCCGACATTACCCAAGCCGCTAGACAGGGGTGCCTTGGGGATATTTATCACCACATTAGGTGAGTTGAAGAGTCGCCGCTGAACCGCAACTATGATTATGTAAACTGACCTTTTAAATGAAAAAGAAACTAATGTAACTTATTTAGGTCATATTTTGAATATTGACACGTTTTTTGTGGTTTAAAATGAATTTTTTTCAGATGAAGGTAAAAGTTTTGGTGAAGTAGCCCTGATTACTGAGGATTGTGTCCGTACCGCCACCGTTATAGCTGACACCAAGACAGATTTACTGGTCGTCAGCAGAGAACTCTTCAATCGCTGTCTGAGAGCCGCACAGGAACAAGAGTTTAACGCCAAGATGGCCTTTGTTAATAACTGTGAATATTTCTGTAGCTGGCAACCAAAATACAAACGGCAGCTTGCTATGAGTCTTATTAGACAATTTGTGGCTTTTGATGAAAAACTAATGAAGCAAGGAGAGCCAGTCAAGGGGATCTACTTCATTATCAGGTACATGTATCTAGGTCTTATAACAGGAATCGCTGGCCGGTTTTTGCAGAAAGGTATTTAATCAAAGAAGGGGGTTATTTTGCAATGAAAATTCACCGCTGAATACAAATATTCTAATCAGAGTTTTCAGTGTTTAACTTTCCACCGCGTAGTGAAGTGTAGACTAGCCTAGACTGACTGTTACTGTATCTCCCCAGAGGCCAGGTCAAGTTGACCATGGAGCCGTGGGCTCACTGGACACAAAACTCCACCGTGTGGCGGGCAGACTGCAGCTTCTGGACGCGGCTGGTACCACCAGAACTAGGAAGGTAAGATGATCTTAAATCACCTTTACCTCTCTCAGTGACCCGGTTAAAAACTCCTGAGAAAGCACAACGTTCCTCCACGCATGTGCAGTTCTTTGATGCAGCCAAAATGCCAATCAGAAACAACTGTTTTATAACATTACTGTACAGAGGTGAAGACTTTTAAGAGGCTAATACAGGCAATATACTAAGGACTTCCACATCATAACTAAGCTTTCAACAAATATTAAACTTCTTCGGCTTCTTCTTTTATCTGAGCGACAGGACAAAATTGACGTAAATCTACGTAGCAGTTACTTGAGCATTTGAAAATGTCATTTTCATATAATTTCATCTGTCATGTGTCCGTTCTCCAAAGAGATCACTAGCTTTGATTTTCACTCGCAAATCAATAGTGCGTGTTAAGTTTCAGACGCAAGACCACGATTTAAGTGAAAACTCGTGTAGCTTAGTGAGTCCCAAAAATGAAGCTAAGAGAAAGCAACTTAGTCTACATTGAAAGTCGATGTACTGTTAATAAACTGATATGGCTGATATATATTTCACTCGAGATTAAGACTAAAAACAAAAAAATGTGTAACAGCTAATGGGGAATTGGCGGATGAGTAACCTTTTCCACCTCGTCAATTGCCCGCCCAGGTTGTTTTTAAGGTTTATGATATTTTTATGCGTCTCTTTTTTTTTTTTTTTTTTTTTTTTTACAGAGATCGAAGCGGTAGAAGTGCGTGTAATACGTGACATTGATTTTTATAAACGTACAAAATGGATGCTTCTGCTAAAAAATGACATTTAGAATTTTGCAGGCATGAAATCAGAAACAAAATCATCTTGAGTCATGTAAGAATTTTAGGGAAAATATCACGTTTGGGTTTCAGGTCTCTAGATGGCAGTCGAAATCGGAGCTCGGACAATGGGGACAATGGACTCACCAAGAGAGAGAGTTCTAGAAAACTAAGACGGCCTTCGCGACGATCTGTCGATGTTTGTGTGTGTGCTCCGATAGAGGCAGTGGGTACGATACCTGAACAGTGCTTTTTATTTACATTCACAAAGCATAACTACAGAAGCATTGCGTTAAGTTTTAATACGATCTTTGATAAGGGGGTGTTTATTTCCAGACACTTGGATGCCTCGGCACTATCAAGCAAATATGTACCAAGTTTTCGCATTCCAATAATCATATCTTAGCATTTTTCTCGACAATTTTATCAATAATGTTTTGTCACATGCCTTGACCTTCAGATGGTAAAACATTAGATGAAACTTTCCAGACTGCATGTTCTATTGCAAAGTTAATGTTCATAATTACATGTCATGCATTTTTTCCTTCCGTTTTTAGGAGACGTAGAAGTTTCACTGGATACTCCGAGTTATTTGCAAACAGCCGTTGCCATTGAACCATGCGAGACTTTTTTGCTTACGCTGAGAACTTTTGAAAGACTGATTAATAGAAAATATGCCAAGACAGCCGATATGATCAGAATGCAGTCTCTGGATAAAATTGAAAGAAGAATGCGTCGCTTTGAGAAGGACGACACCCCTCAGTTCCTGCAATGTTTACGACTGAAATTGCATACTCTAAATTCACGTTCAGTTTTCAAAAACAATCCATGTTTCAGAGATGCACATTCTTCCAGACTTTCTTCAATTTCACATGATATAAAACGACCGCAGCGGAGCCGAAGATCATTTTTGCACGACGCTTCTCACAAAAGTCGACATCCACAAGTTTCCCTTGGTGCAGGACAGACCATCAACCCTAATAGTATAAGATCTAGAAATAAACTTATCGCGAATGGAACTGGAGCTAACGGATTAGTGCAGCTGTGTAAGAAATCCAACAGACTTTACTCAAAAGGTGGCAGCACGTACGAAGGTTCTTTTAGAGACACTGGGTCGAACGGAATTCTTAGATTCTCGGTTTACTCAGATTTGGAAAGGTTGAATTACTGTTCACACGATCAAACGTTGCAGTATCACAATATAGAGACTAGGCCGCCTTTTTATGACTGGCAGACAAGCGACGCGGCCCTGAGCGTTCTGGAGATGAAATTGAAAACATGGCACGCCGAAATAGAAAGTAAAGATAGGAAACCAAAAAGGGTGTTTCGTCTTCGTAGGTTTTCTGCTGATGTAAGTTTTATTGCCCGAAACTCACCCACCTCATTCAATCTCACTCCTCTTTCGAATAAAAATGTATGCGTTGACAACGCAATTTTGTTTCCACTAAGAATAAATGTGTTAGATGATATGTTCAATAATGCCTAGCCGAATATAAAACCCATGATTTTATTTTATTTATTAGGGTAATGCACCGCCGTTTCCTGGCCAAAAAGTTTTCGTATCTTGTTTTCCAAAGGACGGGAAAAGTGAACGAAAAATAGAGAATGATGATGTTTTTGGTTTCTTTGACGAGAGCGAGGGAGACAGCCCAACTATACAGCCTACAGACGGATTCTTGTAAGCACGTTATTAATTAATGAGAAACATTCGATAGATCTACAACAATTTATTCATATCTATTTCTCCTAATCTGTACAGCAGTAAAGGCCTTAAAAACAATATAAAATACCAAATACCACATACCATTTTTCTGTGCTTGTATACATCCTAATTACTGGTATTATTACGAAGTTTAGTCATCTTTTTCACATTTCATCTCAGGAATATCGTAGGATAATTCCAAGGCGATCACAACATTAGTGATATATGATATTCACGTTACAGATAAAACAACATGTGATTATAACACAATTTTTGCTGTTTATTTCAGTGAAAGCACACCCTCTGATTATGTAGCTTTGAAAAGTAAGCAATTTTACATGTGCTTTTGTTCATTGATGTAGAGTAAAACAACTGTTCGCTTGTTAAACTTCAAGTACGCATATTCAGTTACAGTCACAGTTGATAAGAGTGAAAGCTTATAACAACATACCCTCTACCAGGGCTACGGATTGATTTTTCACAGATATTCACAGATATGTCTCTAGATAAATAGACAGTCATTTGACTGGATTTTTTCCGTTTTTCCCTATATAATCTGCCACACTGGTAGAGGCTTGTTCATGGCACATTTTTCCACTGCGTTGAAAAAAAGTGCACATTCAAGTGTAAAATTTATGACGTTCCCCTGTTTGCCAGGCGGTATCAACAGTCCCAATTCAAACCGGCGGTCCCCGGCAGAGGGCGGTAGGAGGGAAACCATGATTGAGATATTACAAGAAGACAAGGTATGCCATATAACACACGGGGGGAGGGGGGATAGGGGCAGGGGGATATAGGGGCGGGGGGTGGGGCAGACTTTAATTGTCAATACAATTCGGCGGTCCTAGGCAGAAGGTGGGAGGAGGTAGATATACCACATAATACACGGTGGGGGGGGGGGGGGGGGGGGCTATTTATCTTTTTATTATTATTCATTAAACCTTTATTTTGAGGGTTAATAAAAAATATCTTTCCCATAAGTAGGCTTGTTAGACAACTAAACGACCGACAATGTTCACCAGGAAACCATGAAATGAACCTGATATGTCTTTCTCTTGATAATTAACTGTTTAGGTCATGATCATCCAGTGTATGAAAATCGTAACTCTGTTTTATAAAAGGAAGACAAATGAAAGAAGTCTCAGATTTATTGATGCAGTTTACTTTTTATCATAACTTACTTTTCTTTTGTCTAAACATGATATTTTCATCATTTGTAAAAAACACCACTTAAGGAAGGTGCCATGCAGTGAATAGCAACTTCTGTAAATCAATTCAGTTGATTCTTGAAACCTCTAATAATGTGTTTCACGCTACATAGATTATGAAATATGGCACACTGTGATAGTTCTTCACACTAACTTTTATTTATACCGTTAAGATTCCTCCGAGAGCGAACTATACCAAGAGAGATTTCGAGAGGCTACAGACACTTCTAAAGTCGAAGCAATGAAGTAAGTTTTATCCGCGTGCATGCCCATAAAGAATTCGAAAAAAATCGTAAGTTTGCTATTTTTAAAGCAATCAAACTGAAGACACCCCTATACTGGAGAGGGGTGCCTGTGAAGTTTGATTGTACCCGTCACAAGTGGGATCTCTAAATAGACGATAATTTCGCACTGATCAAATAAGGCGGATCTCGTGTTACATGTAGTCTTTCATGTAAAAGTGTTTGATTATACCCGCAGACCCCCGTACTCACTTATCAACGTGTTCTTTGGATGGTGAACCTTTCTCTGTGGTAGGCAGATCTTCTGTTATTGCATCCCTGAATTTTAGATTAGATATAAAAAATGTTATCAAAGGCATCGTGGGGACAAAGTTAATCTGATGTCTTTATTAGAGCTTGAATTTTTTCATATCTAGTTGCAGGTCCCCAACCCTTAAAAAATACTAATGGTTCATGTAGCAAAAATAGATCAGTGTTTTATTACTTTTCAGGCAAATCCCAGTTCAATATAGACGTCGCAGGTGAAGAAGGCTTTCTGCTCATCTACTAGCTACCACCATGAACTATTACACTTGTTTTCCTCTAAAGAAACAAATATTAAAAGTAATGGAAATACAGACGGAGGACACTTAACACTTGTTTTTCTCAAGAGAAACAAATTGACTAGGAATGAAAATACGAAATACGAAAAAAGACAAGCTTATTTTGAAGTATTTTCAATTGTAACTTAAGTAGAATTGATTGAAATATAATTGTGTAATGAAGTTTTATTAAGCACAAGCGTCTTGAGTAGTTTTTTTTTTTTTTTTTTGGCTCACACCTTTGAGGGTTATAGTTTACGACATTTGCGCCGTGCATCAGTGAAAATGACATTCGGCACGTCACAAACGTTTAAAAGATTCACAAATAAAACTTCTTGTGGGGTTATTGAAGTATTGAGAGAAATGTTAAAAGGTGTTTGCTTGTGAATACACAAAGTAGTATCTCGCTTTATGTCATCTTGCGTGCGTGTTCTGATTTGTGCGATAACTAGCAAAGACTTGTAACCAAATCCCTGAAGGTGATATCGCCTAAGGGCGATGAAGTAAAATACACCTGAAAGCACATTGCCCTCAAGCGACCGTGAAAACAATGGATATCTTCTCAACTTCAAATGCTGTCATTGGCTTCCTTTATGCTTAAATACTCCGAAAATAGTACACGTGATATTATCAATCGCTCTTCTCAGTCCTATATACACAAATTAAGTCTAATCCTGGATATTTATCCTATGTACTTATCACCGAGATGTGCGACCGGGAGTAGAATCTCATTTCCTTGCGTGTCTATTGCATTTCACAAAAAACGATCTTTTCTGGTAGATTTGTATCCAATAACTTCTCCCCACCACCCCACACAAGTGGCGGCCAGTGGATTATTGGTGGCTTCATAATGTTTGGAATTTATTGCAATATCTCCGTGCCTGGCCGTAGATATCAAAGGCGTCAAGTCTGGTAAGTTGAACCAAAACGTCACTGTGACAAAGGCTAAATCACTCAAGTAGTCACAAAGCCCCTCTCTACAACAGGGCATTATCGCAAAGGGGGAGCATAAAATGTGCAAATATTAGTTTACGGAAACGGGGGGAAAGTGAGCCTTTAAATTATTTATGTGAACAGTTCGTCATTCTGTTGTCGCAGTGAGAATGCCTCGTTTTCAAAGTAGTATTATCTCTCCTGAGGCTAGGACTGCCGAGGTGACAGGGTAACATAAGCGTGTATTAAATGGAAACGCTTACTTAAAGTATCACAGCCATTAAGTTGCTACGTGAACGCAGTGCGCCATGCTCCCAGGGGGAGGGATATTTCAGTTAAGCGCAAAGGTCGGTTAAAATTATGGGCTTCGTAGTGCGCGCTGACATCACGGCACGTCAGTCGCGTGTTTCTACCGTCTGCAACAAGACGACCACACTGTGAGACGCTGAGACGCTCAGGATGAGGCTGCAGATAGTAAGTTTCTTACTCAACGTTATTTCCACGGTGGGGGTATATTTGATCTATGATGACTTTTCTTCAATTTTGATTGTCACAAGAAAAATGTAATGTGAAAGATGGTTGAAATGTGACAAGAGAAAAGAGCAGTGGAAACTTTTAGAAAAAGTAACGTGTTTTTTAAGATCATGGTTTTTGTTCTACTGTTAGGAAGGTTGCATACGGTGCAGTTCACTTAAAAGAAGCAGATGGACCTGCTTTATAAAGTTAAAAAAGTTGAAAGAAAAGGATAAACAAAGTTTACCAAATTTTGTTTCATTAGAATGAACCTAGATCAACCTAAAGCCTGTTTTCTGCCTCAAAAAACGTTCAATGTGTCAGTGTTGAAGGTTATGTAAATAGCAGTTGGAACACTGACAATCAGTGCACTGAGGCATAGGTCTACTCGTGAAATGTCTTCAAATTTTTTGAAGCTTTAGAAATTAAATCGGATCTTGCGCATGATGTACGGTGTCGTAAGGGTTCATATTGAACAAAGAATGTTCTGCTGACAGGCGCGTGTATTAACGTATGAGAAAACGCACCGCGGTGTTTGTGAACACATGCCCAAATGTTACGGGTCTGTTGACGCTAATATCAGCAATAACAACGCACTTTTTTTTCAAAAAACAAGTTGCGTTTGTGATTTTAAAATTACAACTGTAAGTTGGTTTCTCCTTCACTTCAGTTCCCCTATTATCACTTCTAGGTCTAAATCTCTGAGCGTCTTGATAAGACTTAACCGTCACACCTCGCGGGAAAGTCAACACCGTGTCAACGTACAAATAATTATTGTTAATAAATTCACTGGCAAAATAGTCGAAGAGAGAGCAGTTTTAAAATGCTCTAGGCACTGATTTTTCTTCTTTTACTTAAGAGGAGCAAAGAAATATGTCGTTAAATTGAAGCAGGCCCAGTAAAAAACATGATTTTTCAATTATGACAGTCCTATCCAAAAGAACGGTTTTATAATGTCTCAAATTTTTCGGATTCAATTTAAAGAAATAGCTGACTTCATTGTTCCGCGTACGTCTGACATTTTCCGAATTTGATTTTTTATACGATAAAGACCTATTTTTTTAATTTCTCTAGAATTCCAGTACAATTTTAAAGATTGTATCATAATGGGCCTGTGTGGTGTATTTAGTACAGTGTATTCATTATATAATGCTGGCATTGCACTCACACAGTATATTTATGAGAGAGAGAGAGAGAGAGAGAGAGAGAGAGAGAGAGAGAGAGAGAATTGGAAGGAAGACAGAGCTATTTTAAAAGGATGTAATATAAAAGCTACATTTTCTGGTAAGCAATTATACTACTTTAAGGTAATACCTTTACATTCTATTTTTTCTTCTCTTTTTTTTTCTATTATAATTTTTTGGGGAAGGGGGGGCAGACTATGCAGAAACCATGGCTAGGTTGGACACCTCAATAAGCAATTTTTTTCAATTGCCTTTATAATTTTACATAACTTATCCATCGAAAATGTCCCCCCTTGCAGCAGCAGTTCTCCGAGGTAGAGGAGTAGTGGCAGAGAGATGGCACTAATGTACCGCAAGGTGCTCTCCGTGATTACACAACCGCCAAGCTCCAGGTCGGACTCCATGATAGAACAGCTATTCCCCTGGTTCCAGAAAAAATCGGAGTTGTTCAAATCTCTACAGCGAGGTAAGCTGGGGGTTGGTCGGTGTCATTGATAGGATGTGCTTTGATATTGATAGTTATTTGATTTGTTGGATCTTGTTTTTGTGAGATTTTTGGAGAGTGAATAGCAGGGTCGGATTCAACCATCCGAGACGACGACCTTATGAGGAAAATTAAGGAGGAATTCTGTCAACTGATTCGCAAAGGCGACTTTTAAGAAAAGTTGACAAGTTTCCGCAGTACGCGGACGACCGACTGAATCGCGAAACAGTAGTCGCAGTGTAACAGAATAACATTACTGATTTTAAGCAGATTGCATGCGTGATTCAAAACGTTCAAAAATGCATATAAAAATGCTAATAATGCATTCACCCAAATTTTCCGGATTCGATTTAAATAGGTATTTTGCTTTTCCCGTATCGATATACAAAAAACGTACCACGCTGACGGCAGCAGCCTCTAAAGGCACGAGAATGAACAGTTAAATAGCATTTGTAAGCAATATTTACAGTAACAGAGGGGGAGATTGTGTATGTTTTCTTTCAGGACAACGCTACAGTAAAAAACCAAAAGCATTTCAGTAAAGAATTTGCAATCAAAGTAATCCAACATGGAATCGGCTTGAAAAGTTTAGGTAACATGGGGCAGAGGTCACATGGCAGTAGTAACTGGTTTTGTCTACGGGAGAGCGGAGGAAGTAGTGACAAGAAGAAAACGTAAATATTGCGCAAAATGGCGCTTAATGGTTTACTCTCTGTCAACAAGTTACTTGTATTTTGATAAACAGCGAGTACAAAAGCAATCACAGCCGCAAGCTGGCCAAGATGGAAGCTTCTAGTAGGCCTAAGGTTATCAGATCCCATCCAAAAACGTGACATTTTTCTGTTTTGTAATTTAAAACCGCATGTAGCAAATACATGGAAAGTAATATAACAGGACTTAAATAAATTATTTTATACGGCGGCGTTCTTTGGCATTTCTTTTCTCATTTTTCTTTCTCATCACCTTGCACTCCGATCATTTCTGTTCCGGAATCACAAATCTTGCGCATTAAAATGCAACAAGAGTTAATACGTTGACAGGACATTGATTGAGCGAGATGTCAGCAAGCCATCTATATCTGTATCCACCTCCCTCTAGCATTCAAGATACAGGATGATTATCATATCAAAATACACTCTGATATTATTTACCGACCATTCTGCTACGAAACATAATCATTGTCCACTCTGAGAAGATTGATGCGTTCTTTTCTTGCAGACGTCATGAAGGATATCATTCGGAATTGTGAATTTATTACCTGTCACAGGGATGATGTTATTATTCAGCAGTCCGACACAGGGAACAGGTACGACCATATCCCTCACAGAAACAATTCTCAACAACAACAACAACAATTGTTCGAATGATAATAATAATAATAATTATAAAAATATTGATAATAATAATAATAATAAATATAGCAGTAGTAGACGTTGTAATAGAAACAGTATTAATGAAAATGCAGTTGGCAAATAATGCGTATATATTGTCTTCTTTTCTGACCTAAATGTTCGGATGGGGGTCATGTTTTTTTGAAATTCAAGACAACAATTGATGTGGATAAAAGAAGCTTAAAAAGGACGGAGAACGAAACGCCACATGTCCCATCTGCAACTTCAAAAGTCGGTAACTTCAGTCAACCGTGGTAACAACTGTACGGTCATCTAACAATATTTACATGTTTTTTACACTCAACAGTTAGTTGGCTTTCCTGTTATTTCCATTAGATTCTACATCATACTGGGAGGTCAAATTTCCATTTACATAAATAACAAAATTGAAGAAGATGAAGCAAGTGGCTCGGTAGAAAGCGGTAGGCTGAGGAAGAAGACGGCAGCCGAGGTACCGGGATACAAAGCTATAGATAGAAGTGTGTATGGAGCATTCGTGACCACGCTGGGTGAGTTCTGGTTTTGGACCAGTTTGTAAAAAAATATGTTCCAAATTCAAATCAGGAGAGAAGGCGCTTTCTTTATTTCAAATTACTAAAAAGGGAATCTAATTAAACACCAACACTTTTCTTTTGAATTTTGATTTTACATCTGTACAACACAAACATACTGTATATATAGCTGCCGGACTATATTCTTATGAAAGTACAAAATGATACTAAATCTAGAATCGTGAAATCTTTACAGGTGAAGGTAAAAGTTTTGGTGAAGTAGCCCTGATTACCGAGGACTGCGTCCGTACCGCCACCGTTATAGCTGACACCAAGACAGATTTACTGGTCGTCAGCAGAGAACTCTTCAATCGCTGTCTGAGAGCTGCACAGGAACAAGAGTTTAATGCTAAAATGGCCTTTGCTAACACATGCGAATACTTCTGTAACTGGCGGCCGAAATATAAGAAACAAGTCGCCATGAGCCTCATCCGACGCAAGGCGGCTTTTGATGAGAAGATTGTGAAACAGGGAAGCTCAGTAGAGGGGATCTTTTTTGTCATCAAGTACACGTTTTTTTTAAATTTACTTTCTCTTTCAAAGAGTCTCTCTCTGTATATAAATGACAAATATACACCGTAAATTTTCCTGTTAAATACAACGTTTGTCGAAATTGTTTGTTCATGGCAAATTTGTTTCGACAAACTGTATCCTATAGTAAATATTTTCACATGCCTGTATTAATGTGGTATCACCCGCAAAAAAACGCAGTAGATACTCCAGCGCAGTAGACTACTGCAATCATACTGCAAACATGCTTCAAATCTGCTTCGATTTGGGAGCTAATTAGCATATTTGAAACATGCTTCTAATATGCTGCTAATCTACTGCATTAATGCTCCTCTGTACAAACCTATGTACTTTTTGGAGTAGAATTGCAGTAGGCTATGCTGCATTTCTACTGCAAATATGCTGCACACCACTACTGCGTTAATGCTTCTTTGCTACTTCGATACTACTGCATTTTCGTGCGGGCATTGTGTAAAGTCCTTTAAGAACGCTGTACCATCCTGTGGGATAATTTCACAGAATTCATTTTATTTTCCAAGGGGTCAAGTCAAGATTACCATGGACCCGTCGTCACATTGGCGCCAAAACTCGGCCGTCTGGCAGGTCGATAGCTGCTTCTGGACAAAGGTCATGCGGCCGGATTTCAGGAGGTACATACTGACGAAACTCGCGTTTTTTGTTGGCCTCGCAACCTTCCCAACACGAAGAAACGTGTTGGAAATGGTGTTATTTTGTACATAAAAATGTGTCTCTTTGCGCCGCTTGTATTTTTCTCAATTTACCTCGTTGTACCTAAGCCTCTTGCTATTGGGAACAATACCTGTATTAATGCGTAAATGTGTTTTGCGTTTATGTTTCTTTTTATGATGTTAAAATCGATAATGCACTATATCTGCTTTTTTATTTGAAATATATAATGTGACCAATGACAATATTAATATTTAGGTCTGTGACGCGACCTACAATGATAACATAATCATCAGCAAAGTGTAAATAAGGATTATTTTAATTCCTTTTCTAGCAAACTGTGTGGCATGGAATCTGCGAAGGTGGAAGAACAGGAACGCTCACGTAGAGACGTAGAAGTTTGCATAGCAGCTCCATTAGAAGCAATAGGTAAAAGATAATTCGCAAAGAAAATATTACTCGTTTTATGTCATATTATACAAGTATACAGTCCGTTTACACGAATATCACACTAACAAAAGCCACAGAAATTATTTTCCAAACCGTTGGTTTTTGTGACGAACGGATTACTGCAACATTTCTTATTGGTACATGAATAGAATGATATTTTCGTATTTAGACGTGCAAGTGACTGTTAGTCAAGGGCAATCTGTCAAACAATTTATCTCTATTTTTCAGGAGAAGTAGAGGTTTCTCTTGATATTCCTACCTATCTACAGACAGCCACTGCCATAGAACCTTGTGAGTTGCTTTTGCTCACCAAAAGAGCATATGATCGCCTGGTTCTGAAAAAGTACACGAAGACAGCGGACGCTTTGATCGCACAATCAAGAAATAAGATAGGAAGACGTCTGGAAAGGTTTTCTAAAAACGATAACCCATACTTTCTGCGCTGTCTTTGGCTGAAATTGCACATTGACGATCAAAAATCCCCGCAGGATGGGTCCTCTACCTCTGAAAGCAAACTTTCATTCATCAATACTACGAAGGAACTAGGTGCTAAAGCTTCTGGCGCTTCTTTCTCGATTGGAAAAACACAGGCAGATCATTGGCAGACATTTTCTCCAGCTAAGCAGCAAGCCTCACAAAGTGCAATATGGACGACTTTCAACAAGAAGATGGGAGGAGAAGGCCGGGGAGCGACTGGCCTGACCTCTATATGTGAGGAGGCAAAGTACAGTAGAAGAGAACAAACAAAGATTACTAGAAGGAAGCCATTGTCAGGCCAGAGAGAGGCATTGAAACGGACGGAAACGTTGGCGACTATTTTACCAATTAATGAGAAAGCAAAATTAGAAGGAGCGGCGAATGAAAAAGTTGGTGCTAATTTTCAACCAGCGTCCCCTCTTTCACCGAAGGAAGAGATGGTGCGGTCGGCTACAGTGACAGGACTGAGTGAACTGGATAGATGGATATATAGTCCACGAGGTGAGGAGAAGCAGACAAAGTATAAAGAGGAGTGTACGGACTGGGAGACCAGTGACGAGGCCCTGAGTATGCTAGAGTCGAGGTTGAAGACGTGGCTCAGTGAACTGGAAAGCACAGACAAGAAACCAAAGCGCGTTTTCCGCTTGCGTCGGTTTTCTTCAGACGTAAGTTTTTTTCTCGTTATCCGATTGTTTATTTCCTTGAGTGTACAGGCTGAGTGTTGTTAATAAGCTGTTATTCGAAAGTAAAATACTTTGACATTAGGCTAATGTTGCTGCTATACTGAGTGACAGAGGGAGGGACAAAGACCGCGAATAAACTATTGTCATTTAGGCCTATTGGCGTTGTTCTGGTGTATGTTAATTACCTTTTTCGCTCTGTTGTCTGCATCATAGAAGTTGCATGTGGGTATTGATAACTATTGCTTTTTTTATAATTTCTTCATAAGAACGCCGCCCCTCCCCTGCCTGGACAGAAGGTGATCATGTCACCCAGACGAAACAAAAGTGACACGGAGTGGACGGTGGGATCAGACGAGGACGACGACAAAACGCTGGCCTATAGCGACTCTCCTGTGGAGTCCATGTGAGTCTTTAGGTGTGACTGTGCCGGTAGATAAACATATTAATTTGATAAGACAGTGGATAGTAGACATAGCATTTAAGGGAGAATAATTTGGCATAATTCTGCAAAATTGTTAATGTCATTATATTCAAAGTCCAGATCAATTTCCTTCAGAAAGCCCTGCTCCCCCCACCCTCTATCCCCCCCCCCCCCCCTCCATCAGTAAGAAAGTCACTATCATCAGTGGTTCCCATTATAGGGAGGATTATAGTTTACTTCGATATAAACCAAGAAGAGCTTCCAGATTATCCATGTCGTCGGATGGCGCAGGTAAGGCGATCATGTGTAGAGGATGGTTTCAGTCCTCGGCTCAAAAAACGTAAAGAAAGTTTCAGTAAAACTTGTTATAAATAAACAAAACTCACACAGGTACACAAGTACAGTAGGCTAGTCTTAGTATCATATACGTTCATCCAAAGTAACTATATTCTCAGCATTATTTCATCAAATATTTCTGTCAACTGTAGATGGAAGTGATGCCTATTAAGGAACGCCCGAGTGACCTAAGAAGATAACCAGCGCCAAGTAGACCTAACTGAAGAAAGAAGAACGCCGAATACAGCTTGGCCGTCTTCACCAGTTCGCGCCATCAGAGGGTGAACATAATACAGCAAAACTTACGGAAGATGTGGTTCGACGGTTTCAGACCCATTCTATATATATAATTATTTTATATATACTTCTTCGGGTGTTTTTTCAACTTAAAAGTTGTCCGATACCAAAAGGCAGCTCAAATACAAAGTTTACATATATTTTAACTGAATAAAAACTGTAAAGAAAACGACTTGTTTGTTTGTTGGAAAACATATTTAGGGACAAAGAGTATCGAGGCCCAAATCTCAATGTATTAAAGCGATTTTTTGCGGAAAAAAATTCTGTAAACGATTTTTGATCTGTTTATTCCTTACCTTGATCATTGCACATTGAATACAAACAAATTTTGTGGAACTTTGTTTTGTGTTTCATGGTCGAACGGTCTTTTGTAATCTCGAACTCGACGAGCAGTTCGAATTGTTTGACCATGAATACTCATTGTACCCACGGATAATTAAAGGGATAGCAGCTCTCGTATGATATCTATATTTCACAATAAAAACATTGTAAACAACTCATGGAAATATAATATATTCTGTTTTACCACAAAAACGGCAGTTATAGCAATTATTCTGATATCTGAGCTTGTCATTGGACCACGTGACCTCCATAGATGGCTATACTCTGTAATAATCTCTTAAGAGATTATTACAAAAAACAAACTTTTTAGAAAAAAACAAACAAACAAAAAATAAAAAAACAGGGACTAACTTTGAATGTAGAAATGGATTCATTAACTAATGGTTAGTATAGGAAAATTGTTGTTTACCCCAGGAAAATTAATTTTTGGGCCAAAATGAACAGTTGTTATCCCTTTAAATTAAAAACGCTGTAACTTTCAGTATACCAGTTAATTTAACTATGGGAAATAACGGACCTACTTAGGCGGTTTCTAAGGACAGTAGTGGCGTTTAAAGCGAACGTTTTGTTTAGTCTCTTGGTGTCGCCGAGTACATGTACCTCGTGAGCGGTTGGGAAGTTCACCAGTTTGTCGGCGGAGAGCATTACGCAAGAGGTGCTGGGCGAGTTTTGATAAAATTTTCAGGATAGGCCAGAAATGGACAAAAGAAAGAGTTGATATGGCTTTGGTGATGAACCATTAATTAATTATTAATCTTGGCGGAAGTTGCGCTCTCCGGTTTTCTAGTCGGAAATGCCTCATTCGTTTTCCTGTGAAATCAACGGCGACATAAAGGACCGCCTACTAACACTGTCAGTTTACCGTAAACCGCAGGTAAATGTACTGTCAGCTTACTGTGCATATTGTGGCCCTATCAATAAGAACAACAAAAGAATGCCACACCCTTTTATTTCTAAAAGACCGCTCGTACCGCGATACTTCGTCAAAAGACAAGTCGGCCAGTGGAGTCCGTTTTGCTCCAACGGCGTGTTTTACCACAGGATGCGAACAGAAAAAGAACTTCGAAAAGAAAACGAGACTAGATATCTACAAGTTTATTCATAAAGATGATCATACAGCTTCTCAGCACACATACAATGACGGTATTACGTTTTTCTTTGTGTAATGAATGAACGTGACTGGTGACAACATACAACTACTGACATTACGACAAAAAACGGCGACAAAATCAAAAATCTACTTTAATGACGGGGTTCGTACTCACGAAGCACATAACTGATTACCTAATGTAACCAAGACTATAAAACTGATAAAGTCATTTACCCTTTACTCACACTGTGACTAAAACGCTACAAGTCTTTTAAAGTTACGATCATGAACCTGGAGTTCATTAAGATATCACTCTCAACTTTTTAGACTTCACCTAATATTGCATACATAACTGGGGGTTTGATACACTGCGCACTGGACGAAATATGAAAATGCATGAGTGAAGATAATCTTCTTTCCTGTAATTCGCTTACACAGCACAAAACAACTGCAACTTATATTCACATTCACTGTTCTGTCTAAAGTTCTGCAAAATGTCCAGCTGCAAGAGACACAATGCTTTATTTACAAACCATTGCCAGAGATTATTAAGATCACTATTTTACCTGTGAAGCGATCAAACATTTTTGCACACTAAACAGATTAAAAGAGACTCTTATTTACGCCTACAGATCAGGAACTGACTAGTTTTCAAGTACATGAAACAACCTCGTTCTATGTACAGCAGAAATATACATATAGATACAACTGGTGGAGCCGGGGGCTATGTACACAGCTAGGACAGCTGCTCAGTGTGGACCCACTTGAGTAAACCCAGTAAAAATGGTGATCTGGTATACCACATGTGGCATATTAGTGCCATTATCTTGTCAATGAAATCAATCAAGTATCCCACTGTGCTGTAGATTTCATCGTGTCTTTTAGTAAGGTGTGTTGTAGGAAGACAAGTGTAACAATTGGGAGTACATTTTCTGAACTGGCATCCACAGAAAAACTGTCAGCAGGGAAAATAATCACTGCATTAATTGCATTGTTATTGAAATTTAAGCAATTTAAAGCTACCTTTCAGAGGACCTATGTCAAATTCAACAAAGCCAGGCATATTTAACTATGATAATAGTAATAATATGTCTCTAAACTTTGAAGAAAATGCTGTCTGGGCTCTTTTCCATTTTACTTCTTTTTCTAACCACACAATTCCCATGACTTGAGATGTTATCCAAAAAAAAAAAATGTTTTTGAGATTAAAGAAATTACATCCACAAAAAAGACCAATCTTCCTCTGGGAGACCCTGCTACTGTACATAACAAATTAAAGTCCTGCAGCATCATAAAACAGCTCATTAATTTCACCAGTGTTTTTTTCCTGAATTAAATAAAAAAATGGTGCCCCTGTCTTCTAGACCCTCAGTATCTCCAGGCAGTTGTTGTAGCAGATGGCTATCCAGTCTGGCTGTGTAGATGACCACTGAATCTGGTTGATTTCCCCTGAGGAGGTGTACGCTAGGATGGGATCTTCTATGGCTCTCGGCATCTGCTGGATATCCCAGATTAGAGCTTGATGGTCATCAGCTGCAACCAGCAAAAGAACATGGTGAATGTAAAGGTTAATAAATATCTATACCCAATGTTTCAAAGCAATATGTCACTGACAACCTCAGGTACATCAGGTTCTTCTTAAACTCTTTTAAGATAAAAACAAAGCACTATACTAAGAACAAAAAACATTCTCACAATAGGTATTACTATATAGTTAAACCATTTAACACGTTACCTGCAGTGCATATATGACAACTTGAATGAGGTGCCCAGGCAATGCCGTTGACACAGGCTCGGTGATTGTTCAGTCTGGCCACTGGGGTGCATGGGACTCGGACATCAAGAATGATCACCTAGGAATAATGTTTTCCACAAATTCAAAATAATTTATCACTTTTGATGTTAATGCAGTCACAATTTTCTAAAAAAAAAATAATAATAACAATAATAAGGAAAAGGTAAATTCACATTTAAAAATCACTTTGTTGTTTTATTTCATTTTAGTTACTTTGGATATATTCAGCTTAAGAACTGATGATAAAATGAAGTTAAAGTCATATAATGGACAGTAGAACCAATCACATGTATACAATGATCATCACACCAGAGAGACCCATACCTCCATGGCATCCATGGCCATTGTAGCTAAGTAGTTAGGGTCCTGTTTGTTCCAGGCCAGCCTGAGGAGAGGGTGGTGCTGAGGATCCTCATAGATAATAGTGGAATGCTCCAGGTGACGGAGGTCAAACATTCGCACTGAGCCATCAGCACCTGGAATATAAATACACAGCCCAGGTTTAATGTAAGCTGTCTGAGAGGCTGTGAACACAATCAAGACTTTACTACTCTATTATTTATGGTGCTTAAAAACAGGTTAAAATGAATTACCATGCTTATCTGAGGGACAGCTGGCAAACATGCCCCTGCATCCCCCTGCCCTGCTAAATGTTGGTGTAGTGCTAGGACAACTTACCAACACTGGCAAACATGTCCCTGCCTCCCCCTGCCCTGCTAAATGCAATGTCATACACCTCCTTGTCATGCGCAATCAGCTGGGTCTTCACATGTCCTGTCACCAGATTGACCCTGCCTAATACCTGACCAGTCTGCAAAGACAAACACACACACAGGGACTGTCACTGCTACTAATGAAAACCACAAACTATTTCTTTATTGTCATCAGAACCATTAAACAACTGAATCAATCTACAGTCTTCCATGAAACCAACATGTCTCAATTCAAATTAAATTTATTAAAGAGCACTATCATGTTTCCCTTGAACAACATACCTCCAGCCCCCATATTGTGCATGTGGTGTCAATACTTGATGTGCCGAGGAGATTGGGGTCCACTTCATTCCAATCAAATGAGGTGAGAGGTGCACAGAAATCACTGTTTTTGTTCTGTAAAAGTAATATGCATCTTAATACTCTGTTATGTTAGTCATACAGTCATGTTTACATAGAGATAAGTTATTTAAATCTATTACTGGACTTATTATTACACAGCAAGACTGGGAATAGTTCATCTGTATTCTTAGTGGTTTTTGAGGGGGAGACAACAGTCTCATCTCTACAAATGTAAGTCCAGTACTTTTAAGTATTTAAGTATCTATTAAAATAGATTGAAAAACCAAATCATTATAATATGCACCTTATTTATCAAAACACTTCTACAGATCAAATAGCAAATAAAATTACCTAGCTGGAGATGAAAGTAACAAAAGGTCTTTTATATGATTTAAAATTATTTTAAATTCATCTCATTTTTTATTTATCCATTTACTTATTTATTTATAATTTCATTATTTATACCACACCAATGTTGTACAATGTTTATAATATTATCTATATGTATTTCCACATAACCACAGGGACTATCTCTCTTACTGTGAGCCGCCACTTACATTATTTAAGAGACATTCAAGCCGTGTTTCTGAATCACCAACTCTCCAAACTCGTAAGTAGTCGCCACTGGTAGCCAGCAGGTCTGGATACACCCCTTTCTGGAACATTACAAACATATATTTTATACAGCAACCTCAGACAAAATCAATCTCCACAATTACTTTGAACAGAATTCTACACAGACAGCAGACTCTAACTAAATATAACAGTGACACAGCAACTGTGATCTGAACACTTTTTTACAACAGATAGACAGCCCAAGCTTATATTTATCTAAACATTTTATAATCATTTTTTTCATTTTAATCCCAAAAGACGTGCACTTACTGTGTCAGGAATCCACATGATTTTTGTTGTAGGGTAAGGATGGTCAAATGTACTCCTGGCAACAAACTCGGAAGTTTCTTCATCAAGAGAGGCAATCTGGACCTAGAAATAAAGAAACAAAATTATGTTTGTTGCAAAAGCACTGAATACTGGTACACTAACCATTCAGATGACATAATTAATGCTGTCATGAAATGAGATTGAATAATGGTTGTTGACAGTTTACTTTGATTTCCAAGCCTAATTATTCAGCCTAGCTGTCTTTCCCTTTCTCTCTCTCTGGTTCTGCCAGCAATTTTTCCAGGATTTTTCAAGGATATTAAAATATTTTCCAGGAGTATGTTACACTAGACATTTATCATTTGTTTATCATCAAATAGGTAAAATCAAATATAACCAAGAATTTTTTGGGCACACCTAGTATTTATTACTTTTATGAATCAATATAAAAAGCCAGCTTGATGGAAAAGGCTGAGGCATTCCGATTGCATCAGTGCTTTGGGGAAACAGTGGACATGCTTTATTTTAATAACAAAAACAAGACGAGTAAAAACTATCCATTTTCAAGGATTTTTAGAGGAATTTTAAGACTTTTCCAGGAGTACAACAGAATCCCAGGATATTCCATGATTTAATCTTAATTCTACAGGGCTCGACATTAGCGCCTGTNATAGACAGCCCAAGCTTATATTTATTTAAACATTTTATAATCATTTTTTCATTTTAATCCCAAAAGACGTGCACTTACTGTGTCAGGAATCCACATGATTTTTGTTGTAGGGTAAGGATGGTCAAAAGTACTCCTGGCAACAAACTCGGAAGTTTCTTCATCAAGAGAGGCAATCTGGACCTAGAAATAAAGAAACAAAATTATGTTTGTTGCAAAAGCACTGAATACTGGTACACTAACCATTCAGATGACATAATTAATGCTGTCATGAAATGAGATTGAATAATGGTTGTTGACAGTTTACTTTGATTTCCAAGCCTAATTATTCAGCCTAGCTGTCTTTCCCTTTCTCTCTCTCTGGTTCTGCCAGCAATTTTTCCAGGATTTTTCAAGGATATTAAAATATTTTCCAGGAGTATGTTACACTAGACATTTATCATTTGTTTATCATCAAATAGGTAAAATAAAATATAACCAAGCATTTTTTGGGCACACCTAGTATTTATTACTTTTATGAATCAATATAAAAAGCCAGCTTGATGGAAAAGGCTGAGGCATTCAGATTGCATCAGTGCTTTGGGGAAACAGTGGACATGCTTTATTTTAATAACAAAAACAAGACTAGAGTAAAAACTATCCATTTTCAAGGATTTTTAGAGGAATTTTAAGACTTTTCCAGGAGTACAACAGAATCCCAGGATATTCCATGATTTAATCTTAATTCTAGGATATTCCAGATTTTGTGCGAACCCTCTCTCTCTTTCTCTCTCCCTCTGCAATATTCTTTTAAAATGCTGCCAGCCAGGTTCTCTATACTTCTTTTACTTCAGCATTTTTCACAAACTTTTGGTGTTACCCCATATCCATGGGCTGAGGGCCTCTGATAATGAGAATTTTTGACCCTATATTAATTGTATTATCAGATGTTCTACTGCTTTCAGTGTGTGACATAGTTATACTCCTCTACAAAGCAATGTGTACTGTGCCTTTTTGCTTTACTTCTCTACAAAGCAATGTGTACTGTACCTTGTTGTTATACTCCTCTACAAAGCTGCCCACAGCTAGCCTAAACCTCTTGTCTGGCCGCACGCTCCAGTTCATACTGTACAGAATCCAAGGAGCCTCGTACTTGTAGATCTCCTTTCTCTTGCCGGGGGGAGGGGGAGCGGTGCCCGAGGGGGGCAGTGCACTCATGGTGGATTTGGACAGGTGCTCCAGCGAGACCCTGCAATACAATTGGACATCACCATGATTTCTAACTGATTAAATGATAGAATGAAACAGTGAAAGGTGTGAACGATTTTGAAAGTTATCAGAATTGAAGCTCGCGTGGTTTAATAAAATGTGCACTTTTAGTTTAGTCAAATGCTTAACGGCACCAATGCTAACTGCATGTCTCCAATATGTAAATATGCACGGTGCAATTCGCTACAAGTGAAAGGGATCGCTGACTGCAGCAGAGCCTGCACCTCGCGCTTTGGCTGGGGTCTCAATGGAGAAACCAGGATGAGCAAAACTTCATTCATTCTACGTGCAAACTCACCAGCTGATTAATCTACCAATATTAACACTCCAGGTGAACACAAACCTTACCCAAGTTGCATGTGGCATCCGTATGATGCTCTGTTGGTTAAACACTTATATATTTACTTACCTTTGTTAGACCTTTTGAACAAAATGGAAGATGGCACTTTAGAAAGTCTCGTTGTGTAACGAGATTACAGCCGAAGTACCCGTTGACGTTATTCTGGCATTTAGGTTTTTCTTTATGCTTAATGCATTTTCTAACACATTTTAAATATCAATGAACCGTAATTTAAACATGTGGGAACAGTTTACATCTATACATTTCATCTCTATTTCATAAACGGTAGACAACCGAAAACAAAAAATCAGTATGTTTGGTTTATGGCAATCAGTCTGCGAGATGTAGCGAGAGCTTCAGCTTTCGCGGGAAAACAAAGACTTTAGCTGCTGAAATGAGCAAAAATTGAAATAATGGGTGCGTCTGAAGAAGAAAGCAAAGAGCTGGTTGTCGCACAAGGTCTTTTTAAAGATGTTAAATATTATACTGTGGCGAAAGTAGAGGAAAATGTAAGCATTTTTAATTTTAAATTCACTTCACTATTGTCGATTTTCTGACCGTACTGACGCTTGTTTGTCGCTTGAGACTCTGAACCATGAAATAAACCAGGGAATTGTTTATAAACATTATAGCCATCACGTGCAATTGCATTGTAGTTATTGCAAGAAATTTTAGACAAAAGCGAGAAAGGCACCCTTTGTTCATTTCATCTGCCACTTTATCCACATGTTTTGACCCGAAGTTACTAGCGTTTACATTACCAAGTATTTAAGAACTCTTGAAGTTTCACGGCTTTAGTTTGTAATTTTATTTTACACTTCCTTGCAATATTTACATCTACTTACATTTCTGCCAGTATATTTTTATTCGTTTATTTTCTACTCCTTCAGCAAAATGTGACAGATGTGAATCCTAGCACTGTTTGGGAAATGGGGGTCTAATTATGATTAAGATTGTTATACTAGTTAACCCTTCATGAAACAAAGAAGAAGATTATGATGAAATTAACATTCTTTTTGCAGGTGGAGAAGTACTTAAATGCAGGTGGAGCTAAGAAGGATGTCTACTTGAGTGAAATGGTGACCCATGTCATATGTGATGACCCTAGTAATGATGAGTATGGGGAGGCAAAGGAACTCTATGAACTCCCTGTGGTGTCTGTGAGTTATGTGCACTTGTAGCATTAATATGCCTGAAGTCATAGTCATCATGTTGTTTTAGGTATTTGACAAGTTTTTGGGAAAGAGATTTGACTTTTTCATAAAATACAATATAATTTCAAATTATTTTATAGGCAGGACTTCTATTAGCATGAAAGGTCATGCCTTAGCACTCCTACTGACAGTTTTGATATGTACTGGAGTGTTAACGCATGAATTTTTGTGCTAGACTTCTATTTGCATTCATTTTTTAAAATTGAAATTGAAGTATTTGCAATTTTTTTCTTTCAGAGTCTTTGGGTGGAGCTGTCTGTGAGAAGTGGGAAACAATTGCCGTATCCTTTCAAAAAAAAAAAAATTGCAGGAATAATAAAGATACTGCAGTTTTCTAAAAATGGCTTCTTGAATAATATTATTAAAATAATATATTCTTCCAGATTATGTTTATTTCTTTAATACTTCTTCAGCATAAATGCTTTTACTCCACAAGCAAGGGGCCTACTTAAAGGTGTAGTCATCTGTCCATCAAAGGTCAGTTAATTGAAGATACCAAATAATGTTATGAAGGATATTTGTTTATAAAGCTTGGTATGCTTATAATTTGTTGTTAACCTTTGATTCGTTAAGGTCCCTTTGTTTTTTTTTAAATTGATTATTTATTGTTATTGATGTCTTTCAGGTTTTGGATTATTGCTTTTGAGTTTTAAGCCTCACAACTACTTGGTTCAATTTGAAGGTTTAGTTATGATGTTGATACAAATGTGTAGTAAAAAGTATAATTCAAACTTGGTTAATAAATATACTAATGTAGAATTTGGACTTGTTTTACAGCTGAGTGCTCAGGATCTGAAGTCTCTTTGGGCCATGGTGACATTTTATGGAGGGAGCTGCAGCATGAACTTGGATAAGAAGTGCACACATCTTGTCACCAACAGGCCAGCCGGGGTAAGTGTGATAGTATGGTGGTAAAAAAACAAGATTTTCTGTCACATGTGACATTTTAGAAAATGCAAAAAATAAAGATAAAAAAGAATAAGAGTGAATTTGCAGCCACCTAATTTTTTAAAAACAGATGCTGTTTTTTATTATTGACTTTTTTATGTGATCAACGTTTTGTGTAATTCTAGGCCAAGTATGAGTGTGCATTGCGACACCAGGACACGGTGAAGATTGTCACCCCTGACTGGGTCGTAGAGTGCATTAAAGCCAAAGACAAGATGGAAGAGGAGCCCTTCCACCCAAGGCTGCTTATTCTGGAGGAGAAAAAAGAAGAAAAAGAAGAAGAAAAGGAGGAAACCATGGAAACATCAGACAATGTAGAAATAAAGAATGAACAATCAGAGGAAACCCAGCATGGGAGGATGGAGTCTGCACCAATGGGGCTACCCCAGGGGGTACCTCCCCACCAGCAACCACATCACTTAAGGGAGCACTCCCCGTCCCATGCATATAGACTACAGAGGCCTCCCTTCCCTGTACACCAGCAGTCCTCCCCTCTGCCTGCTACAGGGATGCACCACCCACTCCACATGCCTATGCACCACCCCATGCAAGCACCCCCCTACCAGTACCTCCCCCAGACTCCTCCTCATGGAGTAGGCTTCCAGCAGGGGATGGGACACATGCCAGTGACGCCCCAGGAGTCCCAGACTGCCAGAGAAGCTTTGGCTAAAATGGTGAACAATAGAATGCAGGCCAACGGGAGAGTGTCAGAGACTCCTGAAGCAGAACTACACAGGAGGCCTCCTCCTCCTCCTCCTCTAGCTAACATTGGTACCCCCCCTGGGTCAGGGGGAAACTCTCCCAGGAGCGGGTCCCCTGGAAGAAGCACACTCAGGAATATTACTAATAATGCTGACACCAGTGTGGCAACCAACAGACAGAATACAGAGAAGGTAAAAATAAAGTTCTTGTAAACTGCACTACAGATGAGTCATTTTTGGCTAATATAGACATGATATTGACCTTCTTGCCTCCATGGAGAGGATAGAAAATGAAAATTTTGTTGTGAGTATTTTTTTTTGTAAAGGTTAAAGACCAGCTGGTAAAGACTCATTTTTCACTTGTCTAAAGTTGAATTTGGAGAAAAATGCTTTAGTGAAAGCGTTGAACAATGATGGAAAATCACTTTCATTTTTGGTTTCTAGATTCAACAAATCATTAACTCAATCAGTCGCTCTGCCTCCCAGTCACCCAAGGGAAGACCTGGGGGCCAGTTCCCAGCCAAACTGCAGGAGGAGGGGGCAATATACTATGGCCATGATGGCAGTGAAAGAGGTAAGAAAAAATGTGCCATGTTTGGTTTCAGATATTATTGGTCATGCAAACTTTGAATGAAGAGTCTGTGTATGTTTTACATGTTTTTAAAACTATTCATGAATTTGTGAGTGCAGTGAGATATAACCCAGATATTGGAGTATTCTCTGTGGTATCTTTATGTTTCTTTATTTGAGTCCATCATATTTGCAGTCCCAGAGGATATGTGTCTCCTTGGCTGTGTGTTCTACATAGCTGACTACAACAAATATATGGAACAAGAGCAGTTGGATGTCTGGAAAAAGGTGAGAAGATCATCCAGTTCTTTGCCTGTCTATTTTTTCTCTGACTGTCATATATAACTTAGATCTTTATAGAATTATTTCACAGACTAGAATGATAAGTTTCCATCACGTGAAGGGCTGCAATTATTGAATGCTAAAAGGAGTTGTAGAGTACTGTTCAGCATTATAATAACTGTAGTGAGTAGTGTTACCTGTCATTAAGGTGAATAGTTTTACCTGCTGGCACTCTGCCAAAAGGCTCTAGTATAAAAGCCCTGCACTACTCTGCCTTGGGTCACACTTCCTATTTCCAGGCTATCAGTCAACATTATAACTGTGTGGTTGTTTTCTGCACTGCAGAAATGATAAGTGGCCAGTGACTTTGTCAAAGGACTCCCCAGTCCATGAAAGAGCCAGCATTGGTTCATTGCCATCCAGTATAGGCTGACTTCACTATGTAGTAAATTCTGTGTGCTGTCCTATTTCCAGGCTATCAGTCAACATGGTGGCCAGGTGGACACTTCCTACTCCAACAGGGTGACACACCTGCTGTGTGAGCATCAGGAGAGTGATGTCTTTGCCTTGGTAAGTAGCAGCTGCCTTGTTTACACACCTGTGATGATCCACAAAAAATAATATGTATATGTAGCCTGCTCTGAATTGTGTTTGTAACCAAACAAAAGATGTAAAGCAGCAGTATTTTGCAATCATTATTAAACTCGTTTAGAATTATCTGGATGATATTAAAGATTTCAATCTTTGTTTCAGGCCCTGAAGGACCAGAAGAGAGTGGTCACTGCCCACTGGTTAAGTGACGTGATGGACAGGAAGAAGATGCTGCCGCCATGGCTGGCCACCCACTTCCCCTCTGTCCACGGACATCAAAAACCTTGCACTGACCAGGTGAAGTACTGCACACAGTTTGAACTGCACTGTCAGTTATATCAAATCTGGGGTGAAGTACTGCACACAGTTTGAACTGCACTGTCAGTTATATCAAATCTGGGATGAATTACTGCACACAGTTTGAACTGCACTGTCACAGTCAGCGATATCAAATCGGGGGTAGCGCTGGCAATTTTCTGACATGAGCTTTTTCTACGGAAAGGCAGAATTTCGCGTTTTTAAATTAAATTATGATGGTTCCTGAGACTCGTTAAGATCTGCAATAAAATAAATGTTCATTTTTTTTCCTAACCTAGGCTCAGGTATGAATTTTTTCTCTTAACCAAAACACTCCTTTTTCATCACTTATTTCTCCAAATGGTTTAAATTTGACTAAAATGAGCAAGGATCAAGTTAGTATACAATGTATAGTATGTGACTTTGAAAATAAAAGTCCTCAGTTCTATTATGATGATAATTCACTGTTTACTATTTAATGGTAATTCATTGTTTTGCAGCTGATATCTGTGTCTGGGTTTGTTGGAGCAGAGAGAGCTAGAATAAAACACATGCTGCAAATTATTGGTGCCAAATATGTGGGATTTCTTGCTCACTCACACTCGGCTCTTATTGTGAAGAGGTAAGTACTTCGAACTAGTTTGCATTTGTTCAAGAGAGGACTAATTTTAGTGGTTTATATATTTTACCAATTAAAGGCCTCCATTAGGGATCACATTTGAATATATTTACTTTCAACTTGAAAAAAAATTTCATCTGCACTGCTTAAAAGGAAACTTCATATTGAATTAAGTGAAAAAAAAAGTAAAATAAAAAACTTCACGTCTGATGCAATTATAGTCATCATTGGCCTTTGAACAATGTTGACGGTCTCTTGAAGATTATTTAGAAGATGTCATTGTCTTTGTGTATTTATGTTGTTTCTACCTTTTTGTAACTATGTATTTCAGGTTACAAGGTATTAAATATGAGAAAGCTATGGAATGGAAAGTCCCTGTAGTCAATGTCCAGTGGCTGAATGACCTCGTCCTGGGTCACATGAGTGCCCTCAAACTTCCTGTACACAGCAGATACCAGCAGTACAACCTGGAGGATGACTTTCGTGTGGATGCCTGGAGGGTCTCACAGTGGCTCAGTATGTTACAAAGACTGAACTGGTTCAGAATTCACAAGTTTTAAGCATTATTTCCTACATAAGATTTGTCTGGTATAGTCTGTATGAAACAGGGAATGAAATTTACCAGCAGTGATGACTTAAAATTATTTGGTTTTTTAAGTTCCCTTTGATGTGACTTTTGTGACTGGATATCAAATCTGAATATCAGATCTTTCTATGATTAAACTCTGGAGATGGCATTTTGAGCATCCTTATGTTAACCCAGATTTTTATTACCTTTTCAGTTGGTTGGAAAGTCCCTCTCAAAATCCCCAAAGATACATGGAAGGTGAGCAGTGTTTAACTTGATTTCAAGTTTTTATCAAATGCAGCTGTCAATTTGATTTGAGAATCATAGGGTTATAATTATGTTTGACAGTTAGAAACAGGGCACAGCTGTTTTTTCAAAAAATAAAAGAACTTCAATCTTTTCTATTTGCTAGCGTTTTGTCCCCAATCCATTGTTGAAGTTGTCAGCAGGAGTGAACCAGGGAGATCCTGTGAGTGGGAATAATAAAAGAAAACTGGAGGAAGCCAGGGAGGAACCACCTGCCAAGAGACCTAGGTAATTATAGGGAAATGGCAGTTAGGGTTAACATGAAATTCCAGGATCATGGTTTCAATAGTGACCAGTTTCCAGAATGTTGAAATTAAAAAATTATCTTAGAATATGTACTTGAAATTTATATTGTTATTGACCAAAATTGAACATGATGATGTGCTCAGATGATTTAAGTGAAAAGTTTTGATTTATGTTTGAAAGACATTGTTATTTAAACTTCAGAACAACTCCAGTAATTCCTGGTGCTCCAGTTGTCATCTTTACAGGGATACCAAAAGGACGCATGACAAAGATGGAAGAGGTAGGGTTTTATTGTTTATATTATTAAAACATTCAAGGTACAGAGGGCAAATAATAAATGTAAAATGCATCATGACTGTTTGGTTGGTTTTCTAGACTCTTCCCCAATTTTTCACTTGAAGTAATGCACCCAAACATACCTGAATTTATTTATTGTCATCACTTGTCATTTAAAATACCTGTGCATATTTCAACAACCAATGAAGTTACATTTTTTAAACATTTCTTAACATTGCATAATCAAAGCAAATAATGATATTTTGGCTATTATCTTTCATCATTGGTGGTGAATTTGGTTGATTTGTAATCAGTAAGTTATCTGTTGAAGATGATCAAAGCTGAACAGAACTGTTTTTTATAGATAATCCAGAGCTGTAAATACATTAATTTGTTCCTAATTTTTCTATTCAGCAAGTAGAAGCTTTGGGAGGAACAGTGACCACAGATCCAGCAGCAGCCACTCACCTGGTGACCAATCAGCTTGCCAGGACGGTGAAGTTTCTGATTTGTATCAACACGTGTCAGCACATTGTGACCACACAGTGGCTGGACCAGAGCAGTATCCAGGGACACTTTCTAGGTGGGGAAACTTAGAAATTGATGGTTAGAAAATCACTGGTTACTGCCTGTTTTTATATTTTGTCAAAGAAAAAAGGGATAGACAATAGTATTATGGAAAGCTGATTGACAGAGCTACTCAGATGTGTAGTGCTGTATTGATGCTTTCCTAGAAGAAATTGTGAGGATCTCTGTGATACTGCTTTTAAGTTTATGTAGTGTTATCGTTCATCCTCACACAATAATCTCTCACTAATTGATGAACCATTGATAAACAGTGTTACCTGGGGAAACATCTTCATGTTTCATAAGTAAGATATGATACTTGGTCAGAAATTAATTTGCTGTTCAGTTTTGAAAATGTGAAATTAGTGTTTTTTTGTAAACTAATTAATTTCAGATGAGAGTGGATTCGCTCTGAAGGATTTGGAGGCAGAGGGAACTATTGGTTGTGAACTGGCAGTGTCGTTACAGCGGGCACGATCTAAGAAATTATTTCAGGTATGTATTGTTAGTCACTTTGTATAAGTGTCCTTATGTGATTGAAGCAATATGATGTAATTCTTGTTTACACCAGTTCATTTTTTTGTATCTTTTTCTGAAAGTGTTGTTAATCTCCAACATTGTTTTATTGTAGTCTCTTGAACATTTACACAGAATTGAATATAAATATTTTTGTGTTCTAGGGAATTCAGTTCTATATCACCCCAAGTGTTGCCCCAGATAAGAAGGTGCTGAAGACCATTGTAGAAAGTGCAGGAGGGGAGGTGGTAGCAAGGCGGCCGTCTGCCAGGTTCATCATGGGGAGAAAAACTGCAGCTGTAAGTAGGTTCCACAGAAAACTGTACAGCTAGCAGTCTAAGACTTGTTTCTGAATATTGGCTTCTTCTTTAGTATTGTCCTTGACTGATTAAAAATCACCAAACTATTTAATGTCATGATAATCTAGGCTAAATCTACCAGTGTAGTAAGATGTATTTACCTTCTAGGGGGAGCCTGCCTTCATCGTGGTTACCTGTGATGCAGACATGCATATTGTCAGGGACCTCACGTCTCGGAAATTGCGTAAGTAGTGCTGCTTTCCAGATTGCTGTGTGTGTGTGCGACTTATGCATTTAGTCAATACTTAAAACCTTGACTTGTAAGAATGAAGACAAGTGACTTGAGATTTTGTGAGTTTTTTTATCATGCTTTTGCTTTTAGTTCAATGTCCTTTGCATGATGTGATTGAAGTCCATTAATCTTATCAACATTACCCTGCCCCCAACCAGAATGTAAATGGTTAAAACAATGAGACAGTGTGATGAATAATTTTGTTTCCTTTTCCAGCTATTTTTAATGCGGAGTTTGTCCTGACTGGAGTTCTACGCCAAAAGATTGACTATGAACAGTTCACCATTCTGGGGAGCTGATGTCCGACTTCTTTTAACTTGATGTGTGCAGTTTCTGAAATCACTACACAGATCATATGTTAGAAAAACTGCTGGCACCGTTCAGATTGCTTTTCATTTAATGTAATTACTCTTGTACTACAATAATATTTGTAATTTCTGTTTTAATGTGTCATCTTTCCTAGATTTTAAAGAACAATATATTGTGACATATGCACAACACTTGGAGAAATTTCAAACTGGAACTCTCAGCTATAGAATAGAATAATGTACAAAGATATTTATTGCAAAGTAATTTTATTAGTAAAGACATTCACGCAAGACACAATAAGTAGATTGTGATTGTTTTAATAATGCGTCGATTTTTATACTCATTAATGTTTGTTTAAGATGTTTGTGTGTGCAGATCCCACTCTGCTCTGGCTTGCATAATCTCTTAGTTTGTAACAGCCCTTGGTCTGTATTCGGATTGACTAAGCTTTCATGTGACGAGTCTTTAACACAACTTTTGTAATAGAATTATGTGAGAAATCCGTTTAATCACGGACTGGAATGAATGTGTCCAATAAAGACAAATCCGCGTTCATGTGGAGACGCCGTGCTTCTGTGTTATAGAGTTAGTAATATTGTAAGCGTCTATGAGAAGGATGTCTCGAAGGTTTTTAAATATGTAGTTTTGTGGGAGAGCGATGCGGGAAAGAGGCGACATGACGTCCCGTTTGACCTACTTTTGCTTTGTAACAAGTGCAGTACAAACTTGGAAACCTACCAAATTGCGCCTCTATTTTGAAACAATATTATGATACGTAATAAACTTGAGCTAGACATTGTTCTCCGCGATGATAAGTACACTGTTTAAGATTTGAGAAAATTGCAGTGAACTCGCCAGATCTGGGACATTGAGAGCGGAGAAAATATGCCGAGTTACGCGAACATTCGAGTTCGGCAATGTTTTTATTGATTCCGGTAAATACGAAAAAAAATGTCTGTTTCTGAAGATAATGTTCGAGTTGCAGGGTGGCGAGTTTCGTATGGTCCACTGATTGGTAATGCTCCATTAATTATGAAGTTCAGATAGTAATGCCAAATATAGTGAAAGACAGCATCTCGCTATATGGCTTGAACGTTATCTGGGTAGACTGGGTTTGTAGAAATTATGAAATAACAGTAAGTTTTAAAAATCTGGTCGCGCGTTGTACGTGTTGACTACAGAAATATCGGCGAAACCTTCAAATGCGTTTCAGTTTCAACTTTAAAGCAGTCTTATTTTGTTCATATCTTTTAAGAATCAAATTTTGGAGATGCTTTCGATACTTTTCTTTGTCTAATTCGGCAATGGCATTTATACTTATTAGCTTAAACGCTGCAATGAATGGAAATATGACAAAATGTATATTGTTGAAGAGCTTTGTTTTCTTTCTTTGCCCAAATGTTTGAAAAGTTCCTAGAATAGACAATGCAAAAATCCATATGAACAGCTGCTATATATGGCTTTGTGAGAGAAAAGAGATACAAGATAACCCACTGTCTATACCCTGGCAATATGTACAGTTAAAGTGTTGCCATCCATTCCCAACATCTGCTACTACTTCAATTGTTCGCTATAAAATGAGGTAGCACTAATCTGTGCAATATATCGAGTAGAAGTCAGAATGTTACCGACAGGTTTACCGTTCCTCAATGAAGCTGTCTCGTCTACTTAGGAGTCAACGGTTAAGTGGTGTGCTATTTATATTAGTTTATTCTTTGTAGGCCTAAATGCGTCTTAACAGCAACGTTTACAAAAGAAAAAGAAGTGCTTAATCGGAAAACCTCGCTTCAATCCACTTGATTAATTTTAGCGAAATGTCTTGGAGATCACGTTTCAAAGTTCGTCTCTCTTGCAGCAGCACAATGGATTGCTTGTTATACTTTCTTTCGCTGAAGTCGATTTGTTTCTTTGTAAAAAGCTGTAACCCTGCGTTTTGCGTTCCAAGCTCCACTCTAGCATTATCCCGTCCCCTCCTGCCTCAGTTGCGGTTCTATCTGCGCTACAGAATCCGGCACTTGTTCTTGTTCTTGTTGGGTACCTTCAGCTGCCTGTTCCTCTAGCCGTTCGTGAGGGGACACGTTGGCAGAGCGTCTTCTACACAAAATGAATAGTTTGCCTTTGGTATATATCAATAATCCGGCCACGATGACCAGCACGACAATTGCCAGAGTAGCCAAGACGCTAATTGTAGTAACTGTGCCCGTTGACATCCCGCCATCCGTCAGTTTCTGGAGTTTAGTGTCGTTTTTCTGGCCTATCATCCCTGCCCCCCAAGTCCCGTTATCCGGTGCCACGGTAGAATTACCGGAAATGTCCACCGTGACTGTAGAATTGTCAAAGAGTGTGTCGTTTTGCTGATCAACGGTCACATCTGAAATGTTGCAAAATTTATTGAAAATACAGAAAGTGCAAATAATGAGATTTTTCATTTGTATCAAATATTGAAAACTATTTAAGCCGTATGTGTTTTTCAAAATATTTTCAAAAAATATTATTTAATTTTAGGCAGCCATGAAAGATATTTAACTTGATGCCAAAAACCTTCAAAATTACGCAATTATCATAGACATACAGACAGACAATGTGGATTATTATAATTTTTTGGTGTTGTTGTAGGCGTGGAACCACGCTCAGTTTTGTTAAGACCAGAAACATTCAGCTCTTAAAATGAAATTGGGATTTTATCGTTTTTTTTACGCCCCGTTCTTTGTACGTCAATGCAGGAAATGAGAACAAATGTATTTCCAGATATAGAGTTTACAGACCAAGTTGCCCTTTATCTTTCCCCAACAAAAATGTTTTACAATTTCAAGGAAATTCAGTATTTGTGGGTAGTGTAACCGGTCTCTGCGTAACAAGTTGTATGAACTTGGCGACCTTTCTAACGCTCTGCGCATGTGTTTCCCGGTTTGCTACAGCGCTCAGGATCCACGCCGAACCAAAACAAAAACATTGAAAACGTGGTAACGGGTAGCGTTGGTAGCGAAACAGTTCTTTATAATTGGAATTTAATCTTGCGGTAATATTGCTTTTTAAGGAGTGCCTAGCCAACAAAACAACAAAGGTGTTCTTGGATTTCATTTATAATACCCAGTACTCGATGCCCGTGTTTCCCTTCAGATAAATTAATAGAAATGTGATGGTCAAAGTGATAACCAAAAAGTACATTAGTCGAATTTTCTTTTGCCTCAGTCCTGATCAGTTACAAAATCTATATGGCCCATTAGTAGTCTTGCGAATACGAACAGGCTCTAAATTTAAGATACAACGCAACATACACTGTGTATCTAATTATTATATTAAAACATGTTTTTGCTCTGTTTTAACTCAGCTAAAACAATTGGATAAAATATTTTAATCGCTTAAGCTAGAGATACCTAAAAACCTTCAAGATGACATGAATTAATCCTTTTCACTGTATGATAATATTTTGTTTTGGCAAGTGCTGCTGAACAATTGTCTCTGAGAAGATGATTTTGACCCATTTGTCTGTTTGTAGAAACAATATCAGATATAAATAAACCTTCAGTAGAAGAAATTAGAAAATGTCTTACTGTTGCTGTTTGTGGAGACTGTTGTCGTGTTCTGTCCGAGTATCACCATCAGAGAGGGAAACAACATCAGCACTTGCAGAAATAATCCAGAGATGCAAAAGCAACTTCTTTCCCAATACAACGCCATTTTGTCAAGTGGTGCACCACCACCAGTAGAGAGAGGGTATTGTTTCTATGGTATCTGCCTTTGACCTCTTGCCGCTTACCGACAGACTTAAACCCCCCTACAACGACGCTCGAGTTTTCCTCGAAAATGTTTCATTGTAATCCCAGGCATGAATTTCTGATAACCCAAGGGCAAGAACCCTTTTCTGAGAAATGCTCTTTATGTTAGAAAAAGAAACTTCTTAAATGGAAAACACTAAATCTTCTTGGTAGAAGGAACAATTATTCATTGGCTCTTGGTCAGAGAACGAGTGAATATAAATTGAAATATGAACACAAAGGCTTGAAAACTGTAAAAGATTTTATTTTGAAAATATCCTTTTTAGACTGACATGTTTGGTGAAAATCATTGCTCACATATTCTAAGAATTATAAAATTATTGGTTCCAAGAACAGATGGGCTCAACCAGTTTTGGCAAGACAACGTTTGCGAAAGGGATTGCACAAAAGTTCAGAGGTTGGTTGCCGAGGCAACGCGTAAACAAAACAGTATCGCGTGGCCCGTCTGCATCCTGCATCGAATTAGCTAGGATTTTCAACTTCACTCAAAGGCGTCGGTTAATTAATCTATATTACTCACTCAAAAGATTTATGATACTTGCATCACATCTACTACAACTTCTGTTATTTGGGAAAACAAAAAGAAAGCCAAGATTATAAGAGAATAAACAATTTGTTAAAATGCTTATAAATATGCAGAGAAATCGGGGATCGTGAACTCAGTGGAAAGTAAGAATTAATGGCTCATCTTTTCTCTCGCCTATAGAAATGTTGAAAGTTACAAAAGATTCATCTCTATAGATGATTCTAATGATACGCAGAGACTACACGGAACAAAAATAATTAATTGACGGAAGATTTCAACCATGTGCACCTTGATAAAATTAGTCGTGCTAACAGTAGACTACGTTCCCGTATTTTTATACTAAAGACGGATGACGTCTACATAGTTGCTATAAAGAATACTACACAACGTCATACTACACGACGCACGTGCTCCCGCCTCAAGTGATGCGCTTACGTCAGAGAGCGCGCGTTTTCACACAGGAATCCATGTGGCACGAAGACGAAGCAGAAAAACAGGAGGCCGACAAAATGGTTTGTGAAAACAATTCAAGACGAACAATTCGAAAGAGCTGGAATTGGGTGGTAACCTTATCCATAATCGTAACCTGCCTCTTCGTGCCATACGAGGCCGCGTTCTGCAACGAGGGTGGCAACGCCATAAACCAAGTGCAACTGGCGGTGATTTACATCTGCGATATAATTTTTGTAGCAGACATTATTCTTCACTTTCACGCCGCCTTCGTAGCCAACGGAGCTGCTCTATACAAGAAAGGGAGGAGGAAAACATTCATTGTAGCGATTGTTCTTGACCTGATGTCAGCATTTCCCACAGATCTTTTTGTTTTCATCATCCACTCCTCTACACCGGGATGGCATTTGGTGGGACAGTTAAGAATGAATCGACTGCTAAGATTTTACAAAATACCTTTGTTTTTTGGTAATTACGTGATTATCATTCGCTTTTTTTTAATGCTGTATTTGTTAAGTATTTTTTAGTCTCTGTTTCCTAGGTACATCTTTAAATACATGTATTGTTGAAATTATACCAATAATTAAAGAATAATGTGCTAGAGCCATTTTGATGTCAATTGGAACTACGATGAATATATATGGTATGTTCAATTAGGCTTACGTATCAATATTCAAATTAAAGTAACTTTCATGGGAAAGGGCAGTGCTGAAATGTATTTTCCGCAATAGAAATATTATTAGCTGTTAGAATATTATAAATATATCAATTCATTTGTCACACTTTTACGCCACTGCAGACCGAAGAGAGTCGGACTTGAGCAGCAATGCCACAGCTACCCGCCTTATGAAGTATACAGCGATATGTGTTGTGGTGACACATGTGGTAAGCTGCGGCTGGTATGCCCTTAGCTGTGACTGCAGGCAGCTGCTCCCACACTGCCAGCCTGGGAGCTGGACTTCACAAACTGGTAGGGAATGAAACAAAACAAATTAATATGACTTGTGTACGATGTAACATATCTTCAGTTCTTGTTATCTACACTTGGCAGAAAATTAAAGAAAACGTTTACACATGGGTCTACACATTGTGAATGCCAATACTAATTGTGAATAATATCAATTTTATCATAGATCCTTGATGTTGCCGAGGTGTATTAATTTAACTTATTTTCTGTCAGTTTTTCAAAATTAGATGTGTTTATGTTTACTTCTATTTAGACTTCAACATCACAACCATGGGGCCATTAGGAGCTTATGTCATATCCCTGTACTGGGGAACAGCAACTGTCACATCCACCGGGTGAGCGGCACCAATACGTCATTTATACAATTCACGCTTCGAGCATTCTTTCATTCTTTCTTTCTTTTTTCTTTCTTTCTTTTTATTTATAATCTTCTAATTTTTGTATGAGTCTGAATTTTGATCTTTTTATCTGCTATGTCGACAAATGTTTTTCATTCCAAGCGGTCATCAACGAATTTGATTTCACCGCAGAGAATTCGCTTATTTTAAGAAGTGATTATTAAATAAGTATATACATTAATTAACATATTATTAATATGAATTCCTTTAATTGATCTTAATCTTTTAAAAATCTATTATTTTTGCCCCTTCAAATTTCCTGTTTCCTTCCTATTATCAACCATGAACATCAGAAAAGAAAGACATTCCATTAATGACTATTCCAGATACGGTGATGTGAAAAGCGCCACTGTTTTGGAGAAATGGTACTCCATTGCTGCCATGTTGGTAGGTATTGGAGTTTTCTTCGGCATGTTGCTGGAAGGAATGACATCTCTGATAACAATATCTGATGCCAGAAGAGCACGATATCTACACAAGCTAGCAGTGATCAGAAGTCACATGGTAAGAACAATGCATTCAACAGATCCACGTATAAGAAATACCAAGAATGTAAGAGATGAAGGCTCATGGTTGCATATAATTCTCTGCATGCGTCTTTTTGGTCTTTTATTTGTTCTTTAAACTTTGTAGTGATAATATACAGACGCTATCAACTTATTTTACTTACTCCCCTAGGATGAGATGTCTATATCCGAGTCACTGAAGTCTTTGGTTTCAGCCTATTACAGCCACGCCTGGGAAAGACAAGGCCGACCCGGCAAACACCTCTGCCTGTTCTCAGATCTACCGTCCACATTTCAAGCTGAGGTTGCCTACATAATTAATAAAGACATCATTAGTAAGGTAAAACGGTTTAACTTATGACTGTTCGAATTGTTTGTTTAACTACTTTACGTCAAATTATTCTACCTGCAAACATGCGTTTAATGATGATAAAGTAAAATTTTATTGAAGATTGCATAAATCAGTATTAACATTATCCTCTATCTTTTAATTAACTATCAATTAATTATGTATTTTTTGCATTTTTCTGTATTTTCTTCAATACCCTGTGATATTGCAACTATAATATTATATGCACAATTGATAATGGTCAACATTTTCAGGCGCCTATTTTCCAAGCCATGTCTCCTAGTTTCCTGCGGAAGATTTCCCTGCACATTGAGCCAGAGTTTTATCTTCCTGGACAGACTATAGTGAGTTTTGGGGAAGTGGGTCACTCCATGTACTTCATTCTAAGAGGAGAAGTAGAGGTAAGTCCATGGAAAGGGTAAGTAAATAATTATGTGGATAACAATACAGTTTTGCAGTAATTCAATGAACTATTTTTTATCATGAAAATTGAAATGAAGTACAATGCAAAGGCTATATACAAAATCAAAGTTCTTTGGATAATTTTACAAGACTGGCACACACCATTCAGAACCAAAACCATGCCATCGAGTGGTTTTAGAAAGACCTTTAGAAAATTGCTATCTTTATAAATTGATGTTTTGGAAGCATTTTTGGGAGTGAAATTGATCACTGTTGTGAATGGCCATTTCCCCCTCTCATTCCACAGGTGGTAGGGTCAGATGGAGATGTGATGGGAACACTCAACCAGGGAGCAGTGTTTGGAGAGGTAATTAGTACATGTATATGCTAGAACATACCAGATTACTAAACATGTTCATGGCAGGCACCCTGAGCTTCAGAGATAACTTGACACTTACCTCTTCACAATAGCCTATCTTCATGGTGTCAAGTTACTTGACACGATGAAGATAGGCTATAGTGAAGAGGTTAGTGTCAAGTTATCTCTGAAGCTCAGGGTGATGGCAGGTGACTAGTCTAGGGAATCTATTTCTAGGTTCATATTGGAATTTTAGGTTATATAAAAAGTTTGAAGAAATGATCCTCGGATCATGATTTTTTTCTTCTTTCTTACAGTGTGGTATTAATTTAACTGCTACTGTCTTTTGCAATAATAATGATGATAATAAGATGACTGAATGATAACCTCTGAATATGATCAGTTCAATATACAATTCCAGGTTTACTTGGTCTTTAGTGTCGTCAGAACTCACACAATACGAGCTAAAAGTCACTGTGAAATAGCAGTCCTGAAGAAGAAGAAGCTGCTTGAAGTTTTGAGTTTATTTCCTTCAGGTATGTACAGCAGTACATGTAGTTCTTCATAACACATCAATAGGCATGCTGCACAAACACAAATAGGTAACTTTATTATAATGCATGCAATGTATCAAGGGGATTGTCCGAACTATATAATGGAAAAATAAGATATAATTGTTACTGCTCAGATAATATAGAGGTGAGTTTCCAGCAACCTCTTACCTCAGGGTCAGATATGTAGGTCTGATTATATATCTCTTATAGCTGGACCTGCATTGTATGAGCTGGCTGAGCAACGGTTCAGAAAAGCTGAGAAGAATTTTAGAAGACAAACTATGACAATGGTAACAGTTCTTTTGTTTTTCTTTCCTATGCTACTAGTAGTAGTTACTTTTAACCGGAGGTCAAAATAACTAATTTACTCATTCATAATTATAAACAGCCAATTAACATATTTTAAAATTATTATGACTTCAATTTAATTTCCAATTAATTACTTTATCATGTATTTCCAATTGGTTCTATGACAAACATTTTTCTTCTAGGCTACATCTTGTATGAATATAAAACAGAGACTGGCACCAAACAGAAGATCATCCATTCACATACCAGCAAAGCTGAGGAGTTTCTCTGTTGTAGAGATGCCCAAAGTGAATCTAAGTGCTGTGTCTTTAGAAAAAGAAGAATCAAATATGTCTGTCAGTAGTAAGGTATAAAAAATACTCTTAATTTAAACTTTACAAATGATTCTAGAATTTATATATCTTTTTAAAGGGATCAGAGCACACATTGTAAGGATGTTCCCGAACCAAGTCAAGCAGGTATTACATAAAGGTGTGCCACTTCCAACAATCAATATCCTCACCCGTTTCTACTCATTTGTTTGGCATAGCCAGGAAGAAAACATGTTTGCTTTGTAGACTTAAGAAAAGCATTCAATACTTAGCCATTTTCATAATTTGTTTCAGAGAGGGGACATATGGCATGTTTTACATGGATGTTACATCAACCCTAATTGCCGTTTCTCTAAGGTTTGGAAGTCTGTGGTTGTCATAGTTACCATCATCATCAGTTTTCTCTATCCTTCTCTGGCTATATTCACTACAAACGGTAGGAAAATAGAAAAATTCTTTTAAAATTAATTTTCTATCTTAAACTTCACCTTCAGAACTGGCATTTACAAAACATTTCTGTACATTTTAATAATTATAATGGTTTTGGTACCAAATTGATAAATTTGACCATTTAATTATTTTAATCTAAAGTTGCTCTCATGATATGACTTTGTTTCAGATTGGCATACAGAAGACATCATTATTGAGTTGGTCTTAACTTACCTTCTGGACATGGTGCTGATAGTTGATATTGTGATCATGTTTAAGACTGCAGTTCACACCCCTCATGGTTAGTAATTAACTGGTGACATGACAGTCTGGATTTGGAATTCACACTGAACACATTAATTTTTTTAGTCTGACCATGATGTACATGATGCTGCTTCATACTGAGTATTTAGAAATCTGTTGGAAATTATTGGGGATACAGATTGTGCTTTTTTAAAATATTTCAATCATGGATTCTTTGTAATCACTTTGAAACTTCTGTTGTATTCCTCTTCAGGGCTACTGCTTTCATTGAAAGCTGTGCAGAAAGTTTATATTGAAAATGGAGCCTTTTTCCTTGATCTCCTGGCTGTTTTACCAGTAGAAGTGTTCTGTGTGTTAGGATGGCAGCAAAACCACTGGCTCATTTTTAGAATTTTACGGTTAAATAGGCTTATCAAGTTTTGGAAGGTAAGTTATATTATCTCTTAGTACAACAGTATGGGGCACTTACATGTATGACTCATTCAGTTCTTTGGAGTTGTAAAGTATCACTTTTTTTCAAAATGTTTTTATGCATTGTTAATGCAACATGTTTGTTGATAATAAATGATATATTTTTCTGACATCTTTGTTTATGAGTAACCTTTGCTTCAATCCAGGTTCCTCATTATTTCCACACAATGGAGAAAGGGTTGGAGTGGTCCCTCTCCACCCTGAGGACATTGAAGCTGAGCCTGTACATCTGTCTGCTCACTCACTGGTGTGCCTGTCTCTGGTACCTGGGAGCTTGCAGTGTTGGCAATGGGTGGGTTCTTAGGCGTTGGCTGCTGTCTGTGACTTAGGGGTTATACCATTATGAAATTTATTACAAAAAAGAAACTAAAAAGAAACATTTTTGCTTTGTTCAATAATTGAAGCAATGTGGTGAGGGGGAGGCAGATGAAATATCATCGGAACCATGTGAAGGAATTTTGATGGTGGGGCAATAATGAACATACTGGTATTGGAAAATATAATTTCACTCAATGAATTATCATTCAAAGATTGGAAAATAACTTTGATATAGATTCTTCTACTATTCCAGTTGTAGTGAAGGTTCATGGATAACTACCAACCAGAGCTGGTCAGACCTGCCTCTCCCCCTCCATTACCTGCTCTCCCTGTACTGGGCAGCAGTGACCATGACTAGTACTGGGTATGGAGATATCACAGCTCAGAACGCCACAGAATGCCTGCTGTCTGTAGTTGTCATGTTGGTAGGACTGCTACTGTATGGCTACTGTGTAGCTATTATTGCTGCATTACTGGCCAATGCTGATGTTGCCAGGTAAGATTTCAGAACTATTAGTGATGTATGGCTACTGTGTGGCTATTATTGCTGCATTACTGGCCAATGCTGATATTGCCAAGTAAGATTTCAGAGCAATTAGTGATGTATGGCTACTGTGTGGCTATTATTGCTGCATTACTGGGCAATGCTGATGTTGCCAGGTAAGGTTTCAGAACTTGCACTGTTAATGTCTGACTACTATCATGGCAGACCAGTGTAATTGTTGCATGGTTGCCATTTTATTTGAGAAATTGGTGTACAAAGATTTCTTAATGATTTCTTAATGATCTTTGTAAAGATTAATTAATTAATTAAGTGCTAGAAAATGATGTAACAATGTTTCTTAACAATAATAAGATTTTAAAAAGAAACAACATCAGTTCATTATAAAATACTATTACTGCATTTTGCAAGACATCATGCCATTTGTAATGAGCACATTTTCTTTACTTTACTTTATTATCTTTGAAAGGGTTGTGTTTCAAGAGAAGCTGTTTGCTATCAAACAATTTATGTCAGAGAACACGCAGACACCTGTTCTACAGGAAAGGGTGATCAACTACATGAGCATTCTCTGGGGAAAATATAGGTATGTACCATCTGTGCATTTTTAATGTCCCTGTGCTATCTTACTCTTTTCTTTTATATAATTTGTTAATACCATGTACACTGCACACATTTTATATCTTTTATTTACTATATCCAGTACCTTCATTTCAACTATGCTTATACTCATTATCTAAAGTGACTCAGTAGTGTGATATATATTTCAGGGGCAGCTGGATCCCCAGCTTTAAGCCACTGATTCATGACTTACCTGCTGTGCTGCAAGAAGACATAGGAATGGAAGAAGTTGGGAACATTCTGAAAGAGGTAAAGTAATCGTATGCTGCATTATTCCTCTACCTCATAGACCCCATTCCCATAGATTTTAGATCGATCTATCCCTGTGGGGAGTCTCACTAGATTACTGTCAGCTTAGCCGGCTTAAGCGTCTGTCGATCCCGCCTACTAAAAGCTGTAAGGGGGTAATTTAACATGGTGCGTGCTCGGCTGAGTGCAATTTAGCATGAACCCCCAGGGAGTTAGGTCAATCTAAATCTCTGGATCGATCTAAATCTCTGGGAATGAACCCATAGAAAATAGGTTTATCTGCAGCATGTCACTTTTTGGAGGAAAGTGATCATTTATTGCAAATTAAAACCCAACAGGCCAGTTTTCTAACTCCCCCCCCCCCCCAGCCCTTTTGCCTCAAAACAAACAATTGCCACACATTTATTTTTTTAATTTCTCTAATCCCAGGCTCCACTGTTCAGATACCTGGACCTGACCTTCCTGAAGATGGTGGCATCCAGAGTGGTTCCGTACCACTACAGTCCTGGGGAAGTGGTCATTTACTGTGGAGATGTGGGCAATGAGATGTACTTTGTCAGGAGAGGGCACTGTGAGGTACACTGATCTACACTGATCTATATGTTATCTTAGTGAGAGAATTTGGCCTATAGATGTATAAGTCCATCATGTCCACTGCATAATAATTGTTCCTTATTACTTAAAACATGCTATAAAAGAGGTTTTTCTTGGTATTTAGACAGGATGATAAAACAAGTAAATTCTTTACCTGGAGACTAAATAACATCGGCCAAACATGATGTTTTCTTCCACCACCTTTGCAACTTGGTCATGTGAGTGCTGATTTTGCCATGCAATCTGATGCTCAGGATTTTAGGTTGGAATCAAAGATCTGTGATAAATACTTCATGGTGCAATGTAATATATATGTTTCTATGTATACATATAGGTATTATCCCAAGACCTCAGTCAGGTTCTGGCCACAGTGTATCCAGGTGATAGTTTTGGTGAAATGGGAATGCTGTTCAAAGAGAAGCGTACTGCCACAGTGCGTGCTGTAACTCATTGTGAGCTGTTGATGTTGACCAAACCAGAGTTAGATCATGTACTGCATCATTTTCCAACACTTCTTAGGTATGACAGCTGGTAATCTAAACCTATACACATGTACCACATGGTAATATGTTGGAGTAAGTATGACATATGAACCATGTGTATTGAATAAATTTATATCATTTTTGAAAATTGCATATTCAATGAAAAATACATTTTTGAGTTGTCTTTTTAGTTATTAGAAGATTTTTTTCACCAAAAATGGAAATGAGAACAAAGCCAACTTAACTGTAAAAGCCAAAAATTATTTACCTAGTGCATACATGCATGTAGTAGTGTAGCACCTTAACAAATGATAATAAAATAAATCTTCATGTAATATCGGTAAAAAATTACACATATATAATTAACTTACTGAACTGTTACATGCATGTATTTTATTAACACGCCAAATTAATTTTTAACAGGGGACATTTTTAAATGCTGTCTGTTCAGTCTATAGTTTTATAAGTTACGTACTTCAAAGAATTATGAAATATTATCATAAAACAGATCTTTAATCTTTCAGGCAGTTTCAAGATATTCTCAACAATGAAACATTGTTAAAGGAACTGAGGCAGAAAGCACATATGCATGAGTGAGTTGTTCTTTGGACTTAAATTTATATATTAATCTTTTACCATTTCAGGGGGTGTTGAAAGATACTGGCTATAGTCACTATTCTTGCATAATTTAGGTGACATAAATCATGTTGATACAATCTATACTTAATATCATTCTTACACATTTTCTAAACTGGTCATGCACTGCATATTAGAAAATAATAATTAGCCATTGACATTTATTTAGGAATTGCACACATGCCAATTTTTAATTATGAAAAAAAGAACTATCATCAAAGAAAAATTCTATCAATACTTTTCTCTTTTTGAAACAGAGAAGAACAGAAGCCCACTAGATGCCCTGAGCAGCAAGTAACAGCAGAAAACAGTAATTCAGTGAAAGTGTTAAAGAAAGTGATGGATGATGGCACACCCAATGTTGAGTACCTGCATTCCTTCCAGATGGCAACCCTACTGACTAGGATAGCTGGTTGTCTGCTGATGAAGTTAGTAAATGAAAAGTATTAATCTTTATCTTGTTTTATAATAAAATTATAATTTACTCAGCTAGTAATATTACACATGGAAGTGAATAATTTTATTAGTCTGCCTTTTAAAGATGCCAGTATACATTTAAGATTATATATGATAATTATTTTATTAAGTATGATGACTAGCTTTTGTTTTTCAGCTTTGTGGCAGGTCCAATATCTGATATAAAGAATTTGCAGTTGTGTAAGTGAGTTTTTACTCTCTTTTCAGTCGGACATTTTTACCAAGTGGCCAGTTACTGAAAGTCTGGGAATGCCTCCATGTTCTTGTGTCTGTTGCCACAGCAATAGTGCTGCCTATACAGGGGGCTTTCTTCTATAAGTCTATCCTGGGCTGGGTGATTACATACACACTTGATGTACTCAGTTGGATTGCCATGTAAGCACTGGTATAACTTTGATTTAGACTAAAATCTAGACTATCACCCCATTTCTATATATTTTTAGATCGATCTATCCCTGTGGGGAGTCTCACTAGATTACTGTCAGCTTGGCCGGCTTAAGCGTCTGTCCCGCCTACTAAAAGCTGTAAGGGGGTAATTAACTATGGTGCCCGCTCGGCTGACTGCAATTTAGCGTGAACCCCCAGGGAGGTAGGTCGATCTAAAACTTAATCTTTAGATCGATCTAAATCTCTGGGATAGCACCCTAACAGTGTTTAAATTATTAAAAGAACATACGTTTCACTTTTGCAAAAATATGTGATAAATCTGTCAACAAACTGAATTTACTCTTCACTGAACATAATTTTTAACAGATTTATTGCAATCCTTGAGGCATTTAAAAAGACAGTACAACCTTGTCATCTTGTTTATAGGTATATAGGCCTCCATACTGCTTACTACAACAAGAAAGGCTGCCTAGTCAGTCATCCTTTAGCTACAGCCAAACACTACTTCACTACTAACTTCCTGCTGGACTTAAGTGCTGTTTTACCTTTAGAAGCCATTCCATTTTGCCTGGGATACCAAGGTGTGGCACACATTTAGTTATAGATCTTATACCTAGATAGCAAACAGTGGTCATCTAATATAAGTAAAGTCCATGGCCCAATGTTGGGTAGGGTAGGGTAGGGTGTACCACAGAGCTACGTATTTAGGATACCCATGGCACCCTTTTACCAGTGTTGGGCCAACTTTGGACCAGCGACATCATTATTATTCTGCTGTTGGGCCAACAATCAAAAAAGTGCAGAAACAAGTATAACAAGTAAAACAAATCCATGCTTTTCTAATCCCTGGGTTTCACACCTTGTAGAACTGTCCTGTTTGTATTACATTAAATGTAATACAAACAGGACAGTTCTACAAGGTGTGAAATTTTGACTTGTTCAGCTTTGCAAATTTTTCTCCCTATTCCCCCTGCCCTCCTTCTGTAGCAAAATCCTAGATCTGCCAGTGCTTTCTGTTTAAAGAATTCTTACATGTAAGTGCTAACAAAATTTAGGTCTGTCCAAGAAAGCAGATATCTACTGTTTATACTTCCTTGGTCTGTCTAACATTAAAAGTAACATATAATGTAGGGGTCCATGTTCCTTCCTACTCAAGTTCTTCTAATATTTCACTTGTCACTGATGCATGGGAGAGGGAATATAACCACAGACTCACATATTCAGTTCCAAGTCTTAAAGTCCTTTATTAAGTCCAAGCATTCAGCTTTTATACACATATTATCTACAGGGAATCTATCTGCATGCCACAGTGGCAGCAACTGATTTTTAAATCATTTAAAAATACTAATTTCAATGCAGTAGTTTCTACTTATCAGATATGCATTTGCCCCAAGCTTACTTAGTTAAACAGAGAATGATAAATATTCATGCAAGACTGAAGCCAAGTGAATGATAATGATGACGGATTATATAAACATAATATGTAAATGAGTGAGTTTATCACCTGCCTTCAGTGGACCTTTACAATAATCAGTAGCTTCATTTAACTGCATAATATTTCATTATCGTTTATTAGTCTGAATGAGAAATTGATGTACACCATTTGCTGAGATTATATTGCAATTTGTTTCAGATCTGAACTATCTAGTTTTCCTCCGTCTGAACCGTATGATCAATATTTACCACCTCTCCTTGGCATTCTCACATCTGGAACAGGATATCAGAAGAGAAGTGGGCATTATCAGGTACAACTATAAAATTGGTATTACTTTACTAAAATATTTTGTTGTCATTTTCTTTTATTGGTGAGCACTGTTTCTGTTTCTCACATTTATGACATTACCTGTATTGTTAATCCCCCATCATAACTCCCCTGCATTGATACCCCTCATTTGTGTTTGAAAGATGATTTAAAAGATTGGTCACTTTCAGGTCACGGCCATTATTTACTGTAACATATTGAAATGAAGAATTAATGTATATGTCAGTTTCTTCCCAGTGGAGAGTAATGAGGTTGGAGAGAAACAATTCAGGGAAGTAATGAGAATATATTATTATGGGTTAGATATGGCATATTTATTTCAGGACCATGAAGTTCATCTTATACATCATTATCTTCATGAACTGGCTGACCTGTGGTTTATTTATGATCTCATGTCCCCCTGAGATTCTAGGGATAGCCACCAAGGACACACTGACCACTGGTCATCACTGTATTGAGGGGTCCTGGGTGCTCAGGACACTCACAGCAAGTAAGACTGGGTTCCCATGCCTAGATCGATCTAACAGGATTGATCCATCTCCAAGGGGTTTCTCTCTATCAGCTTAAGCAGCTCAGATGTCTGGTACACCTACTGAAGCTGCTAAACAATAATAAATACTCCCTAGCAGCTTCAGTAGGCATGACAGTCATCTAAGCCATTTAAGTTAATTTCAATTTTACGAGAATCCCCTCGAAGATAAATCGATCCTCATTTATAATAATAATAATAATAATTTTATTGAGCATTAAAATGTGTACATTTACATTTTACAAGCTCTCTAAACTACAGTTTTACATAAATTGTAATTGTATACACTTAAATAAGTATAACTTCTTTAGATCATTCCATTTAGTACGATAGTGTATGGGAATGGTCCCTAAGGGAACAACAAATACTTCTGCAGACAACTTGAGTATGTATTTAATTGCAAATAATTATAAATCCAAAATCTAAGGTCAAAGTTCATTGCATTCTGTGATTTTTTTTTTTTTTTTTTTTTTTTTTTTTTTGTATGTAAGAACACTTGTAAGCAACTAAGTAATTTTTTAATGTAATACAGAATATTTCCAGATGAGAGCAGCATATGGACCCTGTACCTGACCAGTTTATACTGGGCCACAGCTACCTCAGTATCAGTGGGGTACGGGGACATAGCTGCTGAGACTGACCTGGAGGTAGGCTGGGGCATAAGCTTGTAGGATTCTTTCATGTTATATGAGGGGGGGATTGATTTATAACTAGCCATTTATATATTGGTGCATTTTAGTTATCAAAAATAGACTCAGCGCTATATCTGATATCATGACATATTGTTAAATAAAAATGGTAGTGCTAGCTGTGTTGTTTTGTTGGCAGGTTGCAGCTGCTGTGGTCATTTCAATTGTGGGAGTGGTGTTCTTTGGCTATGTGATAGCCAGTGTGTTTGCTGGCCTGGTCAATGCTGATGCCCAGAGAGCAAGATTTCAGGAGAAACTTTGTGCAGTCCAGACCTTTATGAAAGTAATTAAGTTATTATTATTATTATTGTTATTATCATTTAAGAAGTATGAAAATAAAATTTAGTAAAGCAAAGATCACTACATACAAGAAAGGTGTCTTTTTGAATGGATTTCCAGATGTATCTATTTTTTGTAGTACTACATGTAGTTTAATTTCTTTTTCTGGTCATAATTGTTGTTGGTATTTTGTGTCTTACTGACAGTTTATTTCCACCTATTGTCTAAGGATCAGGAAGTCAGTGCTGGTCTTCAGAGAAGGATTATCAACCATTATGAGTATGTGTGGACCAGATCTCGTGGAGTGGACCCCAGATCTCTGTTTGATGGTCTCCCACTGTCACTGTGGGGGGATGTCACATACAGTCTGTACAAGGATATGATTGTTAAGGTGCCTGTTTGCAAAGAAAAAAAATATATGTATTTATAAGTTTTTAATTTTAATGACAAAATGATAAATTTCAGCATCTCAGGACAGTTCACACTACAGTTACATGTACTAGTATCATCAACTAACTTTTTAAAATATAACACACGCGTTAAGTCAAACTACTACATTACAGCAACTATAAATAATTTTTATAAATAAGGAATATCAACAAAGTTTACAGGTCTCTATATAGCTACCAATAATAAGTAGATTCTACTAGAATTGAGAGATATATTTTGCAAATTGTCATTTATTTCTTGTTTTACCTTAATAGGTGGCCCTGTTTGAGAATGCGGATGTGGGTTTTGTGAAGATGCTGTCACGCTGTATAAAGCCAGTGTTATTTCTTAAAGGAGAATATGTTGTGAGGAAACATGACATAGGAAGTGAGGTACACGGTTCATACACTGTATTTGCGTAAGAATATATCTGCATCTTTTAAATTAATTGCCTCATTTGCAGTTATCTGTTGAAGCTTACCATTTGCCTCAGTGACCAAATACCTGTATTGTACGTGTAGCTGTAAAAAGCATAAATAATTAATATGGTCCAGATTTATGTCAGAAGCATTAGCTTGTTATTGTAGATGTTCTTTATTCATCATGGGGCAGTGGATGTGGTATCAGAGGATGGTGACACAGTGTTTGACACTATGAATGCAGGAAGATTCTTTGGAGAAATTGCTCTTTTATTCAGTTGTCCAAGAACTGCATCAATAAGGTACAACTTCTTGGCATCTCAATCTTTATTTCTTTGCATTTGCTTAGAGAAGTTTAGAGCTTACAGTTGAAAAATTAAATTAATTCATTGTTGTCTGAATAAACCAACCAATTTTTTTAACCAGGGCCCATACCAACTGCCATTTGTTTGTGTTGAGCAAGGCAGATTTAGATGAAGTGCTGATCTACTACCCAGACATAAATCAACAAGTAATGATAACAGCAGAGAAGCGAAGAATCAAAGCCAAGCAACGCAGTGCTCTTCAACTTAGAACAGAACATGTTCAAGAAAGCATTACTAGTGCTGGCATATCTGGGGTTTGTGATAATCAAGAGGGGAAAAGTACTGCTTTTGGACCACACAGTGATTTTGCAGAGGTATGCATGCAATGTAGTCAAAAATAAGTGTGTTTTCTGTATTCCTTGATATGGGGAAACTTGATTCTTCACCAAAAAGTACAGAAAACTGTTATCTTTTTAATTTTTCCTCTATAGCCCCTTTTCCTCTACTAGGGTCTACAGTTAATAAAACATTGTCCTATTTCAGATTGAATTCAAAGCCACTAAAACCCAGAAAGTGACAGTAGGAAAAGTGACATACTGCAGGAAAACCAGTGGTCAGGGTTCACCTCCAAGGAGAGAAGCACCACATCCAGAGAACACAGCTTTGCACACAAACACAGATAGTGAATCTAAGCAAGAAGCTTCGCATCCAGAGAACACAGCTTTGCATGAAAACACAGACAGTGATTCCAGTCAAGAAGCTCTTGCTGGTACAAGTCAAGCAACAGTTGATGTTGACTCCATTGAGATAGTGTACAATAGTGAACCTGACCACAGGGAAAATGTGTCAAGTAACCATGTCACAACTCCAGAGAGGAATGCCTCCGGATGTGCTTGGTGTTGGACCAGCTGGAATGACTTCACCATCAATCCACATGGACATTTTAGCACAGTTTTCAGCTGGTTGACACTGTTCTGCACTGTCCTGTCTTGGTGGACTATTCTCTTTGAGGTGGAAGTTTTGTTTAGTATCAGAGAAAAAAGTACAGCCTTCTGTTATGCAGTTTCTTTACAAGTAAAATTGGATTGATTACAGATTTAAAAAAATCTTACTGCCCTTCTGGTGAAATATTCAAAGCTTAGTTAAAATTTAAATAATTTTTTGCAGGCTTGTTATCAGGACCATGAACTGGCACTGTTTGCAGTGAACATCCTCATAGATGCATTTTTCTGGTTGGAGGTAATTCTGATAGACTGTTGGTTACTTTGCACTAAATTTCCTTCACCATGATACTCTATGATGAAAAATGATAATTTCAGTATCAAATTTTGTATATAGTTAAAGATGAATATGATAACTGAAGTGTGCAATATTTTTTTCAGATTTACATAAAATCTCATTTAAGTTTCCATGACGAGACTGGTCACCTAATAGATGCAGCTGTCACAGTGAGGCAGTTCTATGTTAGGAGACCCAGTGGCTTGCTGTTGGATGCTATAGCAGCTTGTCCCATTGAAGTGGTGGTGCTGGCACTGCCCAGAGAGCAGTGGGTCAGTATGTGGTCATATCTCAGACTGCTCCACCTGCTGAGACTGGTCAAGGTACACCAGTTCTTTGCTGCCTGGGAGAAAGAGCTGAATGTCAGGTCAGTGGGCTGGAGGAGGCCACTTGGTACATATTTGGACAAAAGAATTTGTTGTTGTTCTGCAGAAATAAGTTATCAGAGGAGTATCTTGCAACCAGTACTTATGTGCTCAGTAATAAGTTCAACGTTTTTTGTATGGTATGTCATGCAGAATTTGAGTGGTATTTATTTTACAGCATGCTGACTGTCCGCCTCTGGAAGTCTATGATAGTGTTGTTTGTAACCCTGCACATCTGCTCCTGTCTGTGGTATGTAGTGGCTTGTCCTGGAGGGGTCTGTGGACCAAATACTTGGGCACATCTGGCTGGTAAGGCACTTTTCTTGGAGGGTTGTGTGGGCCAAATACATGTATTTGGGCACATTTGGCTGGTGAGACATTGGACAAGTATGACTTATGTAATGCACTTTGACTTGTTTGAAAATTAGTGAAAAATTTATTAAAATTGGCAAGTTAAGTACTATCATTTTAAACATACAGACACATTGTATATTAGTTTAATACCCTCACAGGATATCAGCTCTCTTTATCGTGTAATGGAATATCATATATATAGTTAATGGTACCATATTCCAGGGTTCCAGGATCACACAGTAAGCAGCATGGAGAGATACTGTAACTGTGTCTATTGGTGTGTGGCAACTGTCACCTCTACTGGATATGGAGACATCAGTGCACATACCAATGTAGAAATGGGTAAAGTGGAATACTGGGCCCAGCTTCTTCAACACTGAATAGTGGTATCCTATGGATAAGAATGACTGCTATCTTCAGGATAACTGTCTAGAAGATAACAGTGCTATCCATGGATAATGTTAATCATAGGATAGTGCTATCAGTGTTGATGGAACTAGGCCCTGATGGAATTTAACATGCCATTCTTTAAAATTACTTAATGTGGGGAAACATCCACAAAAACTTTGCTCATGAAGTGCGTATATAAAGTGGTAATCATAGTATATTACTACATAATAAGCATAGAATACTATCTTATATTTGGTAATGTGAGGTTGATATGTTGTGTTGCAGCCCTCAGCCAAAGTCAGGAATAGGATAATATCTTATATTCTTTTCCAAAAATTTATAATTTTTATATTTTTATAATTTTTTATTTTTTCAGTTGTCTCCATTGTTGTTATGCTGATAGGGAAGATATTGTTTGGTTATATTCTGGGTACCATAGCCTCTTCCCAGGCCAATGCAGCACGCACCATGGTGGCTTACAGGGAGAAAGTGGCAGTGATCAAGGTGACACCAGACTTACTCAGACCTTTGCAGAAACACAGGCTAGAACAATGATTGAAGATCAGTGACTGACATCAGATATTTGTGGTTGAAAATAATGAATATATGAATGACAACTGCATCAATATTTAGTTTTCTCAGTTTTAAAGATTATATTCTTGTTTATTTGGTAATGGTTGCTCATTTCTACCAGGATGAACTCAATGATCTGAATGTGCCTCCACACCTTAAAGATCAAGTGGTAAACTACTACCATTACCAGTGGCAACGTAAGAAAGGTGTTGACCTGAGGTCGCTGATGGTGGACTGTCCCTACACCCTGCAGACGGAACTAGCTCTTCAAATATGCCAGCCAATGTTTACTGGAGAAAAACAGGTACAGTTTTAAATATACAGACAAAAACTTCACAGCTCTCATTGCCTATCAGCCGTTTAGTGGGAGAGAAAAAGCTTGCAAATTGTAAACAAATTTGTCAAGTAAAATTGACTTAAGAAGTAGAAACATGTGTTTTCAGTATATTTAATACATTTTTTTGAAAAATATATTTGCATTCCATGTTGCGACACAATTTCATTACCAATTGGCTTTGTCCAGTTGTCTCTGTTTAAGGACATCCCTGACGCACTGAAGCGTGAACTTGCTCTGAAGGTCCAGCTAAAGTTCTTTGTCCCTGATGTACAGGTGGTGCAGAAAGGAGATGTTAACAGCAGCGCTTTCTACATTTTGAAAGGAGAGGTGGGGTATATTAAATAAAACCATGACAAAGGGTTTTTTTGTGAAAAAATTATGAAAATCAAATAGACTTTTACTTTGATATTTGCATCTGTAGCAAGACTTAAATTACCTTATGGCACAATATTTAATGGGGTTTATAGGCACACTCCATGGTAAACATGGCACAGGGTTTACACCAAATTAACTGACAAATGATAAAATTATAGAATTGATAACAGAAATAGATCCTGATATCTCCTGGTCTGGTTCTCTCAGATAGCTCTGGAAGGAGAAGATCAGTTGGACAGCCTGGGCAGTGGCAGTGTGATAGGAGAGGTCAACCTCATCCTAGATGACCCCAAGCCTGCAGTGGTCACTTATGTGGCCAAATCCCATGTAGATATCCTGGTGCTGGCCAAAAGTGACTTGGACACCGTCCTGGGCCACTTCCCGGCAGTCAGGAATACAATGGAGCACATTGCCGAACAGAAGTTTCGCTTACCAAGAAACTCTGACCACCGTCGCCCATCATCAGCAGTGTTTTTGAAAGTACCTAGTAAGACTTGGGAAATGCTTTTGTAACACTGCACATTAATAACAAGCATATACTTGTGTGCTTGTACTTTTAACAAAAAGTTTTATAAAACAAAAGAAGATAAAAGGTTTAAGATGTTATTCCTTTATGATTTATTTACAACCCAATGTACAGTGAAGCCACATTAAAATGTACAGTCTCCTATTATACAAAAATAACACCTCTGATCAGTATTCAGTTTAAATATACCTCCAACCATTTACAATTTAAATTAACTTTAAACAACAAGCACCTATAACATATCTCAAGGTAAATACAATATTTCAATTCTTCAATTAAAGCATTAATTAGTGTTTTTTCACGAAGAACATAATAAAGGCTAATGATTTTTTCCTGAAAAACAGTTATCCTAATCATCAACATGTGAACTTAACGTCTAGACTTGTATCAAAATCCATTTACGTTTTGAAGTTTGTCAAAGACATTCTAGTTGTTGAATACAATGATAAACCCTTTTTGACGAGTCATGTTACTCTAGAACTAAATGTCTTCACAACTTTTTTAAAGGTACATACGAACCGAGCATCGGTGGAGCGTGGATTCCCAGTAACACATGTAAACCACTTCTACTAGATTCTTATATGACTCAAATAAATTTGACATGCCAAGGGATAAACTGAATAGATCATTCGATCAGCCATAAAAGACCTTTAGACTGATCCTTTCTTTAAATTTATGGTTGTAAATTTAACCTACTTCCGTGACCTACTTTCCTGCCCCATTGACATACAGCTTAGAATGCCAGCAGAAAAATCTGTTCAAACATCATTTTCGGGTAAAATTAAACAATGCCTTTTTGTAATTCTTTTAGTTATACTACTTGAAACTACATGCTGGCATTTGGTTGGTTTTTGTGACAAAAAATTGACTTTGTATGTATCTCTTAAGGCTTTTGGTGTTTTATTAATTCCACCCCCAAAGTGCTATTCCAGCTATTCTATCTACTTGCAAACAGTACCTTCCATATTATAGGTACATCTCTATCACTATGTGTGCTTTGGTAAAAACAAGGACTTGTTACAGTAAATAACAAACTGGTAAAAAATATTTTACACCTTGAATTCATGTGTGATTGTAATACTTTGAATAATTTCATATGAACTGAAAACAAATAAGTATCTGAAGCAACATTTAATAGAAAAAAAAAATAAAGAGATCCAATCACATAAAATGTGGCCATGGCAAAGAAGGCCACAAGGAGTTTTTTAATTAACTTGTACGTCAGAGATAATCAAAAGTTCACATGTTATAGTCTCGATTCTGGTCACATATTATAGCCTCTATTCTGGTCACATGTTATAGCCTCCATTCTGGTCACATGTTACAGCCTCCATTCTGGTCACATGTTATGGCCTCAATTCTGATCACATATTATAGCCTCCATTCTGGTCACATGTTACAGCCTCCATTCTGGTCACATGTTATAGCCCCTATTCTGATCACATGTTATAGCCTCTATTCCTCCCTGCAGCTGACCTGCCTCCTTGGCAGTATTCATTAATCACCATCTTGAATAAAAACAGGTGGAAGGTGAAGATGAGGAAGGCAATGGACATCCAGAAGAAAGTAGGCAGCCCACCAAAAGCATGACCATGACGGTGAAGAGCCATGACATGGTGTTCATGTGCTGGAGCTGAAATGGAAGAATTCAGACATGAATTCTCAGGAAAGTTAATACAAATGTGTTGTGAAACTGCTGAAGTTTTGAGAAAACCAAAAACCAAATTCCTTAGCATCACTCGACAGTTTCCTCCTGCCACGAACTGATCCACCATGCTAATAAAATTGAGTATTTGAAGACAAAAGTGAATCATTTAGTCAAATAAAACTACTGCAAGAGCTATATGGCACAAAAACCCAATTATATACAGTTCTTTTAAGTTTAAATGTCTTGTCAAATATGAAGTAATCTGTAGTGGGTATATTCTAAGTAATAAGGAAGCTCTAAAATAACTGATGGTTTTCAGTATTTCCTGGCTGTCCTACCTTCCCCGATCTCTTTCACATGTATCACATGTTTGAGGTCGTCCATATGCTGCCTGTCTGCCGTGATGTACAAGATGGCGGTAAATGGCTCCGTCTGCTTCACTGGAAATTTGGTTAGCTCTTTGCTGAAAATACAAAAAGGGAATGTCAGATTTACAATCCAAAAGGTTTCTTTACTGTGAAATAATTCTAAGAAAAGTTAAAAAAAAATTGCAAAAGCCTTAAGAATCTATAAGATGTGAATACCTATTACTTTGTAAGAAGTCGCGTTATACTCAATAGACGTAACAGAAATCAAAGATTGACAGACTGAACTTTTTGCTAGCTGATATTTAATGATTTAAAATACAAAACAGTAAAGAACATTCTGCTAGAACCACTTGTGGATATACTCATAATTAAGAATTTTTAGAACTCTTCAATTTCATCATTATGAGTAACATTACTACACAGATCAATTTCCCTCAGAGCAATTGAAGATATTAGTTCTTAAAGTCTGTGTACCAACCCAAGTTGAACAGGTGGGTCCAGGCATCCTGCATCACAGGCAAAGTAGACCTTGTCATTCCTGTCCAGGGAGGCAAACAGAACAGCCTTGTTATCATCCCCTACTATCACAGATATGTTGACATGGGTGTTATTGCCATAGTTGATTCTACGGAAATAGTAGTCTCTATGGAGATCCTTGGGCATCATGCCAAACTCCAGGTGATCATTGCTGAATTTTAAAGCACCAAAGCTCAAGATCATGGCTTGGAGAACTCCATCTGTGCCTGGAGAGAAACAAAAATGGAGTTATGTTTAGAACATGTTAGGTTTACCACTTTACAATGAGTATCTTATATAGGTCTAGCTGCTAAAAAAGGTTAAATCAAAATTCAATAAAGTGTACACAAATCTGAATCATAAAGGTCTTTATAAAGTAGAATTTTTAAAATAATTTTCAATAATGTTGATTGGCAGTGAGCTATGTTTTATCATAGGGATTTCTTACCAGCTTTGACCATAGAGCCACAGCCCTGTTTCTCCAGTGTAATAAGCCAAGAACTGGCCAATCTAGACACATCTAGTTCATTATTACACCTAGCCCACAGTGAGGACCCTGGTAGCTGGCTGGAAAACAAACAGATAACCTCCAGCTTTTCATAACTACTAGATGTTTTGCTGCAAAGACTTGATCTTGACTAAGTTACTTTAAGTCATGCAGAAAATTTCAACTTTCAATCTATAGAATCTATATCTTTCACTTGAATGGAAAATGAGATTAACATATTTCCAGAACAGTTTGGTAGTCTTACCAAGCACTGTTCTCTTCGCTACTTACATTGTATTATGGCCAGTGTAGCACTTGTCTGGGAAGTGCAGTAAGTTATCCAGCTCTAGTTTGGAGAATGCTGTCATGCCAGTCTCGTGGATAGAGGCAGGTACATTGCTGAGTACATAGTACATGGTAGTGTTGATCTGGGGTCCATTTAACATCCCTGGGGCCATAGAATAACTGATGCTGAACCCAGACTGCCACATCTGACATATAAATAAAACCACTCAACTTCTGAATATTTTTGACACGTGATAACAGCAATGTGTTTGAAAAAGGGAGGCTCCTGTTAGAATACACCAAGTCCATAATTTTATCATAATCAAATAAATGTTTGATGCGCTTTCTTCTAAATTGTGATTTTAAAAAAGAAACAATCAAAGCTGTTCTGGGGATTGAGAATCAACACACCGCATACTGCTATCACATACTAATGACCATAATGATAGGATTGCATATTATTCAAATACTAGAAAATAAAAACAGGACCAAGATGAGATATTTGAAAAGAGATGAAGCTACTATAGTACAAATTAGGAAAAAAAATGACTAGTTGTGGCAGTGAGAAGCCCTACCTGGTTCCAGATGCGGGTGTGTTCTACTCTCAGCTTCTTTCCATCAATGTTCAATGCTGATGTAAGTGACTTCAAGAGAAACAAAACACAAAACTTTACCTATTTCACTTATAAATTTCCTTCAGTGAATTAACTTTTATTACACAAAGAATGTGAGTGAATAACAGTAAATCTTGCTTCCTTAATTATTCTAAATATATGACAATGTATTAAAAGTGCACTCCATTAAAAAATTAATTGTGATGTGATTTTCTTGATCAGTTTACTTTCAAAGAAAGCCACAACCCCCATGTCTTACATCAGCTGCCTGCTGTGCCATTTGTTTCCTCAGTCCAGAGTTTCCAGTCTGACTGGTAGAGCTAGAGTACTCCACTGCCGTCACCACGCGGTACTTCACTGTGCTGGAGTGGAAATAGTATAACCAGTCTTACTACCACCATAATAATGTTATATATGTAACAGATGCTTTGACAGCTTTACTGAGTAAAAGACTTCTTATCATAAGAATCTATTGATTGATATATTAATATCTGTTGATATAAATTGTAGAGGGTAGCTTGATGCAAGCAATAAGAGTCACATGGCCCGTCTGCTTGAATACAAAACAATTCTGATAAGGTATAGTGATAAAATTTCATTATTTGACATTCATGCCAAGATATCTTTTAAAAGCATGCTTGAACACCACAATTTTTGTATTTTATAATTAAATTAATCACAAAGCTGTCTCCATTACCTGTCTTCCTTGATTGGAATTGTCTCTGGCAGCCTGCTGGACGCTGTCCCCAGCATCACAAACTCTGAGGCAGATCCTGCAATGGGGACCTTCCCTGCAGACACCAGGTACTCCATGGTCTTACCTGCTTGGTTGGTTCTACAATATACAACATTTAGGAGTGATACAACCCCTTAATACCTCAGTATAAAAAAGAATCCATTAAAAGAATTCTAATTCTAAATAGCACCAAGGACATTCAGTCAATATATATATATATATATATATATATATATATATATATATATATATATATATATATATATATATATATATATACAGAACCACAGATTTAATATTCTCAGCTAGTCAGAATTATTGCATTTTTTATATCAAGTTACATGTGAATAATATTATGCTGGTGCGAGTTTCCTGAAGCTCCAAAGCTACTAACTTGACTGGCGTTATTTGTGTCAAGACTCCCTTCCAGTCCGAGGCACCTATCTGGTGAAGATCCACAACTGTGGTGCTCTCCTAGAAATATGGTTGACAACGTCAGCTGCATTTAGACACATAACTAATTAAACTTTTCATCAGAAAATATGAATGTTATGAGTAAACCTGCGTGTGCCAATGGCTCTAAATTAAACAATGGCTATAAAATCTGTAAAAAGAATATACAAATATATCTATAAGCAATGAACGACCGAAGGACCAATTGTTTTAATGAGTCTCATGTCTTTGGTTAATTCACTTACTGGACTTGGGTTTTGTATCCTTAACTCCTGGACAAGGATAGAGGGACGCCTCCTGTGAGCATAAACCTGAGTGACTATGGACACACAGGCTGAGGGCTGAAACAGGGAAGACAAATGCTATCTAACATATGCCCTAGTAATGTCTCAGTTACTTTGTTATATTGATAATTGGTTTATTGCTGTACAAGCAGCAAAACCAACAGAGTGAAAAAATATCTTTTTAGCAAATAAACTTGCATCATTACTGGAAGAATACAGTAAATTTAGGTTAGGCTGTGTATATTAAGTTAAAGGGAAACTTAACATTTTTTTTAGTCAGAGTAATTGATTTTGTTGTTGATTCATAAGGCCAAACTTACTGCCTTTCTGAAGCATTGTATTCTCTGCACCAGTCCTGACTTCAAGTCTATCACATATGCCTCTGAAATACAAAGTGTACAGGATACTATACAAAGTATATAGGATACTATACAAAGTATATAGGATATTATACAAAGTATATAGGATACTATACAAAGTATATAGGATACTATACAAAGTATATAGGAACAAGAGCTCTCCAGTCAGGTCAGTATTTGTATGGGTGTGAACGCATGAACATGCCTGTACTAGATAGATAGAGAAAGAGATAAGATGCTGAACACACAGACACCAACATGTCCTAGTCAAATATTAAATATTTCTATTTTTTAGAACAGTTAAAAAACACATTTTCCACTTACCTTTTTTCTCATGACCCTCAATATTTACATCCACAATGGGGAAAAACTGCACTGGTAAAGTGTGTGATCTATTAAGTAGTAAATAAATTCCATTCTCGCTGTTCACTGACAAACCAAATTTGCCATTACCTGGAAAAAGAAAAACGTATCTCTTAATATGGTCATAAAAACATGCTTTTATTCAAAAGCAAGAATATTATGTAGCTGAGAAAACATGCTAAAATTCAATTTCTGTGTTTTGATCAAGAGGGAAGTGAGGACAGTGATGAGGATACAGTGGTATTGTACCAGATCCAGATTGTTTTGATCAAGATGGGAGTGAGGACAGTGATGAGGATACAGTGGTATTGTACCAGATCCAGATTGTTTTGATCAAGATGGGAGTGAGAACAGTGATGAGGATACAATGGTATTGTACCAGATCAAGGATTACAATCGGTGCAAACAAATCATTGTCAAAAACGTCAAAAATGCAACTTGACATAATATAATTATTAACTCACCTATATATGCTGGATAAAAGTTTTCACCTTCTTGAAGAGGGGAGTGATATTGAATGGCATCAAACTCTAAAGCTGCTGACTGAAAGTTATCCAGTTTCTCATTAATACACTTGTCCAGTGGATGAACTGAAAATGTATCCATAGTAATTACATATTATAAATCATAACATCAATGGCAAAATATGACACACTCTTTCCATTTTATAATAATAAACTAAATAACACTTTTTATTTAATACGGTAATAACTTGATTTTCCAATGGGCAAAAATTATCAAACTTTCAAATACATATATATTTGTGATCACAAAATTTATGTTTCTCTATAGAATTTGTAGTTTTACTGCATAGAATAAATCAATAGAGTAACCTGTTTTTTTTTTTTTTAATTTTTGTTGCTACCACTCAATAGGTATATTCTAATTATTAGAAATTATGACTTAATTTCTTGACTTAGTATTTGTAAAAAAAAATCACTATTTATCCCTGAGTAATTACCACTCATACATACATTCTTACATACAAACCTGTTACCAAGATTTCTATACACAGCTTCATATAAATCAGTAGAATGAAATTCTAGGCTGTCATGTGTCAAAACAAAATAACACAGACTTTTCCTAAGGAAACAGAAAGAAAAACTCAATCTTCACTTACCCTTATAGCGTGGTCTTATCCTTGCCGTCAGCCAGGAAGGCCACATATACAGCACCACTATTAACAGTAAGACAATGACCAGCAAGACCTTCCTATTCCTGAAAATAACAGTAAGACAATGACCAGCAAGACCTTCCTATTCCTGAAAATAACAGTAAGACAATGACCAGCAAGACCTTCCTATTCCTGAAATTAACAGTAAGACAATGACCAGCAAGACCTTCCTATTCCTGAAAATAACAGTAAGACAATGACCAGCAAGACCTTCCTATTCCTGAAAATAACAGTAAGGGACTATTCCCACAGATATTTGGATCGATGTATCTCCCTGGGTAGTCTCACTAAATTGTTATCAACTTAACCAGCTTAAATGTCTGTCAGGCCTAGTGAGGCTGTTAAGGGATAATTGTCTTTACACCCTAGCTGATACGGTAGGTGTGACAGACATTTAAGCTGGCAAGTCGACAGCAATTTAGCGAGACTCCCTAGGGAGATGGATCGATCCAGATGGATTGATCTAGGCATGGGAACCCAGTCTCAGACAATGACCAGCAAAACCTTCTTATTCCTGGAAATAGCAGTAATACAATGACAGCCATGATAGATATCTAATATGTCCACGGCACCAGTACAAAATTTTCATTTGCTTAACTAGTCTGGATAATCATAAACTGCCAATGCCTTTTTAGTAACAAAGTAGAGACAGCACCTGTAAAGACATGTTCTAGCGGCTTGTTCCTCTTGTTGGAAATGTATGCTGCTCACATGTTTCTCAGAATGGAACACAATGTACATTTTAAGCTGACAACATCATGAAATGCCTCATTATAGTCAGCAGTCAAAACCATTTGCCTTTATTCACTGTAGATATGAGCTTCACAATAATATGTCAAGCATTATAAATAATTGAAAGATATGTCTAAATACCTGCATAAAATGCAAGCTGTCAACATATACTTTTTATGGCATCTAACAAGATCAATATTCATGCTTTACATGGTGCCTTGAAAACCTGTCTGGAAATCTCTTCCAGACCTAGTAGACATCAGTTTTCAAGGCACCATGTGCTCATATTGAAAAGCATGAAAGCATTATTGTGATATATAATTTATAAATGGCATCACAGCTTAAAGGCTTGATTTGTAAATCAACAATGTCCAATGCCTGCGGCCAGTAAAATTTTGTGTGGACAAGATTTTTCAGAATGGTGAATTGAGTGGTTCAGCATGGTATTAAACCCTTTTCCGCAATTTTCCAAAAATATTTTTGAGTGCATCTTGTTCGCTAGAAAACAAAAAATCAACATCAAATTCTAAAGATCTTTTAAATTATTGTATATGGATATTTTTCAAACAGTTGTTATCCATTCAATGTATTCCTAAAGACAACTTAATGCCATTATGATTACACACTCTAAAGCTTAGAGCTAGTTTTTTCTTAAATGCACATTTTGAACAATCGGCTATTCTCATATCAAATTTAAGGACTTGGACAGTGATATTATTGTCTCCTGATATCTAAGTATATTTTGTGGCTGACAATCATCTTGACTAAATTTGTCCTTGGATGGAACGTTTCAATGGAATGGATTTTAATCTAACAATAACAAATAAAGAACAATTATTGAAAAAAAATAATAAAAATCAATTTTAGAGAGAACATCATTACATCATTTCTTCCATTACCTTAAATTAGAATAATAATAACAGGTAACATTTTTTCAATAATCTTTTAAAACCCCACAGTATCTAGACACTTACCGCAATTTGAGAAATGCCCTATACATCTCATGCTCCCTAACGTATACTTTCAACGGTTATGTAGTTATGTAGTAAACTTCCGTAGCCTAAACTAATAACTGAACACCAAAAACATGGAAAAGGTGGGAGTTTCAATTGCACTTGGCGTTTCTCCGACTTCCATTTTCCAATAAAAAATCAGTTGCGCAAGCATTTTAAACACATACGACTTTCCTCTATATCTATAAAGTCTCTTCACCGAAGACGTACATATATAAATAAATCAAAGATGCAAAGTGGATAAATATTTTATTTCGAGCAGCATATTACACTGGTAGAGTGCGACGAACAACGTGGCACTCTGTCAAGTCAGTCTTACCTTGCGCAGGCTGTTACAATGCCTTGCAATCTGCCTTGCCCGTTGATCTGCATGGTTGAATCCCTGCATTTTTTAGCCGCACCAAAGGTCAAGCATATTGTGCACTTGATCAACCGTTGGCAATTCCGCAGACAAAGTGTGGACATAGGGTCATCTCATTTCTTCAACATTACAACAAACTACAGACAACCACGGACTTGAATGACCTTGACCTAGCAAGCTAAATATTTTAAAATAATCGTCCAATTTAAATCTTGACAATATTATATTTTCTATTCAAGTTATCAAAAATTATTTTTGCAAAATTTCATTCATAAAACAGGATGGTTAGTGGAATTTATTATTATTTTTGTTATTACAAATAATTCACTGCGTGACAGAAATTAGCTGCATAGTTTCTATCAACTAGTTTCCACTGAAGCTACCTGTGAGTTGGTGCTGATTCGTGCATAAATACATTCTGGTGCACTGCAGCGTCTCTGAGGATCATGTTGTAAACGAATAAGATAGTTAAGAAGGTGGGCATACACTGCACTAGACAAACACGTTTTCTTTTGTCGATAAAACTTGATTTTCTTATGTCAATGAGAGAGAGAAAATGTGAAAGTATTAACTAATAGTGCATCATTGCCAAAACTGCATTAATCAGCAATTTTAAGGCGATCAAGTACAGCATTTTGGGAGAGACTTAACTTGTAAGCACTGTGAGTTTTTTTTTAATGTTGTCAAGGGGAGGGGCGGCTCTAAAAACCGATTAAATTGTCCACATTTACTATTACCTGGCCTTTACATTGAGATAAATGGCTGCTCGTATGTCACCTCCATGAGTGGAAGAATTAAACAAAACCTCACAGAAAACCTTTATAACAGCATGTCATACTATACCGCAATGTTTTATACTGATATGGTTAATTTGAAAAAGAAAACAGCAATCAATCTAATACAGCTGTCATACAAACCTTATGACCTACAGTATTTTAATCTATAAGGGGGTTGAACATATGTCACTTGCAGCCTTACTGCTTAGATTAGTTAAACTCAGTAGCAGACAATAACACTACAGGGAAACCAACTAGCTACTGGCTTGAAGATTTTCTATTGAACTTATAGTTTATCCAGGAATATCTGCCCAGTTTCAGAGCTCTTTTTTCTAAAAATACATATACCAACAGCTAAGCATATCTACTTATATGTAGCCTCATCTGTTCAATTTCAGAGTTAAAAATCTGTATAAAGTGTAATATATGTTTATATTTGTAATTCATATAGACATGAGGCAGTAGTTAACATCACAGCTGTCTGTAAGAATTATCTTTTTTTTTTCAGCAAAGGTTATATAGGGATTCAAGTGCTTTGAAAAAAACAACTTTCAAGATGCTGGTTCCAATTTTCACCCTGAAGTTGAATCACAAGATCAACCCACGTATGGTAACTGTGGGGAAATATGATGGTAAACACCCCTGTCTCACCTGTGCTACCACTGCTGGCAAGGTAGGTGTACTCATATATTATATTAGAGACCATAAGTTCTTTTGAATTGGATCAAATATTACTGAACACTCCAGCACTGAAGTAGAATAAAATATAATAAAACGTTATTTTGAATTGTTTGGGTTGAGAAGTAGAATATTACAGGTGCAGACAACAATGTTATAGAAATACATCATCTTTGTAATCCCAGAGAAAGGACCCTATTGAGTCAGGCAAGAAGAAAGAGTTATAATTGACATGTAGTGTGAGTGGTGTCAATCCTTTCCACTGTGTTCTCAGGTGTTCATCCACAACCCTCACACACGTGGAGAGAGAGGAGGAAGAATGGAGGGTTCAGCAGACACAGACATCAGTTTACTGAACATCAACCAGGCAGTGAGTGCAGTGTGTGCAGGGAGACTGGACGCTTCCAAACCAAATGACATCCTGATGGTGGGCACACAGACCAACCTCCTGGCATATGACGTGGACAATAACTCAGACTTGTTTTATCAAGATGTAAGTATTATACCTATTTCAAAACAACAAGTTCTTTTAATGTAGTTAAATAATTTGCTTGTTTTTGATGCTTAGATTTGAATACATTGATTATTGTGACTGGAGGTGTTTGAGGAATTGTTTGTTATCATTTATTATAAATATATTTTTGTCAGATAAAGTAAGTGCTATGTTTATTTTCTTCATAACTTACTATTACAAAAAATTCAGAGCTACATAATTCAAATTTAGCATGGTATAATCATTAATATGATTGTAGTTATTTCTTTCAAAATATTTTTTGTCCATAAATTCTAAAGTAGATGGAATTTCAATATGTGCATTATTTCAGACCCCTGATGGTTCCAATGCTATCATAGTGGGTCACCTGGGCTCCATAGATACCCCTCTGGCTGTGGTGGGGGGCAACTGCTCCCTACATGGATATGATTATGAGGGCAATGACCCCTTCTGGACAGTAAGTGAGGCATTATTTATTTTCTGAATTTGGTAAAATTTTGTTTCTGCCTCAGTGCTTCCCATAGTGAGGATTTATATGGCTTGACATTTTGTGTTTTACTTGTTGAATAAATATATTTCGTGTGCTTTTTTCATTTGTTTGGTTTGTAACGGATGTTAATGTTTGTTCACCTATGCTAGACTTTAATGTATCATTATGTTACAGGTAACAGGTGACAATGTTTGCTCCCTGGCCATGCTAGACTTTAATGGGGATGGAGTTAATGAGGTAAGGAATAGTTTTATTGTCATAAAGTTCTCATAAGTAATTTACCATTTATTTGTTTCTGTTCATTGAGTAATGGGTTTCTTTAAAAACAGTATTAAATTAGCCATCAGTAAGGTTATTTTTACTTTACAGTTGATAGTTGGATCTGAAGACTTTGACATCCGAATATTCAAAGAAGATGAAATCATTGCAGAAATGACAGAGACAGAGGTAATAGCATTTTGTTCAATTTAGATAAACATCATGATTATGTTTGAAACTTAATATTTGTGTTGACAACGCCCATTGCATGTTGAAATGTTATTGGCTATGAAAGTAAAGGTTTTTAATGTTAGACAATCACCTCTCTGCAAAAGATTATAGACTAAAAACAGGCTGCAATTAATTTATTAGTGTATTTTTTTTCATACAATTGACTTTTTCCCTTGACTTCAGACCATCACATCCCTGTGTAAAATGATGGGGAGTAGGTTTGGTTATGCCTTGGCCAATGGAACAGTGGGTGTATATGACAGGACAGCCAGGTACTGGAGGATTAAGGTAAGTAGGTTTGGTTATATGTTGGCAAATGGAACAGTGGGTGTATATGACAGGACAGCCAGGTACTGGAGGATTAAGGTAAGTAGGTTTGGTTATATGTTGGCAAATGGAACAGTGGGTGTATATGACAGGACAGCCAGGTACTGGAGGATTAAGGTAAGTAGGTTTGGTTATATGTTGGCAAATGGAACAGTGGGTGTATATGACAGGACAGCCAGGTACTGGAGGATTAAGGTAAGTAGGTTTGGTTATATGTTGGCAAATGGAACAGTGGGTGTATATGACAGGACAGCTAGGTACTGGAGGATTAAGGTAAGTAGTGACCACCTCTGGGATTCAAATTCATAGTCACTATGGGGAATTAGCATGATAAGGTAAGATGGTTACAGTTATTTTCTATTGGTGGGTATTCTTCAAGGAACAGGGGATACTTAATTCTTAAACTTATTCAAAACACCGTACCTGAAATACTTTCCAGGTAAAATTTTTCTTGATAAATTTCTGCTGTCAACGTTGTGCATGGGCTTAAATAGCAATATCTTTCATAAACAGTTGAAGTAATTTGATCCCAGTCCCAGTGGTATGTGTTAGTTATATAATGGCTATTGAAAATAACTTGCTTATTTTGTATAAAAAAAAGCTCCTGTCCCTGTATTTAGTTTCTACATGGAAACCAATTTTTCCCTCAACTGTGAGTTCTAAATAATATCACAATTGCTGTTATGAAGCAGATTCTTCTTGCCAGTCGTCACTTGTATAGATCTCATAAGGAAGTAGAACACTCTAGCCAGCCATTACTGACATACATCTGTCTGATTTCAGTCCAAGAACCAGGCAGTCACTATCAACAGTTTTGATCTGGACGGTGATGGTGTGCCCGAGTTGATCACAGGGTGGAGTAATGGCAAGGTAGGAGGCTTGTTCTCTGTGAAATAGTAAAACATTCCATTATATACTCAAAAAGATTTAATCCTCAACCTATGAGACCACAGTTATTTAGATCGATCTATCCCCCCTGGGGAGTCTCACTAGATTACTGTCAGCTTAACCAGCTTAAATGTCTGTCCTGACTACTAAAAGGTGTAAGGGGGTAATTAACTTTCGTGCGCACTTGGCTACCGGAAGCTGACAGCAATTTAGCGTGAACCCCCAGTGAGTTAGGTCAATCCAGATGGATCGATCTAAATCTATGGGAACCCAGTCTAAGACTCTTACAGCTGGTTATTTGAGATTTAAAAATACAAAAATATTGTAAATGTAAGGTATAGCCCATTTCATGTGTCTCAGCATTTTATCTAGTTGGGAGTCCTTTTTATAGAAAGGTGAATTACACCTAAATGTTGATATACTTTGCTGTCCCTAAATGTGTTCAATCTAAAGATATGTTGTTGTCAATAGTCATACAAGGTAGCCAAAAAGTGTATTTGTTTTCAGATTGACGCCCGCAGTGACAGAACTGGAGAAGTTGTGTTTAAGGATAATTTCACAAATGCAGTGGCAGGAATCGTTGATGTAAGCACCTGAATATAAAGTGTCAAGTTGATGTCTGACACAGTTAATTACAAATAAAGTAACTACTGCTGTGGTGATAAGTCTCTCTCACTGGCTGTAATCCAAAGTAACTTTACAGCTAGTTTTAATCACCATGTACATTTCAAAATTTGAAGTGCCCTTTATATTGGATGTTGAGTATTGTAGATTAAAATGTTGATATATGTTATAACTTGTTTTTCAGGCTGATTATAGACTGGATGGACAACAGCAGCTGATCTGTTGTTCAATAGAAGGAGAAGGTAAGGATATTGATAGGTAATAATATCATTGAACAGTGATGCACTGAAGGTATATGGAACTTTTATACTTATATGAATAAACGATAACCTTTTTTTAGCAGTCATGAAATTCACTACAAGTAACTTTTGTATAGTCAGTGACTGTATGGTTAACAGTCAGGGTGAACTGTATTCTCACTTATCCTGTGGTCGTATTGCAGTCCGTGGTTATAAAGCAGCACCCCAGGAAATGAAGGGCAACCTGATGGACACTAACGTGGAGCAGGAGACGATCCGAGAACTCAGCCAAAGAAAACAGGTTAATATGGACAATAATGATGGTTTTCACATTAAACTGGGGTAATCTTTACCAATACCAGGCATTAATGATATATTTGATCATTTATCTCAAAACTATTTGAAACTACATTTAAAACTGATAAATTGAAAGCAGGCATTATACTAGTATATATTTTATTTCAACTGAAGTAATAGCATGCCAGAGAAGTAAAGTACATATCAGTAAGACATATAATTTTTTGCTTTAAGAATCTCCTCCTTGAACTGAAGAATTATGAAGAGAACCAGAAAGCTGCCCAGTCCAGCAGACCGTCTGGCTTGGGGGACCTGGACCAGGGCCAGATGGGCATCATTCCTGTGAGAAAATCCAGATTTTTTTCCTTGTTTTTTATCCTTATTTGTCAAAGTACCTTAATTATTCTATTAATCTTATTGAAAATTAATTACAGTATTAAAAAGCATCATAAAGTTATACAAGTTGTCGAAAAGTTGAATACAAGAATTCATTGTCTTTCTTTGCTCTTTTTTCTTTCAATTTCTTTTCTTCTTGTAGGAAGTTACAGATTTCAAAGTAGATCTCTTTGTCAATCCAGGCAACTACAAATTAAATGTAAGAATTTTGAACTTGAGTGTTTCCAGCAGAATCTTTGTGATGATTTTTTATTTACTAACAACCCCCCTCCCCCCGAAAAGAGGGAAAAAAAGAAAAAAAAAGGTGAGGAAGGGGGACCTTCTCACTTAATTTGGAGATCAAAATTTTGAAAGCATCGCTGTAATCCATAGAAAAGAAAATATATTCAACACAAAATTTCTGCTGGAAATGATATCATTTTAAATTTGAGTGTTGAGAATTTATCATAGAGTATTACATGTATTTCAGGCTAACACTCAGTTACAAACTACTCTACAAGTCAATCATGGGAAGGAGGGTAAAGCTGTAAGTGTTATCTAGGTGGCTGTAGATCATGAGCAGACTATCTACTCTTTTGTTTGCCATTTTTTTGTCACCTATTTCTATCTCTCTCACTACACTTGTGCTTTTTGTGCAGGGACCACTGAAAAGACACACTGTGTACCACCACAGGGGCCAGTATTTCCTTTTGAGTAGTGCAAGACCCATTTCACTAGATGAGGCTAGCATCACTATCAGGCTTGTCCTAGTTCTCTAACTAACACGTAACATCTTGTTGCTCTGTTCTGCTTCAGCTGCTAACACACTCCCAGATGCTTGATGGAAATATTTCTTTTGCAAAGTATCTGAGTTTGGTTCTTGAATTTTAAAAGTTTGCTTTTCAGTCCTTGAGAGCAGGGTTTGTGTGGGGTTTTCTTCAGTTAAATGTTACATTATGGATATTTAAGAAAAATGATATGTGTTGATTTTAGAGCTTTTTGTACATCCTGAGGGGGACTTAATGTAAATGAAGATTTATTTCACGTTTAGTATATATTTAGTTATACTCATTAAATTGGATGTTTCATTGACATTCAGATCAAATAATCAATGTGTATTATTTTTGTGGCCTAATAGATTAAATTAGTATTATTTTTTATTAATTATGAATTTTTTGTTTCCTTCAGCCTCATGTTGAACTAAATGTTTGTACTACAAATGGTGAGTTTTTTAAATTTTAGTGTAAAAATTCTTTAACAGTGAAGTTTAGATACATTTTTTTCTCCCACTGTTAAGTCATTTTCTGTTATTTCTTGTTATTGTGTCATTGCATATGATTTTTCTGTTTGTGGCATTTGGCTCAAATATTGTGTTTTGGGATTACTATGTGTTAAATGTATGGCAGATCCAAATATAATTTTTTAAAAACATTACAGACACAGTTGTAAGAGCAGTGCTGATATTTGCTGAGGGCATATTTGAAGGAGAGAGCTATGTTGTGTGAGTAAAAAATATTTCATTTTGTTCTTATATACTGTAAAGACAAACATTTAATGGATTTTAAAATAAAAAGAAAACTGCAATGGAGAATAGATGATGTGGCTTTCAGTCAGATTGTTAGAAAGAATCATCCTGAGAGTTCCTATCATGAACTATATCTGAGTGGTGTTATTGTATGTTCTAGTCACCCAGTCAATGTGGGAGTCAGCTCCAGTCTGAGAGTTCCTATCATTAACTATATCTGAGTGGTGTTATTGTATGTTCTAGTCACCCAGTCAATGTGGGAGTCAGCTCCAGTCTAAGAGTTCCTATCATTCCACCCAAGGACGTCCCTGTGGATCTTCACATCAAAGCTTTTGTAGGATTAAGGAACAGGTATTGTTGTTTTTATTTAATAAGGTTAACTAAAATCCAATGCTTTGTGACTTATCTAATTTTTTTATTCTCCATTAATATCTTTTTACAACATTAAAAACATTACATGATAAGGATTATCTGAATCTATGGTGCCCCATATATATAAATCTCTGTGTATTTTCTCCACAGCAACCAGTTCCATGTGTTTGAGTTGACCAGGCAGCTGCCCAGGTTCTCTATGTATGCACTGTGTGGTGGGGACGTACCAGAACCAAAGAGTTCTGTAGTGTTCCAAGTCAATGAAAGAGTACAGAGGGTAAGTACAGCTGTGTGGAGGGGACGTACCAGAACCCAAGAGTTCTGTAGTGTTCCAAGTCAATGAAAGAGTACAGAGGGTAAGTACAGCTGCTGGTTGAACTTTATTTTTTACTTTTTTTTTGTCTTATAAAGATTGCAGATCAGATGTAAGAATAGAATAGAGAGAATGAATGTTTTGGCTTATCTAGTAGTGTCATGTCATATAAGAGGGAAATGGTGGGTGCATTATCCATCAATATTTGGTTAAAATATTTACCTTAGCTCATATGGTTATTTTATACTTATTCAAATTAACGATGTTTCCAAACTTTTTTGGTCAAGTGTATAAAAGAAGTGTCCCAGTTTGTCTACTAATTGAGACAGCACTAAGCTTTCAAAACTTTTATGAAGATAAAGTTTGACACACACACATATGTATGATATTCTCTGTAGGTTCTTATGTGGATCAACCAGAACTTCCTGCTTCAAGAAGATTTGGTCTGTCCTGGCGCTCTCGACGCCCGCTTCATGTCTCTCAGGGGGGCGGGACCTCTGTGTGTCAAGATGGAAACTAACGGACAAGTAAGAAATAGTTTTTATATTTTATTTTCTAAATTTGTGGCCAAGTAACTAATGGACAAATAAGGAGTGGATTTAAAGGTTGTTTACTCACAAGTTCACTTTTACTTATTTTGTAGACTCAGCACAGAACTACAGTCCATAGGTTTGACAACATGAGCTCATTACAGTGTTAGGTTACATTTTGATAACATGTAGCATTGAAACAGACCTGTGTACACTGACAATATTTAATTTTTTATTCCAGGTAACAATCAAAACAGATGACATGGATGTAGCAGCAGAAGTTATACAGAGTCTTGCATTGTTCCTAAAGATTGAAGACCTACAGGTGACGGCAGACTTCCCTGATGAAATGGAGGCTCTCAGGCTGACACTGATTAAAGTAAGACACTAGGAGTGCTATATTCAAGCCTAGGTGCTTAGTCAAAACACAAGATGTAGGGAGACGACTTTTCTAAAATTCTTAAGGATAATAAGGAAATTGTATTTTCTGTCAAAAAATGTATATATTACTAGACTTCCAGTGTTAGAATTAAATGTAGCTTGTCAACCAAGTAATAGCACCTGTTATGTTTTAGGTCGATGATTTCCATGCTGTTAGACAGAAACTGACAGCAGAGATGGCAGACCACTCCAACCTCATCAGGAGTCTGGTGGTGAGGGCAGAGGATGCCAGACTGATGGGAGATATGTAAGTGTAATTGTATTAAATCTAAATACTGTTTAAAGTTCTGCAGCTGATTTTTCCTGATATTTATTTATTTATTTATTGTTATTATTATTATTATTATTTTTTATTTTTGAAATTCAAAGTTGTTCCCTTACTTATTGAAACAGTTAAATAATAAATCTTCTACTAAACATTCCAGGAAGAACATGAAGAAAGGTTACATGGAACTGTTTGATCTGAACAAAGATCTGATCAATGGCTACAAGATAAGATGTAACAACCACACAGAGCTGCTGAGCTGTCTGAAACAAGTCAATCAAGTCATTCAGAAGGCAGGAAAGCTGAGAGGTGAGACTTATGTCAATCTTATGAACAGTTCAGGCACCATTACATATTAATAAGGTATATTGCAGTATATTTAATAACATTCAGTATAAGTAAACTCTGTGCTATTCACCTGCACCCTTAGTTAAAAATAGGATTAGACATGTAATTTAAAATGAATATAGTAACATATATAAGTATATAGATGTATATATAGATATATAGCTACAAGTAAATTAACGAGCCAGGAACCACAAGCTGCCAAAATTAATATTTATGTATTAGAGTAATAGGGAGCTTGATTGTTTGTGTAAACTTAGATAATTTGTCTAATCCAACACATGGTGTATCTTCCAGTGGGTAAGCACAAGACACAAGTGGTGAACGCCTGCAGAGACGCCATCAAGAACAACAACGCAAGTTCTCTCTTCAAGATAATGAGATCAGGAGCTGTGACATCATAATGTCCTTGACATTGTGACACTTTTACCACATGGACACAGACAGATGTGTGCTTTTATAAACTCTCCAAGATACAGGGGCAGATTGAGGGTCGTCTGGAAGATGGTAAGAATATAAAGTTTACACTGACGGATATCTATTTTTTCTGTCAGAAGATGGTCAAAAATGGAGGATGGATCAACAAAGATAATTTGGAAGACTGTCTGAAAATAGCTCTGGATCCGCCCCTGAGATAGTAAGATCAGATGTGATGACATAATGCCCTTGTCATGTTGACAGTTTGGAAACAAAAGGAAGATAGCCACACAGACTGAAATAATTACATACACTGTTTGTACCTGGAGGACATTGGGATATAAAAGGAAGGTCAACCATTCATTTCTCATTCATCATTAGCGACCTTGAATTGTCATCACCCAAACGTCATGCTTTTAGTAATCTTAATATTTTAAATACCATTTCATATAGGTGTTTATTTATTTATTTCTTTATTTAAATATATTTATTTATTTATTTTTTGAGCTGTCTGAGTTCAGTCCAATATTTGCATCCAGCTAAAGGCAACCATTCATGCATGGTTCATGTTTTAACTTGTGTAAAAGAAAAAGTTGCCAGAACATGCAGCAACCTACATCTTGTAGCGTTAATGTGACTATTTATTTAGAGAAAAAGGAAAATGCTTTTTTTTTTTTTTCAATGAAAGACTTTCAAGTTCTTGGGATAGAATTGCAGCATATATCTGCATAGAATTCCGTCCATGTGAAATGTTAAGATTATCAGGTATATGGCAATGACAGCATCATTTCAATGCGGGAAATTGTGAAATTGTATATTCTTTTAAAGTCATAGATTCTTAAATATAGGACATTCCTATTGAGTGGTAGCAACATAATAGAAAAGCAGGCTACATTATAGTTCTATTCAGTTTAAGCACCTCAAATGCTATACAAAGTATATCAATCATATTTTGGAAGATTCCCAAATTATTTATTGGAATATTTATAATTTTGCCCATTGAAAAAATGAAGAAAAGATCAGATTTTTTTCTTTGTCATTTCATTAATAGCATTAAAATATGTATTGTATAATGTATGAGGTATATTCCAAAGCAGGGATTGTTTTAAACATTGTGATACAAGTAGCAGTACACAAAAAATTTAAAAAACAGTTTGTGGTCAGCTGTTTCCATGCACATATATCAAATTAAACCAGTGTATGCTTAGAATATTTTGATAAGTGAATCTAAAAATTGATTTGGATGTTTGTAAGAGCAAGTGCATGTGTGTATGAATGTGTGTGTGTGTGTGTGTGTGTGTGTGTGTGTGTGTGAGAGAGCATGTGTGATTATGTGGCTATGTTTGTGTGTGTAAGAGAGAGAGAGAGAGAGAGAGGGAGAGAGGTGCTTGCAAGCGCAGGGACTGTCTGTTGTCATGAATTCACAGCTGTACTTAACTAATAGAAAACTCAAAGGAGTCAGGTGTGATGTTGTGAAGTAATTGTAATGTCTGCTCTTTGAAGTATAATATGCTTCATGTTTTTCTTTTATTTTTATTGTAGTTTTTTTTCCAAAGAATACATATTTTCTTGAAATCATTGTGTTTGTAATGGATTCTCATGGTTTCATGTTGATGGCAGTTGCACCGTAAATAATTTCCTGTGATGAGTAGGTTGAGTTTCATGTCAGATGAAAGGCAGAGAAAATTGAGCAGCCAGTCACAGTACACAGTCAAAGACTCACGGGCATACTTTCCTCTGGGACTTTTAATGGATGCCATTTAATTTTCCTTTTCTATTCTTACTTGCATGATATTAATGGAATGGGCCAGAAGTTCAATCACTTAATGTCTTGTATTTTGTATTGGTGCACATTACTTTTTTTTTTTTTTTTTTTTTTTTTTTGGGGGGGGGGGGGGTACTAGTCAGTACTACTATACTGCATGCTGAACCAGTTGTCATTATTAAAGAAAAATATTCAAATGATGTCAGTACCTCCTGAAATTTTACATCATTTATAGGACAGAAGTATAGCATGTGTATTTGATCTTTTTCTAAATAAGTTAGTCTGTTTTATGGTTCCCTTGCCCCTGTGTTGCCGAATACTTGCTCAGTCTTGGATACAGATGAAAGGTTATGTAATCTCACATCTTGACATATATGTAACATGATCCATATTTCTAATGATGTGTAAAAGTAGTTTCACTCCCCAGGGGCACTATTAGAGGACAATATAGGCCCAGGGTCTTATGTTCTATTTCTAGAGCTTCCTAAGCTGCCCAAGTAGCTAGTCTGTCATTGACAAATATTGATTATTGACAAGAGCTAATGTTAAAAGCGTACATGGATTTTACAGAGAAAGTTTCTATACCTTTCTCCACATCTGCACTGCTTGATCATTGACTGCCTTTAGTTTATTAAGAAAAATGATATCTTTTTTATGCCTCGTCCTTTGTGAAGAATCAATTCTAAATGCAAACAGTATAATATTTCTTCCATCTGTAGAACAAGTATATTTAGTCAAAGGTTTGGCTTTTTTAATCCTTTGGTAGCTGTGTTATCACTTAAGATGAAGAGGATTTGAAGTCTAACAGGTAATGGTATTTAATGAAGTATTTTGTTGTTGTTGTTGAGCTTTATAATTTTTGAAAAATAAAAAGTAAAAAAGTTCCAAAAGTTCAAGGTCATAATCCAGCTTAGTGTAAATGCACTGTACCAAGAAGGAAAGCATTTTGTTAATTTGCATACAGGGGATTTTCAATTTGATCCTTATAAAATCCTTTTATCAATTTTGTAATATTTATGGCTTGACTTATCTGTATCTGTGTTTAGATAAAAGGTTAAAAAGGGGTTAAAAAGCAGACGGGGGGAGGAGGGGGCAGACACAGGGATTTCATGTTTCATGGGGAGATCATTTTCATCTTAATCATATTCCAATTTGCAGCTTTGTCTCATCTTTTATATAAATCATATTAGTTTAAAAAGGATGCATGAAGAAAAAAACTGATGACAAATTCTCAGTCTTTTTCCCCTCCCTGACAAACAAAAAGGAAAAAAAAGATCAGGAACATGGATAAGCAAAAGGATCACCTAATCACTGCAAGTGCTTACCCAAAACTAGTGCCTGTACCTCCCCCTCCCACCCAAGTCTAACCCCTAGGATGCTTTTGTCCTAAATTTATCTGTGCCACAGTTTCAGTTTTAGGGACATTTGAGTGAAGTTATGTAAGCCCAAGACCATTTAACTGAAGTTTGATGATAAACCAAATAGGATAAAAGTCATTTGTAAATAATAGTAATCTATTTGGTTATGTATATGTATATATGCATGTCACGTTATGGTTGACATTGGGATATAAATTTATCTCAGATTTATCTTTAGTTCGTCTCCCGTTCATCCCCCAAATCCTGGTGCATCGTCTAGCACCGTCAAACATCCAGTTTAGGGACCACATCAAATAATCAGTAATATTAATCAATTATTTTTAATAAATGAATGATATCTGACATTTAGACACATATCATCATACATTTAGATCAACGTGGTAAAGAAAGTTCACTACACACTTTCAGGGCACCCCAAGTAAGAGCTACCTCAAATATTGATATTTTGACATGGCCCCTCTTAGCTGGGCCTTAATTGATTGGATTTCTAACAAGGTTTCATCGTTTGATCAGGCACCTGTACGGCACATTCTGAAGTTTGTTTTATTGGAGAACCGTCAGGAGCATACATAATTGATAGGATTTGAAGCCACCTCCATTTGCAATCAATCACTAACATCACTAGCAACAGTATTAGTGTCTGGCAGGCATTTAGTCGGAGATGAAGCTTTTTATCAACACACAGTAGTGGACGACATGCGATGGAATTTGAGCAAAGAAAGGTAGGCTGCAAATTTAGCTGGTTTTAATAAATTTGTAACATGTGGCTTTACAGAAAAAAATACTTTTTTNTATCTTTTTACAACATTAAAAAATTACATGATAAGGATTATCTGAATCTACGGTGGCCCATATATATATATATATATATATATATATATATATATATATATATATATATATATATATATATATATATATATGTGTGTGTGTGTGTGTGTGTATTTTCTCCATAGCAACCAGTTCCATGTGTTTGAGTTGACCAGGCAGCTGCCAAGGTTCTCCATGTATGCCCTGTGTGGAGGGGACGTACCAGAACCCAAGAGTTCTGTAGTGTTCCAAGTCAATGAAAGAGTACAGAGGGTTAGTACAGCTGCTGGTTGAACATATTTTTTTCTTTTCTGTCTTATAAATTATTTTTAAAAACTATATAATGTAGTGGGAAAATCTTCAGTGTGTATAAATAAGTAACGAATGGTGGATGCATTATCAGTATGAAGATAAAGTTTGACCCACACATGAATGATATTCTTTGTAGGTTCTTATGTGGATCAACCAGAACTTCCTGCTTCAAGAAGACTTGGTCTGTCCTGGCGCTCTGGACGCCCGCTTCATGTCTCTCAGGGGGGCGGGACCTCTGTGTGTCAAGATGGAAACTAACGGACAAGTACGAAGTAGTTTTTTATTTTTTATTTTCTAAAATTGTGGGCAAGTAAGGAGTAAATTTGAATTTGTACTTCTTTAAACTAATGGATAAATAAGCAGTAGATTTAAAGGTTGTTTACACACAAGTTCACGTTTACTTATTTTGTAGACTCAGAAATACAGTCCATATGTTTGTGTGTTTAAGATTTTATATATAGCCAACAACATGAGCTCATTACAGTGTTAGGTTAAATTTTGATAACATGTAGCATTGAAATAGACCTGTGCACACTGACAATATTTAATTTTTTTATTCCAGGTAACAATCAAAACAGATGACATGGATGTGGCTGCAGAAGTAATTCAGAGTCTTGCATTGTTCCTGAAGATTGAAGATCTACAGGTGACGGCTGACTTCCCTGATGAAATGGAGGCTCTCAGGCTGACACTGATTAAAGTAAGACACTAGGAGTGCTATACAAGCCTTGCTGCTTAGTCATAACACAAGATGTAGGGAGACGGTTTTTCTAAAATTCTTAAGGATAATAAGGAAATTGTACTTTTTGTCAAAAAAAGTATATATTACTAGACTTCCAGTGTAAGAATTAAATATAGCTTATCAACCCAGTAATAGCACCTGTTATGTTTTAGGTTGATGATTTCCATGCTGTTAGACAGAAACTGACAGCAGAGATGGCGGACCACTCCAACCTCATCAGGAGCTTGGTGGTGAGGGCAGAGGATGCCAGACTGATGGGAGATATGTAAGTGTAATTGCATTTAATCTAAATACTGTTTAAAGTACTGCAGGTTATTTTTTGTGATATTTATTTATTTATTTATTATTATTATTATTATTATTATTATTATTATTATTATTTTATTTTATTTTTTTTATTTTTTATTTATTTTTTAATTCAAAGTTATTACCTTACTTATTGAAACAGTTAAATAAAAATTCTTTTACTAAACATTCCAGGAAGAACATGAAGAAAGGTTACATGGAACTGTTTGATCTGAACAAAGATCTGATCAATGGCTACAAGATAAGATGTAACAACCACACAGAGCTGCTGAGCTGTCTGAAACAAGTCAATCAAGTCATTCAGAAGGCAGGAAAGCTGAGAGGTGAGACTTATGTCAATCTTGTGAACAGTTCAGGCACCATTACATATTAATAAGTTATATTGCAGTATATTAAATAACATTCAGTATAAGTAAACTCTGTGCTATTTACCTGCACCCATACATTAGTTCAAAATAGGATTAGACATGTAATTTAAAATGAATATAGTAACATATATAGGTATATAGATGTATATATATAGATATATAGCTACAAATAACGAGCCAGAAACCACAAGCTCCCAAAATTAATATCAATATTAATGTATGAGAGCAATAGGCAGCTTGATTGTTTGTATAAAGATAATTTGTCTAATTAAATCCAACACGTGTATTTTCCAGTGGGTAAGCACAAGACACAAGTAGTGAACGCCTGCAGAGACGCCATCAAGAACAATAACGCAAGTTCTCTCTTCAAGATAATGAGATCAGGAGCTGTCACAACATAATGTCCTTGACATCATGAAACTATTACTATACGGACACAGACAGATGTATGCTTTTACATACTCCTCAAGATAATGAAATCAGGAGCTGTAACAACAGTGTCCTTGTAGTTGAGAAACTAACACTACAAAGACTGTGGCAGACATGCTTTTATATACTTTTCAAGATAGTAAAATCAGGGCCCATAACTCGAAAGCATCGTGTATTGCAAATAGCGATATCACATAGAGGCTACATATTGTATGGGCGAGTTATGGAATCGAGACACTTGCGCTCGGTTGCATTGCACAATGCTTTCCAGTTACAGGGCCCAGGAGATGACATAATGTCTTTGTCATGGTGAGTTTGGAAACAAAAGGAAGATAGTCACACAGACTGACATAATTACATGTACTCTTTGTACCTGGAGGACATTGGGATATAAAGGGAAGGCCAACCATTCATTTCTCATTCATCATTAGCAACCTTGAATTGTCATCTCCCAAACATCATGCTTTTAGTAATCTTGATATTTTAAATACCATTTTATGTAGGCGTTTTTTTTATTTTTTTATTTATTTATTTATTTATTTTTTTTTTTTTTAGCTTGTCTGAGTTTAGTCCAATCTTTGCATCCAGCTAAAGGCAACCATTCATGCATGGTTCATGTTTTAACTTTCATTGTGTAAAAGAAAAAGTTGCCAGGACTTCTTGAGTACATTCAGCAACCTAAATCTTGTAGCGTTAATGTGACTATTTATTTAGAGAAAAAGGAAAATGCTGTTTTATTTGTTTTTTTTTTTCAATGAAAGACTCTCAAGTTTTTGGGATAGAATTGCAGCATATGTCTGCTTAGAATTCCGTCCACGTGTAATGTTAAGAGTATCAGGTATATGGCATTGCCACCATCATTTCAATGGGGAAAATTGTGAAATTGTATATTCTTTTAAAGTCATAGATTCTTAAATATAGGGCATTCCTATTGAGTGGTAGCAACATAATTGAAAAGCAGGCTACATTAAAGTTCTATTCAGTTTAAGCACCTCAAATGCTATACAAAATATATCAATCATATTTTGGAAGATTCCCAAATTATTTATTGGAAAGATTTATAATTTTGCCCATTGAAAAAATGAAGAAAAGATCAGATTTTTTCTTTGTCATTTCATTAATAGTATTAAAATATGTATTGTATAATGTATGAGGTATATTCTAGAGCAGGGATTGTTTTAAACATTGTGATACAAGTAGCAGTAGACAAAAAAATATAAAACAGTCTGTGGTCAGCTGTTTCCATGCACACATTTCGAATTATACCAGTGTATGGTTGCGATATTTTGATAAGTGAATCTAAAAATTGATGTGCATGTCTGTAAGAGCAAGTGCACATGTGTGTGAATGTGTGTGTGTGTGTGTGTGTAAGCATGTGTGGTTATGTGTAAGTTTGTGTGTGTAAGAGAGAAAGAGAGAGAGAGAGATGCTTGCAAGCACAGGAACTGTCTGTTCTCATGAATTCACAGCTGTACTTAACTAATAGAAAACTCAAAGGAGTCAGGTGTGATGTTGTGAAGTAATTGTAATGTCTGCTCTTTGAAGTATAATATGCTTCATGTTTTTCTTTTATTTTTATTGTAGTTTTTTTTCCAAAGAATACACATTTTCTTGAAATCATTGTGTTTGTAATGGATTCTCATGGTTTCATGTTGATGGCAGTTGCACCGTAAATAATTTCCTGTGATGAGTAGGTTGAGTTTCACGTCAGATGAAAGGCAGAGAAAATTGAGCAGCCAGTCACAGCACACAGTCAAAGACTCACGGGCTTACTTTCCTCTTGGACTTTTAATGGATGCCATTTAATTTTCCTTTTCTATTCTTACTTGCGTGATATTAATGGAATGGGCCAGAAGTTCAATCACTTAATGTCTTGTATTTTGTATTGGTGCACATTTTTTTTTTTTGGGGGGGGGGGGGGGACTCGTCAGTACTACTATACTGCATGCTGAACCAGTTGTCATGATTAAAGAAAAATATTCAAATGATGTCAGTACCTCCTGAAATTTTACATCATTTATAGGACAGAAGTATAGCATGTGTATTTGATCTTTTTCTAAATAAGTTAAGTCTGTTTTATGGTTCCCTTGCCCCTGTGTTGCCGAATACTTGCTCAGTCTTGGATACAGATGAAAGGTTATGTAATCTCACATCTTGACATATATGTAACATGATCCATATTTCTAATGATGTGTAAAAGTAGTTTCACTCCCCAGGGGCACTATTAGAGGACAATATAGGCCCAGGGTCTTATGTTCTATTTCTAGAGCTTCCTAAGCTGCCCAAGTAGCTAGTCTGTCATTGACAAATATTGATTATTGACAAGAGCTAATGTTAAAAGCGTACATGGATTTTACAGAGAAAGTTTCTATACCTTTCTCCACATCTGCACTGCTTAATCATTGACTGCCTTTAGTTTATTAAGAAAAATGATATCTTTTTTATGCCTCGTCCTTTGTGAAGAATCAATTCTAAATGCAAACAGTATAATATTTCTTCCATCTGTAGAACAAGTATATTTAGTCAAAGGTTTGGCTTTTTTAATCCTTTGGTAGCTGTGTTATCACTTAAGATGAAGAGGATTTGAAGTCTAACAGGTAATGGTATTTAATGAAGTATTTTGTTGTTGTTGTTGAGCTTTGTAATTTTTGAAAAATAAAAAGTAAAAAAAGTTCCAAAAGTTCAAGGTCATAATCCAGCTTAGTGTAAATGCACTGTACCAAGAAGGAAAGCATTTTGTTAATTTGCATACTGGGGATTTTCAATTTGATCCCTATAAAATCCTTTTATCAATTTTGTAATATTTATGGCTTGACTTATCTGTATCTGTGTTTAGATAAAAGGTTTAAAAGGGGTTAAAAAGCAGACAAGGGGAGGAGGGGGCAAACACAGGGATTTCTTGTTTCATGGGGAGATCATTTTCATCTTAATCATTTTTGAATTTGCAGCTTTGTCTCATCTTTTATATAAATCATATTGGTTTAAAAAGGATGCATGAAGAAAAAAACTGATGACAAATTCTCAGTCTTCTTCCCCTCCCTGACAAACAAAAAGGAAAAAAAAGATCAGGAACATGGATAAGCAAAAGGATCACCTAATCACTGCAAGTGCTTACCCAAAATTAGTGCCCGTACCTCCCCCTCCCACCCAAGTCTAACCCCTAGGATGCTTTTGTCCTAAATTTATCTGTGCCACAGTTTCAGTTTTAGGGACATTTGAGTGAAGTTATGTAAGCCCAAGACCATTTAACTGAAGTTTGATGATAAACCAAATAGGATAAAAGTCATTTGTAAATAATAGTAATCTATTTGGTTATGTATATGTATATATGCATGTCACGTTACGGTTGACATTGGGATATAAATTTATCTCAGATTTATCTTTAGTTCATCTCCCGTTCATCCCCAAAATTCTGGTGCATCGCCTAGCACCGTCAAACATCGAGTTTAGGGACCACATCAAATAATCAGTAATATTAATTAATTATTTTTAATAAATGAATGATATCTGACATTTAGACACTTATCCTCATACATTAAGATCAACGTGGTAAAGAAAGTTCACTACACACTTTCAGGGCACCCCAAGTAAGAGCTACCTCAAATATTGATATTTTGACATGGCCCCTCTTAGCTGGGCCTTAATTGATTGGATTTCTAACAAGGTTTCATCGTTTGATCAGGCACCTGTACGGCACATTCTGAAGTTTGTTTTATTGGAGAACCGTCAGGAGCATACATAATTGATAGGATTTGAAGCCACCTCCATTTGCAATCAATCACTAACATCACTAGCAACAGTATTAGTGTCTGGCAGGCATTTAGGCGGAGATGAAGCTTTTTATCAACACACAGTAGTGGACTACGTGTGATGGAATTTGAGCAAAGAAAGGTAGGCTGTGAATTTAGCTGGTTTGAATAAATGTGTAACATGTGGCTTTACAGAAAAAAATACTTTTTTTAAAAACTTTTAAAGTAACTTTTTTATCAGGCCTCCCTAACTTAATGATTCATTGATCATATTTTTTTCTTCTCTTTTTTTTTTTTTTGTCTATGTACATATATAAGGGTTTTCTATTTATTGCTTCACTTTATTAAAACAATGTTAAACAATGCCAGACATTTGCTTGAAATTTTAAATAGTTAAGCTTTAGAAGTGTTCCAACACAGAATAAAACATTTATCTGTTACTAATGAATTGCAGTGACAAGTTGACAGAGCTCAGAGGTATTACAAGTACAGTTAGTTCAACTTGTTTTCAGTATCACGATTGGTGATAGAGAGAATGAATGATGTAATTTTATTAAAAAACTTTGTTTGGGACTTTCAAACTCACCGAACAAATAATCAGACTTGTTTCAAATCTTTTACACATCAAGAAACTTATTGGCATCAACAGTAATTTCATAAATGGCGTACATTCATTAGTTTGACTTTTCAACACATGGGTATTGATTAGGTTAACTGTAATCAATTCAATATTATACACTTGAACACTTGTCTGCAATACTCATTATAGTCAGGTGAAATGTTAAGATAACATAAAATGTCACCTTATTTACAGAGCCAGTAGGACCGAGGTCTGAGAACTATGAACAAAGTGATGGACCAGCGGTCATCTCAGCCCAAGTCCAGCTTGACCAAAGTGCTGCTCAAGGACAATGTGGCGATGCAGCAAGTCCTGGAGAAACAAATCTCCACTCTATCAGTAGAACAGAAGAGAATTGAAAAGATTCTTGAACTGAGCCGAAGAACTTTCATTCACAAACAAACTAAGAAGCAAAAACAACTGGAAAAGATTGGTCTGACACATATCTCGATTTTACCAAATATCGACCCTCACCAGACTCGTTGCCAAAGTTCTTCAAATGCCAGAAGGCTACACTCAAGGTCAAGGTCAAGTCCACAGGTTCACTGGGATTTACCAGGGTCAAGGTTAGAGACAGGTCAAGGTCAAACTGAAGCAACTATGATCACTCACAGATCTCTGACAGATCTGAATAGCTGCAGTCTAAAAAAATCTGAGGCAAAAGTTGATTCAAAAGAAGAGTTAAAAATGCCTAGAATAACAGTAGATGAAGGGGATGCACCCGTGGCTGACAGCCGGCCTGGATCATCTACATTAAGACATTGTAAAAGTGCCGGCGATTTACAACGGTCTTTGTCAGTTCCGGATGATGTTCACGATAAAGACCAGGAAACCACCCTGCCCTCTCTAGAAGACACAATGCAAGCAAGAAGACACACAATATTTTCACCAACTCAAAGGCAATTCACAGGATATCCAAGAGGGTTTTCTTCAAAACTAAGAACTAGACGTGCAACAATAGCATTCCCAGTATTAATGGACCAGTCGCAGGTAATGAACGACCCACGGTTCCTGGGACTAAAGAATGCGTTAATACCTCTAAACGAACCAGAGCCAGAACCTGCTGAGGAGAGCAGCGAGGAGAGCGAGGAGGAGGAGGAGGAGGTGGTCAGACGACCAAGAAATGCCATGTTTATCAGTGCAGCTGATCTGGATGATTAATTGTCACTGTCTTAAAAAAGTGCCTCTCGAGATATCGCTGACTGTAAGAACAGTGAAATTTCTTATGTTGATATTATATAAGAAAGTTGCAACATGCAACAGAATTTATCAAAGTGACCTAGAGAAAAAATTGGGCACATTAAGATTTTATCCTTATCAAAATATTTCAAAATTCAGCTCTTCAAACATAATTGCATTTTTATGTTACGTTGATATAGGGCATACCAGTGGGTAATTTGGAGTAAATTTCGGCAAGATCAACATGTACTGTGGNAATAAATTTGTAACATGTGGCTTTACAGAAAAAAATACTTTTTTAAAAAACTTTTAAAGTAACTTTTTTATCAGGCCTCCCTAACTTAATGATTCATTGATCATATTTTTTTCTTCTCTTTTTTTTTTTTGTCTATGTACGTATATAAGGGTTTTCTATTTATTGCTTCACTTTATTAAAACAATGTTAAACAATGCCAGACATTTGCTTGAAAATTTAAATAGTTAAGCTTTAGAAGTGTTCCAACACAGAATAAAACATTTATCTGTTACTAATGAATTGCAGTGACAAGTTGACAGAGCTCAGAGGTATTACAAGTACAGTTAGTTCAACTTGTTTTCAGTATCACGATTGGTGATAGAGAGAATGAATGATGTAATTTTATTAAAAAACTTTGTTTGGGACTTTCAAACTCACCGAACAAATAATCAGACTTGTTTCAAATCTTTTACACATCAAGAAACTTATTGGCATCAACAGTAATTTCATAAATGGCGTACATTCATTAGTTTGACTTTTCAACACATGGGTATTGATTAGGTTAACTGTAATCAATTCAATATTATACACTTGAACACTTGTCTGCAATACTCATTATAGTCAGGTGAAATGTTAAGATAACATAAAATGTCACCTTATTTACAGAGCCAGTAGGACCGAGGTCTGAGAACTATGAACAAAGTGATGGACCAGCGGTCATCTCAGCCCAAGTCCAGCTTGACCAAAGTGCTGCTCAAGGACAATGTGGCGATGCAGCAAGTCCTGGAGAAACAAATCTCCACTCTATCAGTAGAACAGAAGAGAATTGAAAAGATTCTTGAACTGAGCCGAAGAACTTTCATTCACAAACAAACAAAGAAGCAAAAACAACTGGAAAAGATTGGTCTGACACATATCTCGATTTTACCAAATATCGACCCTCACCAGACTCGTTGCCAAAGTTCTTCAAATGCCAGAAGGCTACACTCAAGGTCAAGGTCAAGTCCACAGGTTCACTGGGATTTACCAGGGTCAAGGTTAGAGACAGGTCAAGGTCAAACTGAAGCAACTATGATCACTCACAGATCTCTGACAGATCTGAATAGCTGCAGTCTAAAAAACTCTGAGGCAAAAGTTGATTCAAAAGAAGAGTTAAAAATGCCTAGAATAACAGTAGATGAAGGGGATGCACCCGTGGCTGACAGCCGGCCTGGATCATCTACATTAAGACATTGTAAAAGTGCCGGCGATTTACAACGGTCTTTGTCAGTTCCGGATGATGTTCACGATAAAGACCAGGAAACCACCCTGCCCTCTCTAGAAGACACAATGCAAGCAAGAAGACACACAATATTTTCACCAACTCAAAGGCAATTCACAGGATATCCAAGAGGGTTTTCTTCAAAACTAAGAACTAGACGTGCAACAATAGCATTCCCAGTATTAATGGACCAGTCGCAGGTAATGAACGACCCACGGTTCCTGGGACTGAAGAATGCGTTAATACCGCTAAACGAACCAGAGCCAGAACCTGCTGAGGAGAGCAGCGAGGAGAGCGAGGAGGAGGAGGAGGAGGTGGTCAGACGACCAAGAAATGCCATGTTTATCAGTGCAGCTGATCTGGATGATTAATTGTCACTGTCTTAAAAAAGTGCCTCTCGAGATATCGCTGACTGTAAGAACAGTGAAATTTCTTATGTTGATATTATATAAGAAAGTTGCAACATGCAACAGAATTTATCAAAGTGACCTAGAGAAAAAATTGGCACATTAAGATTTTATCCTTATCAAAATATTTCAAACTTCAGCTCTTCAAACATAATTGCATTTTTATGTTACGTTGATATAGGGCATACCAGTGGGTAATTTGGAGTAAATTTCGGCAAGATCAACATGTACTGTGGTGCAGACAGATACATCCCGTATGCCAAACATTGGGTTTATTACTGATGTTCACTTTTCTTCTCTTCAATATAAAAATAAATAAATAAAATTTTAAAAGAATATTGTATATAATATCCACCTAATTATTCAAAAAATTACTTTTCTAGGGATTGGATTTTGTGAATAGTTTTCACTTTAACATCATATCAATCGGGTTATGGATACAGTCCCTGGAAAATGCATCCTTCATATTCAGAACAAGTTCACAGTCTTACAAATCAATCGACTGCCAGTTGCTATAACAAATACTCCACCTAAAGACAAGTGCAAACAACTATCAACTTCAGATTCACCTTTGATATTTGCAGAGTCAGTAACTCAACTCTGATACTTTGATGTTCACTATAAAATCATTTTATTTCACATGAATGGACAAGTCCTCAAATGACAATAAATAAATGTGACATGAATGGACAAGTATTTACAGAATGTTCTAAGCAACAAATAGGAAAGAAGTCACGAAAATGTGTCAAACTTAAAACACAGCAAAGTCGGTCCTAAACTGTTTTACTTACACTGATAATTTCTTTCCTTAGAAATGTTTGAACACCAATATCAGCAGCAAAGTCTTTGTAACAAAAAGGGGTTTCAGCCATAAGATAGAAAAATAATGACAGTATGTATCCATGGAAGCGTAGCACTGTGTACATTTGGAGACATTTTACCAAGTCCCACAGTTCAACTTCCATACTTTGTGCTACTTAAGCATGGAGGAGATATAAACAAAGTGTTCAATCAAAATATGCATTAGCCCTTCTTGAACAGAGCTCAGCAAACATATTTCATTCAAATATCTTTAAAGTGTTCCTGTTGTAAATAAGCCAACTTTCCCCATTTATAACATTCTTTTGTCTAGAGCTGTATTACTCCCCACTGCTTAGTGGCCAAAGCATGTTTTCAGTGCTGTGTAATCCTGGCTCAGTTATTTCCTATTGTATGGCAGGTCTCATTAGTAAATAGCTTATTCAACATACTGGAAACGTGCTTAACCACTCAAAACTCATATCCTGAAAATCTCTTTTATACACTCAGTATGAAGGCCGCTTGATAAAAAACAACCAATTTACAGAAAGCAGTCACTCAATTCAAGGCACAGGGGGCAATTCTTTTTGTCAAAATCAAGAGTTTGCATGGTGATGAATTAGGGTTTTTATGATCTAAATATGCAATGACTAAAACATTTCAACTTCATTAATCACACATAAAAAAACAAGATCCTGCACAAGTTGACAATAACAAAACATGGTAATGAGTAGCATACTACTTGAAGTAATTCAAAAATAAACTGAAAAATATGTTTGAAGACAGTTTTTTTCTTAATTTAGATACCAAGAAACCTCATCCACGAATCGAATTAAAAGAAGCACATTTTCAAATACTTCATTTTAGTGCAGTGTGAAATTTGCTATTTTAGTGAGCAATGCTAGCTTTTTACATTTTTTGAGGACAATTATGCAATATCATTAATATCAAAACAAACATAAATGACATGAAACAAGAGTCAATTATCTCCAAATATACTATCAGGCTTTATATACATAGACCATATTAACATCTTTTCAGATAAAAGAGAAAGATTTTCATGTTGGAATGTTCCCTAACAGTTATATTAATTGGTAATTAACACAACCAATCTCATTATCACCCACACTATACACCTCAGTGTCTCAACTACAACACCCAGGACTACTATTGTACATACAAACATTTACACCAGGATTACATATTGACTCCTGGCAAACTTTATGGTAGATGGCGAAGTTAATTACGTAGATAAACTCCACAATAAATACTTGCTATCACCAAACAACTTGACACAGTCACATACAACAGGAAAGACTTACTAGTGAATTAAAACAGATGTATATTATACACCTGACTTGTGCTGTTGATTTACAAAGGTATTGCAAATGTTATAAACTTTAATGCTCACCAATGTTTTTTTTCTTATTCAGTATTGGCTGATTTCATAACTTGGAAAAATACCAAGGCATGACGTGGTACTGGGAATTAACAACACTAAGAACTTAACTACAAATGTTTCAACACATCTTGTACAACATTAATGTTTTTAAAGGCATTAAAAACAAAAAGCAATTACAAAATATTTTCAAGCCTACAATGGCCAATGTTCTGGTGATAAAAAACATGGACGGTAAAAATGTTACCCAGTTTATCTTATTAGCTTAAGTCTGATTGTCTGCGTGCACCCCCCCCCCCCCACCCCGTTACAAAACACACGCACCTCCACCCACAAACACATAACTTAAAACTGGGAAGACACTGGCAGAGAGTAAAAAATTCTTCATAAATGCTTCATGACACAGACAGCTTGGACAACATTGTAGTAAACTATTAGTGTATTGCTGATGACATTTGAACTGTTTGGTTGTCATAACAGGAAGGAGAAACCGTGTTCCTGGACCTCACTCACTGCTAAGACCATGGATTCTTTCCTGTGTCCAAGGAATCTGAAAATTATTGAATAAAAGTGTCAAAAAAATACAAAAAAACTGTCATTGAACAATAATTACCTAAACACATGCTCTCAACAAGATAATTGATTCATTTCTAAAATATTTGGTCACCAAATAATAATTGCCCAAATCAGAATTGTTGTTGACAGATATCTCTACTGATCTCCACCCCACCCCCCACCCACCCTCCAGGGTCTCTTACTTCCAGATGTTCAGAGGCCTAATGAACCAACCACTAAAGACTGCTTACTTTGGATTTCTTGCTCTGATATTTTTTTCTATCTTTTGATCATTCAGATGCTCAGAATCCTGAGGTAGTAAGCATTCAGATATTTTACTAACCCATGATCATTCAAATGATCAGAATCCTGAGGTGGTAAGCACTCACCCTGCACAGAAGCCTGGGTGGCATTGGACCTCCTCATCTCCACCTCCGCCTCTGACATGGGCCTAAGGTCCCTCCTGGAGATCTTCACTGGAGTCCCCTGACGTGACCCCTCCACACCCTTCAGCTGGGACATCCTGGAACTGGACACTTCATTGTGGGAGGTGCCTGTGGATGGTCGCGATGGAGTAGGCTGTCTGGAAGATCTTGGGGTAGACTCCCTACATTATTACAGGAGATTGTTAAAGTCAGGATGCATATTAAAACATAAAACATTTATTCATGTTTTGTTACCATTGTTTTATATATGAAAAAGAAATAACAACATATGTACTGCCCTCTAGCAGAAAGAAATAACAAACGTGTGTGTGCTGCCCTCTAGTGGACATAGAAATAACTAACCTGCGTGTGCTGCCCTCTAATAGCAATAACTAACATGTAAAAATGTCCTCTAGTGGACATAAAAAATAGCTTATCTGTGATTGTTCTGCCCTCTAGTGGACATAGCAATAACTGACCTGTGCGTGTGCTGCCCTCTAGCAGAGGCAGGAATTCCGTGAGGCGTGTGAGGAGTGCCAGGTTTACTGGACCTGTGGCTCTCGGAGCCGTTTTCTCTGGCTGTATGTAAGGAATTTGATACACTGTCTGCAGTGTCACCACCTCCTGGAACATTACCAAAACATGCTTTACCACAACACCTGCAATGTTTTCTTTATTACATTTCAAGAAGCATATTACCTTAATCTAGCAGACAGTGCTGCCCTCTAGTAAACATAAAAATACCTTATCTCTGAGTGTGCTGCCCTCTAGTGGACATAAAAATACTAGTAAAATGGCATAAATTATAATAATTGTCTCATTACCTCCGCCCTCAGCCTCCAGGTGGCCTGCCAACACCTCCCGTAACTTCTTCTTCAGATCTCTGCTGGTCTTCTTGTAGTAAAACAAGTCCTTCTCCAGCTGCTGAATCCTTAAAGTTATCAATTTACAAAATATAAATAAATCTTCAAATGATCCAGTTTGTTAACTGGGTCAACAGCCATCTGATCAGGCATTGGAACAGAAATTGTTAACATAATGAAAGTTCCACATCTGTTCGATACCTTCTTCTAAGTTTTCAGTGTTTATTAAAATTGTATACAAAATACATCCTTTTTCTTATTATTTTTCTTTGTCAAACAAAATGGAATAAATCCCAAAAATTCTGACCCACATGTTCTCATCTAGTCATCCATGAAACAACTCTCTAAGATCTTGAGCAACATAAATGCCCATGGATAAGTACCTAGCTTCCTGTGTGTCTGGCCCTGCTCTCTCAGCTAACTGCTTCATCAGAAGCTGAATCTTCTGCTCATAGTCCTGCTGTTGTTGGGTCAGTTTGATGTCCATCTCCATGGCTGACCGCTGTAGGGCGAACTCTAACTCCTTCAGCAGACGCTCCTGTTCATCTGTCTTCATCTGAGGACGGAAAATAACACAATTTTAATATGGGCAGAGGTGGTGATCCCATATATAAATCAATTATAATCAGCTCAGATGCTGTGAACCCACTTATAGTACACATGCATGCACAACTGAACCTGCTTTCAAAATTATCATGTAAAAATACACAATAATGATAATTACAAGAAAAATAAATAATAATTATATAACATTGTGCTGAAATACCCAATATGCCTTAATCTCATCTTTAACAATTCCTCACATATGCCCAGTAGTGTTAAACATTAAGCTTTAATTGCTACAAGGTCTCTTTGATTTATTCCTAATTTTCCAGACTTACCTCCATTTCACTAATTTGAAGTTCTTTCTTCCTCTCTGACTCTCTGAGGTCGATGACCTTCTCAAAGTATTTGTGCAACAAACTTTTGGTCTCGGTGGAGGTCAGTGACTTTAACTTGTTCAACAAATTATCCTCACTCTGAGGAAAAAGAAGAAAACAAACATCACACAGTTATTAAATCTATTCTTGTATATAGTTAAAATTGATAATAGACACAATGTAGTTGTAGAATTTCAGTACTAACAATAAAGTGTAGTCTAACTCTGGCCAATTTTCAATTATAATATCACAATATCTACTACTGTTGTTCCTCTATATGCACACCCTACAGATTGAAAAGATACTGATTTTATTACTGTCAATATGGTATATTTCTAACTGCAGATGCATTTGTATTTAAAAATTTGCAAGCAGGTTAGTAACAGTTTTTCATATATATTTTAAACAAAAATTCCTTAATATTGTTTCCAGTAGTATGATCAGTATATATATCTACCTGTGTGAATAGCTGAGATCTGCGTAATTCCTCCTCCTGGCACCGGATGTTCTCATTCTTGTATTCAATAGCTGCATCCAAGGCTTCTATGGCTTCATCCAGCTCTATCAGCCTTTAACACAATATAAAGATAGCACAAATAAATATGTTCTCCCAAACATAACACAATGAAACATGAAGAGACCATTTTTTTGTGGTAAAACTTAAATAGTTTTACCATAAAGATAAATAAATGAGATTGGCAGTTTATTTGAGAGCCAGTTTATGAATGGAGAGAAGATGTACTATCACTTTCATGCACACAACAAGTCCAACACTGACTCACCTCCTTTCTTCCTGTGGAGAAATCACAGCACCATCGTACAGTTTGTCATCTAGTACAGACTCACCTCCTTTCTTCCTGTGGAGAAATCACAGCACCATCATACAGTTTATTATCTAGTACAGACTCACCTCCTTTCTTCCTGTGGAGAAATCACAGCACCATCGTACAGTTTATTATCTAGTACAGACTCACCTCCTTTCTTCCTGTGGAGAAATCACAGCACCATCGTACAGTTTATTATCTAGTACAGACTCACCTCCTTTCTTCCTGTGGAGAAATCACAGCACCATCATACAGTTTATTATCTAGTACAGACTCACCTCCTTTCTTCCTGTGGAGAAATCACAGCACCATCATACAGTTTATTATCTAGTACAGACTCACCTCCTTTCTTCCTGTGGAGAAATCACAGCACCATCGTACAGTTTATTATCTAGTACAGACTCACCTCCTTTCTTCCTGTGGAGAAATCACAGCACCATCGTACAGTTTATTATCTAGTACAGACTCACCTCCTTTCTTCCTGTGGAGAAATCACAGCACCATCATACAGTTTATTATCTAGTACAGACTCACCTCCTTTCTTCCTGTGGAGAAATCACAGCACCATCATACAGTTTATTATCTAGTACAGACTCACCTCCTTTCTTCCTGTGGAGAAATCACAGCACCATCGTACAGTTTGTCATCCAGCACTGCTCTCTGCCTCCTCAACCTCTCCTGAGCCTGCTGGAGACTTTTTATCTCATCTTTCAGCTTTGGTCTGGCTTCTACTGGGGTGGCAGACATCTCGCGGTTCTTCTCTTCCAGTTTCTTTTCCACAGTCTCCAGTTTATTTACCACAGTAGAAATATCCTACTCACAAAATATCACTATGTCAAACATTTTTACCTTTAATTTTATTATGTCAAAATTGAAATTTCTATTGAAGCATAAGAATTATAACCTTTGTAAAATTTAAGTCTAACTAAAATTTCTAATATACTCTTAATATAAATTTAAACTTTGTATGAAGCAGAAAATCTATTAGTTTTGTGCTTACTTTGTTAAGCACCTGACTAGATCTAAGCTTACCTTGGTTAGCACCTGACTAGATCTGAGCTTTTTCATCTCTAAATGACTTTTTTCAGCTACTATGGCTTCCTTCTTGGCAAGAATTTCTTCACGTTTCTTCAGATCCTGCAAAAAGTTTTAAAATAAAAGATTTGTAAAGAAACCCTTCTTCAATAGAGATGTTATCCATTCTGAGCACTTTATTACCTGAAATAACACTAACTATGCCACCACTCTCTAATGCTGAAGACTGTCAGTTTTTTAAAAATGTTTTTGATTTAAGTTCTGCAGCTTACAAAATAACTGACAAGTAAAAAGGAACCCATGTGGAGATCCCATCTTACCCCTTGAAGCAGTTCCATCTTCCTCCGTTCCTCCAGCACCTTCTCAATTTCACCATCTAGCCACTTCCGCTGCTCATCCAACTTCTCCTGGGCAGCACTTGAAACAAAAACAAGAGCAAAAAAGGTAATGACATTAATTTTTTTACAAAAATAGCACAATATCACAATAGTGCTGTTGTGAATTTGTGTTAATATCTACCAGATTAAGCTACATTTAATAAGTAAATGCTATTCCCTGTCCCTATCTAAATGTCTTACTCCAAGGCCACGGCTGGTCCCCCACTCCTCAGTTTTCTCTGGACTGCAGCTATCTCTTCTGTTTTGATCTTCAGAATCTTCTCTTGTTGTTCATTTTTTATTTCAAGTTCTTTTATCTTCTGCTGTTCTTTCTGTACTTCTTTCTGTAAGAAAAAAGACAGACAAAACATATTTCTACAACAGTTACTGTTAAATCTCCACACCCCAAGTCTTGTGTTTATCAATTTCTGGAAACCCAGTGCAATGTTATACTTTCTGCCACAGTACAGAGAGAAACCCACCTCCAGCTTAGCTTTTCTCTCAGCTTCTTCCTTAAGTTTCTTGGTCAAATTCTCCTGTTGCTGTTTCATCTTTCCCACAGAGAGCTCCAGTTCCTCTACTCTACAACACAGAATGTTCATAAAGAAACATAAGTCACTGGGTCTCAAATACAATTAACATCTGGTATCTGAGGTCCACACTGCAATGAAACCATTTCTTGGCAGCCTATATGAAAGAATACATAAAACCAATGCCATACCACACACACACGCACGCGAGCTGGCGCACACACACACACGTCTGCTTAAAGAAACCCTTACTTTTTGTCATTCTGAGCAGTAAGATTGGCTAGTTTTTCAGTTTCTTTCTGTTTCTTCTGTAAAGCACTCAACTTAGTCTTGGTGAGCTCCATCTTCTTTTTATAATCACTAGAAAATATGCACAGTTATTATATAACACATCATCTAGTTATTATTATATATAACACTTAATATCAAATATTTATGTATGCAGTTATGCAGTCATACCTGCAAAAATCTATTTAACATGAGCCTTCTTATTTTATATCTACTCTTGTTCACCAGGACTTGGATTCTTAACTAAATCTAAGAAATACTGCATTACCTTTGCACTTTGTTTATCTGAGCAGATTCATTTTGTTCTTTCACCTCCAATTCCTGAAATGCCTTCTGGAGCTCTCTCAGTTCTGTCCGTGTCTGTTCCTTCTCCTGTGAAACAATATCATGGGTCAGTTTGTTGAAACAGGGCAATATTTTTACCACAACATTATCAGGAAGGGTAGATAATTATTTATATCGAATCATGAATCAATTGGATGTATAGCTGAAGTACCTTTTTCCAAGAGTTTGCCTGAACACACTTGGAAGAATGGATAAAATATTGATATCTAAGTTAAAAAATGAAATAATGAACGAATGTGCAAGTAATCAATGTGTTGTGTGGCCTAGGAAGGAATCAATGCACACAGAAAGTACCTTTTCCAAGAGTTTGACTTTCTCTGCGTACTGTGCATTCATCAGGTGGGCGTCCTTGCCTGTCTTCACCAGCTCTTTGATAAGCTGCTCCTTCAACCTGAATTATATATACATATATGAACCAGACATTTAAATGTTCATAAAGATCAGAAGATAATAACAACAGGCTGGTGGTACTAACATAAGCAACATCTGCCTGGAAGGTAAATATGTAGCTAAAATACCTCACATTTTATTCATTGCCAAACACCTAGAGAAGAGAGTGGAAGGAAGAAACCATGAGAATTGGGATAAAACGGGGTCTTCTAGCTATAGAGAAGAGAGTGGAAGGAAGAAACCATGAGAATTGGGATAAAATGGGGTCTTCTAGCTATAGAGAAGAGAGTGGAAGGAAGAAACCATGAGAATTGGGATAAAATGGGGTCTTCTAGCTATAGAGAAGAGAGTGGAAGGAAGAAACCATGAGAATTGGGATAAAACGGGGTCTTCTAGCTATAGAGAAGAGAGTGGAAGGAAGAAACCATGAGAATTGGGATAAAATGGGGTCTTCTAGCTATAGAGAAGAGAGTGGGAGGAAGAAACCATGAGAATTGGGATAAAATGAGGTCTTCTAGCTATAGAGAAGAGAGTCCAGAACAGGGATGGATGGAGAAATCTTGTAAGAGACAATTGGCATCAATAAGTGATTAAGTAATACATTATACTGTAGCCAAACCATTATTTCTTCCAGAGATCTCTAAATCATTAAGGGCACTGTGTACACTTACTTAATATTAATGGAGAGATCTCTAATCTTCTGAGTATTAGCCTGTACTTTGGCTTGGGTTTCCTTCAATTTCTTCTTGTGTATAACAGTGCTTGTTCTCAGTTTGTCTACGTCCAGGCTAGAAGACTCCTTGTCAAGCCTGGGGGTGCTGCCTTTGGGGGCTAATACCAAAATGATGATAGCAAAATTACAAAGATCTTCTAATAGATAACAAGTTGTTGAATAAGAATACAAATGGTGATAATGACACAGTCATGTTTTTAATATCATGTTAATTTCAAATCTTTAGTGAATAATAAACAGGCCAATTTCTACCATAATATTGTCAGTTTCAGATAATTTTTCCACACATACTCTTTGTTATTGTTGCTCCTTTGTTGTCCTTCATGGAAAGTTTTTCATCATCAGTATGTGATCTTCTCACACTTCTCACAGCCTTGAAGGTTTGCCCTAAAACTCTGCAAAGAAATTGTGCATAAATTAAATAAATAAATTCCAGTATTCTCACACTGAAGAAATAATAATTCCGGCAGTCTGCACACAAAATAAGCAGCTCATCTTTAAGAAGGTGAGACTCTGAACAATAGAAAAATAAAAACAAGAAATGACTTTAAAGTTTCCATTCTGTCCATTTCCACAAAACTCTTCAAATTAATCCTTTTTACAGCAATATGCCAAAATCTAGCTAGCTTGACAAGATAAATCCAGAGAGACCATCCTACTTGTTTGTCTTGCCACTCTCCTCTCCATCGTCACCTTCCTCATTATCTGAGAACCCCTGGTGCAGGACCTCGTCGTGCTCTTCCAGCTGGTTCATCAGGAGCTGGCTACGCGCACGGAACCCCTGCATCACGCGCTCTACAGAGAACATGGCAGGACTGGTGCGGATGTTACGTGACGGGGGACGCAGACTAGTGACCGTCTGGAGAGAGTTATGAACAAATTTCATCCTATGATGCAATTCACATTTTCTGTTAGTCAAAGATACTATTATGGAAGTAAGAAATAGGTCACAGCACATCTTGACAAAATGTCTTTGTGCTATAACACAAATATATCCTTTTTTTATTCTAAATAATATTATCTGTTCATCTTAAAATTGTAAAATTTACAATTTCTGTTCTTACCCCAGCATTCGCCGCTTTCAGCATGTGTGGAGGGACGGAGAACGCCCTCCTGCCTGAGACTGGTGCCGTGTCGTCACCATCCTGGTCAGGCTCACTCACCGCTATACTCACTTTCCTTTTCTGAAGAACAGAATATTTAACTTATACTAAGGCCATTCTAGCTATTCTACATTTTAAGTTATACCAAAAATATATATTTACTAATATATTTATATAAAAGCTTAAATTTGGCTGTCACATTTGTATCGTTTTACTTTGAAAATTCTGAAAAAGCCACAAAAATCCATTTCTGATCAAAGTTTAAATTTAGTGTCATATTTGTACTGCTCTACTTTGAACTTCTAGAAAAGCCACAAAAACCCAAAATTATGAAACTTTTCCATTCCACTGGCTCACCAGTTATTAATCATGTACTAACCCGAGTTGCCTGTTCTAACTCTCCAATCTTCATCTGCTGCTGGACCATCACTTCCTTGTGCTCATTTATTATCTTTTCTGCATCTTCCAATTCTCTATTTTTCTCTAATAAATCAGATTCCTAAATTAAAAGGAAGGGTAGATGTCAATTGTGCATTTCCAATATCAGGGAAGCAATCAAGGAGATGGAAATGGACATTTTAAAGAAACAATATAAGGAGAAAGCCTCTGAATTTTGATAATGAATAGATAATAACAAAAAAATAAATAAATAAATAAATAAATAAATAGAATAAAATTCTACAATATGACTGACAAAAGCACTATACCCAGAAAATATACTTACCAATATTTCTATTTTCCTGCTCATTTCAGATAGTTCTTCATTCTTTTCAACAAAAATTTGCTCATCACTTTTTAATTCATCTTGACACTGTAATAATTTATATGTAGATCATGATACATGAAAAAACTTAGGCTAACAAAGGGGAAACTTTTATAACAGCAAGAAATACATAATAATAATAATTAATGTCCATTATGAATGTATAAATAATGAAAAAAGTATAAAAGAAAGGATCAATTCTATTTAGATTTATTGCAAAGATCAATAGTAGTTTGAGATTGTGAACACTTGAACACATTACAAAAAGAAATTCTAAAAGAAATTTCTCAGCTTCATTCAAGATTATTTTGAAATTTTATCACAACTCACAACTTTCAATTCCTTCTGCAGCTGTTTGACTGTCCTGTCATTCCACTCCTCTTTGTTCAGAGTGGACGGCACTCTGTTCTTGATCTGAAAACAAACATGAAGAAATACATCTGGTAAATACAAACAAAATATGCTGAAAAAAAAACAGTAATTTGCATTCTTAAATATAAAGAAATCTTCTAAGAGGAGACTTCTTATTATGGTAACAATTTCTTTAATATGTAAGTCATTTTCTGCATCTTTCCTGCTAATGTACTGTCAATTATGCCAAAAGCCAAAATGTAAGCACAAATTCTTTGTTTTATATCGTACCAAGTGTGAGTGAAAATATATCTCTTTCATGAGATCTTGTGGTAACAATTTCTTTAATAAGTAGATTGTAGATTGATTTCACTTCTGTGCTGAGCACCATCTTTGGTGCTACTGCACTGCTACTTATACCAAAAACTAAAATCTAAGCACAAATTTTATATAGTGTGAGTAAATACATACCTCTTCCATGAGATCCAGCCAGTCTCTCAACTTAAACTGCTATATTTTATATAGTGTGAGTGAATACATACCTCTTCCATGAGATTCAGCCAGTCCCTCAACTTAAACTGCTATATTTTATATAGTGTGAGTGACTACTTACCTCTTCCATGAGGTCCAGCCAGTCCCTCAACTTAAACTGTTGACTTCTGGACAGAATGTCTCTCTCCTGGATGTCTGTCAGCTGTCTGTATGCCTCCTCTGCTATCATACGGTAGTGAGAACACTCTGTCTGCAGCCTGAAGTCAAACCATTGATTACGTGTGTACAACAAGGGAAATCTATTTAACACTGTGTTACAAATGAGAATATATTTTCTTTTAAATTTTTTTAAATATGTAAGCATTTCCACATTGCTCCAACCTCAACATCAGAAGACTATATAATAAACTTTAATTTTTTTCTTTGTTGAATTTTTACCAGACTCTGTCAGACTTCACCAGGGCACCTGTGTTTCAGTTTTGTCATAACTGACTAATAAGTATGAAAATCTTCAAGAAGACTAACTATATAATGCTGTGACTCACTTGACCAGCTGGTCCTCCAGGTTCCTCAGCTGTCCAGCATCCTGTATGGCCTGCTCCATGTCAGCACCCCCTGTCATCAGGGTGGTACGCTGCCTCTGTAACTCCTCTTTTAAAGCCTAAATATTCAAAAGAGCTACACTGGAACATCTAGGCATTGGAATCAATAGTTTACATTATGAACTCATCAGACAATTTAAATGTGTCAAAAGTCTAACATTTCTTTTCTTAATCATGCACAAACTACGGTATGTGTCACTTCCTCACCAGGTGGCACTAGCCTACCTTGATCTCACTCTGCATTTCTTCAAACTTCAGTGACTGAGGATCTCTGTTCACAACGGGCTTGTTACGGATATGTTTGGCCTGCGGTATATAAATAATATCATGCTACAATATTATTATAATATACATAATATATAACTGTCGATCTCTGTTCACCACGGGCTTGTTAGGGATATGGTATATAAATAATATCATGTCACAATATTTTTAAGTAGACAAAATAAATAGTCCATGGGAAAAAAAACCAAAACCCTTCCTCCCTTAGTGATTTTCATTCATTATGTTTTTCTGATAGTTTAAGTCCTAATCTTTTTTTTTTGTTGTTAGGGGGGTCTACAGTGGCCTATAGACTAATATCTCTGGCAAAGAAATAAGTAACAGGACATCAAAGGTGGTCTGATCATTATATAAACTCTGCATGAGAACATGTGGTTAAAATACCACATGCCATTTACCAGCCAAAAATTCACTCATCTGTTATTTCATACTTCCTGCTCCAACACAGAGGCACACTTACCCTATTGGCGTACTTGAGGGCATTGAGAGTTTCATCAAAGTTGCAGACAGCAGGACTGATGCAGCAAATCATCAGAGTCTGGGCATTACCACCAAGAGAATCCTTCAGAGAAGAAACAGAGGAGATTGTTCATAAAATAATGACAAATTTATTACTTATCAAATTATTTCTTAACCTCAAAGCATACAACAATTAAATAACCAAAAATGTTTATTAGCTTGGTAATGCTGAGATGGCCATAAGGCAATGATGAGGAATTTTTTCAAGCTTGTGTCAAATAGTTATGATTAATAACAATTAAATAAATAAAATATAACAACAATATAAATATATTAAACTAGAGCTGTTGGCCCTACCTTCAGCATCCTAGTGATCTTGGAATCTCTGTATGGAATGTGGCTCACTTTCTTCTTGGTGTCTCCCAATGCACTAATCACATTACCCAAGGCCAGCAACCCACTGTTGATGTGAACTGACTCTGAAAGTACAGTGAGATGAGTATGTTATTTGAACAGTCTTTAGATTCATATTAATGCTCTTGTATACAATTAAAATGAAAATAAAATGTGCAAATAGGCTTATCAGAGTAATGTTATTCTCAGGCAGCATTTGTTCCACAATTAAACACAAAATCCCATTTTTCACACTATGAAACTTCCCATCTAAATCTTTAGACCAAATCATATGAAAAGAAAATGAAAGGTTAAACTTAAATTCACAATGTCTCCTAGGTGGCTAACCTTTAAACCTGTCCCCCACATTCCCTGTCCTGTTGGCTCTCTCTGATCCTGCCAGATCCACAAAGTGAAACTTCCCGCTCATGTAGTGTACCATTTCTACCAGAGAGAAATTTGAAGATTATTCCATGAAGATGGTGATGATAGAAGTCAGTTCTAGTCATTAACTCCTTACATATCAAACATAGCCCGTTTACAATTTAATATATACAACCACCACAAACTTTCATAAAACTTTGGAGAAATATATAAATTCATTAACTTGGAAAATGCTTCTTTTTACTAAATCTCTTTTTGATAATAATGGCTTTTATGGAAACTGAAATATCTTTAAGGTATTTTGTGAATATAATATTCACACAAATCTTCAAGTATGGCTTAAGTCTACCACCTAGATCAGGGTCACCTACTGGAGATAAGGAAAGGGGGAGTGCCATATAGCATAGCATACACCATGTGAAGTGAACAACCCCCACACTACATCATTCCTTCCTGGCATGCAAAGTGTACAACCCCCACCTCCACCCCCATAGAACATACACTATGCATTCCTGGCATGCCAAGTGCTCACCCCCCCCCCCCTCCCAACAAACCACCACCCAAATCATCCACTATCCCTTCCAGTGGACAACCTACCTCCATTCTCGTCCATCTCACTACTGCCGCTGTCCCTGCGCCCTGAAGTCCTATCAGTTAGTGCCAAGTCCTCAGCCCATCTTTGTTCTAGTAGCAAAATAAAAACCCCATGCAAATAAAACCAACCATTATTATTCAGGACAGTTTAAACTTATTTACACTGTATTGAGCAATTCTGAAGTTTAATCAAACTATTGGTCTATTCACAGATATATTCACGGCATCAGAATTGTTATATACAATGTGAATAAGTTTTAACCTTTCATGAATAATACGTAATCATGTATACATGAGTTTGTATAAAACTAAAACCAAGCATGTTGAACATGGTCAGGTTTATCATAGTGTATGGGACCAGTAGCAGGATTACTAGCACCACTCTATTAATGATCTCAGTTAATTCTTTTGACCAGTGTTATAAAAACAATAAAAAGGGATAACAGAAGCAAACAAACAAAGAAAGGATATATCTGACTTGTAACTTCTACTACAAAAGAAAAAGTAAAGCTATCAATTGTCAACCCAACTACTTTCACTGTTAGTAAAAGTCAGTATCATTATCATTAGTGACAGCAGGGGGTACTAGCCAATGTAGGTACCAAGCAGATATTCTAACCATGTGAACTCCATTACCAAAATGTGAACAATACAACAACTGTCATGCTATATGCTGGATGTGGTCAGTTCACTTACCAATGAGTACAGTAAAGATGGAGTGTGACCTGCTGGATGTGGTCAGTTCACTTACCAATGAGTACAGTGAAGATGGAGTGTGACCTGCTGGACTGTTCATTCATCTGTGTGGACCCAGTTTGTCTGGCAGCAGAGCCATGTTCCAGACAGTAGAGGACCTCATCTTCCGTGGCACACACCACCTCCCTGTGGCCAGAGATCACTGAGGAATGGAACACAACACAGTGCAGCACAGATATAACTTAGGGGTGGTAATATAGAAGTAGGAAGACATGGCTCAGTGGTCTTATGATTGGAGGTCTGAGTGTTGCTTTACAAAGTTTACCACCAAGAAAATTAAATCGAAAAAAAAAGTCTGGTATCAACTACTATTTGGCCAATAAAGTACAATGACTTCTAAATTATTGCTGAATAGGCATGGGTGTATAAAATATCCTTTAATGATAGTTTCTTCTGTATTCCTTTGATTAAATTCACCTGACAAAAGTGAGTGTAAGGGTCATTATTTGGTTAAAAAGGCAGCTGCAAACTTACAAGATTACAAAGATACTGCACTTTCATTTTCAATTCATAACACATTTCACATTACCTTTACCCTATCTAGATACATACCTGTGTTTCCACTTTCATCTTCCCTGATGTGCATATCTTTACTGGCAGTATCCACATCTAGCAGGTCTCTTAGCTCCTCCTTGTAGATCTCCACATAAGACACCTTCACCAGAAAACTGGTGTCTGGTTTGGACTACAGGGACAAATTAATTGATTACAGTACTGAATCAACTGAGTGGAAAATCAATTTTTATTCCGAGCTTTCTCAAAAAGAAATCTTATCTTTGTCAACTAATTTTCATTCATTGTCTGTGTCAACTAATTTGCATTCACTGTCTTTGTAAACTAATTTTTATTCATTCTGGCTTACAGCCTACAAATTGCCTGAAGGTCAATTCATAAAAGTGATGAGCAACAGAAGCAACTATGGATGCATTTTAAACATACCCTTTTAATCTTGAACATATCATGTACCGCTCTGGGAATGATACCAACTTCATCATCAGACAGCATGGCCGAGTTCCCACCTCCCATGGTATAGGTTTTACCAGCCCCCTTTCATAAAGAGAATGAAACATTCAGTGGATATATTTATAACTGCCAGACAAATATTTTTGGTAATGAATGAGACATGTGAGTCAGAAGAGAACTGTTCATTCTGCTGGTATGATATCTGATTTATGCCAGACTACTGGTCTATGCTACTATATAGGACCATAAGGAGTGACAACTTACAGTCTGTCCATATGCAAAGACAGTAGCATTGTAGCCCTCAAAGCAGCTCTTCACCAGGGAATCCACACATGTCTGATAGACATCATCCTGAAGAACAAGGGTCAGAGATTACAACCCACAGACTTGAAAGATTAATGTTCAGCCATACCCTGGCTGCTGTGAAATCACATCCAATATAGTCCCACCCCTGTATTCATTGACAAACTAGTGCCAATAATTTCCATGCCAATGGATGTCCCAGTTTCCTTTGATGCAATCAAAAACAAATAATTGTCACTGAAATTAATCAGAAATATTGGTCTTAAATCTGTGAATTGTACATTTGTAACTTTGGGTATCTTGTATTTCTATCTTACCTGAGATATCTTTGGATTAAACACATGGTCAAAAGTGAAAGCCCTGTCTTTTCCCACCACAAGTTGATTTTTGCCTGGTGGGAATTTTACACATAGTTGCTCACCACCAAGCTTCTCCTTGGGCAAAAGAGGCCTTACCTATCAAAGAAGTTAATGTTGTTCATCATTTTTGAAATTAAAAAGTCTATTTTGAAATTATTGTGTACACTGTACATATAAACTTTTAATGCAATATATTTAGGCTTGTTAAGATTTTTTTGACCCATTAGGTGACAAAATTGTTATCAATAGAGGAAAACACTTTGCATTTTATTTAACATTAATATTACTTACTTATTTACTTTTTTATTTATTGCAGTTTCAGTTCTGTCTGAACTTACCCTCACAGCTACTTTGACGTTCACCTCAGGATCTTGCATTTTGTTCTAACTGAACAGTGTGTTGTTCAGGAGTTTATGTAAAGTGATAATCTGAAATGCCTGAAACATGGGCATGTGTTTTAAAAATAATAGCAAGTCTAATAAGTCAATGCTTTCAAAATGTTTTTAAAGTTACTGTTAATAAATATATCTTTACTTATCCCTGATGCCATGAATACTTGTTGCTTAAATTTACAAGAGAACATGATATGTAGCAGCATTTTCAATCAGCTCCCTCTCTTCTCTTTGTAATTTTATTTTATTTTACTTATTTATTTTTGTTGGGGAAGCATAAACATGAGAAAGAGTAATCCACTGACACCTTTCGACTGAGAGAGAGAGAGAGAGAGAGAGAGAGAGAGAGAGAGAGAGAGAGAGAGAGAGAGAGAGAGAGAGAGAGAGAGATTTAACTACCACATGTAAGAAAGATCCTTACCTATGCATCATTGTAAATGCATCAAGTCATCCTAATGACAACATCTGACCTCATCAGTAAGCTACTGTAGTCAGATGTAAACATAAAGAACGTTTATGAATCACCGAACCGTAATCAAAATGATGCGTGCGCAATGTGGACAAATATGCTGTAGATGGCGACTCTGAAAAGTGGAGTTTTCCACTAAAATCCATATTCCTAGGACATTTCACAATATTATTTATAGTAGTGGCAAATAGAAATAACAAAATTTAATCACTACTATCAGACTGAGCGAATGACAGAAAACTTTTCACATTAATTTGAAAATGGTCAAGAAAAACTTAAGATCTTCTGTATTTTAAGGACAGAATGCGGTACCAACGTTTTGTGAGCGTGTGAGTCGTAAATGTAGTTCGTGTACGGGGAATTGTATTCACAAGATCTAGGTTCTAAGAATGTTCAAGTTTAATTTCAGTGGTTGAATTTATCAGGACAAATGGTGTTCTTTTAGTGCCTTGAAAATCGGCTATCATTACCACAAAAGACTAGTGAAATTGACTCTCAAAGTGGGAGATCGTTTCGATTTTGAACGCCGTGAGCAGTGTAACAAACATGGAGAGAAATGACAGTCAAACTACTATTAAGTCTCTGGCAAGTGCCTATGCTGACGCTGATTCAGATCCCGAAAAGGAACCAGAAATTGACACAAGAATATCAGATTCTGACTCTGAACATGGCGATGATCAACCGTTAACAATTAAGACGACGAGTGACTCGGGTGAGGGCGGTGAGGGCCCTCCTGTTAAAAAGCCGAAAAAAGGTAAGTCTCTTCACATCTTGTGATTTGTTGCTGATTTATGTTTAAACATTATTAGTACATCAAAATTAATGTATAAAGTGAATTTATTTCAGGCTACCTGGAATTGTATTCATTCATCGCAAAAACATGGTAAAATGCCCCCCTCATAAGTTCTTAAATTGTCAGCAATTTTTGTTTTACAATTTGAGACAATGATAAGTGTTCCATTGGTGGTTATAAATTTGAGTTGTTATTGCAGTGAACAGGTTGGTATCCTACGCGGCTGATGAAATCGAGGAAAGCAGCGATGAAGAAGAAAAGAAGGAAGATGATGATATGGCAATGCTCAGTGAGATGCAGGTAGATTCATAGTCAATAGAAACTCAATTTTTTTTTACAAATACTTTTTATTTAATATGTTTATTAAGTTAATCAAAAATATGAATATAAACACACATACCTGTAAGCACTGTGATATATCTCCTAAGGTTTTTCCTCTAAAGCTATGTTTCTTCTATTTTTTACTTATTAAATTCATTTGTTTTGCAGGGTGTTGTTGACTATGGAGCATCCATGGACTCTTTAGCAGCATGTAAGATTATAGGTGTACTAAAACACTGAGTGTCAAATTGACCTGAGAACACATTTCTCAAATAATGTTGTTCAGTGCCTAAAACATGAACTGATCAAAGAGATATTGTATAGCACTAAGTCTTTAATTTAAGGGCCAGATATGTATGTGATTTCAGGGAATGTTTTTTAATTTTATTTATTGAATTTATTTTATAAAATTGTTATTATCATCATTGTATTTTGTTTTGAAAATCTTTGATTATGGTTACCCTATTATAAGTCCCCTTGCCTCAGTATTAATATTAATAAAGTAAATGTCTGTCCTTATATTCTGTTTAGCTTCCTTGTCCAGAAGTGTTCAACATTTAAGTGAAGATGAGATTCAGATTCCCCCAGAGCCTCCAGGCAGGTGCTCCAGAGAGTTGCAGGTGTGTGGAGTGGCATGAGGATTGTTTCTACTGAATTAACTCACCTGGTGTCTTCTGTTTGATGACACAGTGTTAACTTTAATAATAGTTTTGGACTGATGAAATAGTTATTAAGCTGAAGAAATTTTCTTGTTAGTGACAATTAGATATACTTTGAGCAATATTCATTTTATTTAAAGTTCATTTGTCAACAGATGCCAACTTCTGAAATCTGTTCTGTTTTTAATTCAGGATTAAATTAGTTGTTTCAAAAGAAAAGATTTTGCTTTCAGGACAGAATTGCAGGTTTGTTTGACTTAATGAATAGAACTGGAGTGGACATGAATGACAAGATACAACGAGAGAAAGACTTCAGAAATCCAAGGTATGCTTTAGTTAAAAAATTAGCCTTTGTTGTTGTTGAAAACATCACTGTGACAAGCTCATTTGTGAGAGAGCAGACATGAATACATAGATTTAGATTTTGTTCAAATAAGAAATGGTCCATTTTAAAAGTATATATAAAATAGTTTGTGACTGATAAAATGAAGCATTTTTATGTCAGCAATAGAAGTACATAGTAACTTGAGAAGTACTGGCTATTTTTTCAGTATCTTTTGCTCTATTTCAGTATATATGCAAAACTGGTAGAATTCTGTGAAATAGATGAAAAGGGAACAAACTATCCACCTGTGAGTAATATTTTAATATCCGTTTAATTTTATTTGATCAAGTTAAAAATGCAAACTCAATTTTTACAGTTTTTTTAATAAGTCTTTATCAGATAACCTTATATTGAGACATGGTAAAGGCTCTGTGGCATATGTAATTTCATCTGTTAACAGCTTTGAAATATGTTATATTTGGAGTGGTATAAATTGGACCTTTTTTTTTTTTTTTCAAAAAATTATGTATTAGGTTATCCATTTCGGGGTTTCCATAGATATTCCACAATATGTAATAGGGTTAAACAAATACCCACATGAAGATGTTGACATAGTTGTATATTTCACAATTTTGCATTTCAATATGAATAATATATGTCAATTTGATGTAAAATTACTGTTTATTCTTCGTCTTTTTCCTGGTCATATGTGGTTCCTCTCTTTCCAGGACATATTTGATCCACATTTTTGGGGCAAAGAGTCATACTATGATGAGCTAGGTAAGAGAAGTCTTGTTGCATTATTACTTGCATTAATAAACTATGTATACTGACAGTCAATGAAAACGCATCATGTATTTATCAAATAATATTTTAAGTTCCTTTGGAACATTAAGAAAATAACAGTTTTCATGTGAAATATGACCCATTATTCAGTCAAACAAGGTGACTCTCTTATGACCAAACAAGTGTATTTGTACCGTATATATGGTTGGAATCAATTCTCAGTAAAAAAGTACAAGAAAGTTTTCTGATGCATTTTCATTGACTGTCAGTATATGTTTGAATAAGTAGACACTCATTGAGTCTGAAATTGTCAGTAATGTGGTTTTTAAGTTGCTTGTATCATTTTCTTATTCAGCTAAGGTTCAGAAAGTTGAAATGGATAAAAAGGAAAGGGAGAAAAAAGAGAAAACCAAGGTAATTTTGAAATTATCATAACTCATCTTTTTAACAGATTGGTCTCCATAACAAACTTAATATTGCTAATGTCATATAAAAATGTAAGATGAAAAATTTAATTTTCCACACATCACCTGAACCTATCATGTAAATGGAAATTGATTGAAAATAATGGAATTATTTTTGATACAATTGTTTTACATAGGTTGAATTTGTGGTTGGAACTGCCAAGAAATCCACTGAGCCAGGTAATGCTCAAACTGGGATTATAGAGGAAAATAAAACATCAGATAAAACGTGTTGATTTCACTGGAAGGGTACACATAGTTGTAAAAACTAGTTTATTGCAAAGAATTATGATATGTGTTCTGTTGCATTGAAACTTGAAAGAAGTGCTTTTCATGACTGGAAGCTTTTAATTTAATAATTATTTTTATCCATTAGTCATCATTACTCTGTCATGTAATTATTATAAAACTTGGAGAATTTATTCAAGTTAATCATTAGGAATAATAAGTTATTGATCAGACAATACCAGTTACATCAAATTGTGCATAAATAGTTACATGAACTTATATGTATGATAAATTTGTTAAGTGTGTCACCTTAAGTACCTCAAAAAACCCTTCAATTCAATTTTAAAATAATGGTATTTATCATCACCATTTTATGAAACAAAAATCCCCACATTCCAGATGACAAGAAGAGGAAGAGCAAGTGGGACGCCCAGCCCCAGGTGTTGTCCACTGCCAGACCAACGGTCATCACCACCACTGTCCTCAACCCCCCTGTAGTCTCCGTCACGACCAGCTCTACGGGTGCCAAGACCACCGTCATCTCAGCCGTGGGTAGCATAACTGCATCAAAGAAGTCCAAGTGATATGATGTGATATGAGACTGCAGGATGGTAGGATACGAGACTTTTGTCAGTGGTAGAATGTCAGTCATTGAAGGATGGCAGATTATGAGTAGTCTGAATAGTAGAATCATACATGGTTAAACTACTTCAAAATGGAAGTAAGTCTCATGATTTTCAGTCCTGCATCATTTGATGGTAGGAATGTAAACAGAAGATGTCCCCTCACACTTTGTGCCCTTCAAGGCTGCCAGCAGAGGGAGCTGATGTAAAGCAGGAGCATCACTGTCTTCACTGAAGAAGTAGTTTCCACACAAGCTATTAAAAGTGCAGATCAACACGGCTGGGATCTATCTACCACAGTTGTATGTGTCACAGTTGTATCTGTCACCTAAAAAGGAAAGCAGGAAATGAGGGACATCTCAGTTGTGTGACACTGCCCAGCTTCACTTAACTGTTGTAAGGGAACGTCACACACACGCCAGAAGTTGGTACAGATGTTTTATGACCAGTTGTCGTAATAAAGCTGTGACTGTGACCAGTTGTGTGTTAAAGAACAAATTGGAGTAACACCAAGAACATCCCTCTGATGTCGTCATTAGATTGTAGTTTTATTATGTTTCAAATAGAGACTGATGCGCTGAATTGTGGTGTTAAAATGGTCCCTTCTTGACACGTGACGAACTGAGATGGCTGACTAGGATATATAGACATTGATGTTTAAATATTGTATAATAACGTAAATGGAAAATATTTTGGTCTATTTTTGATATTTTAAAGAGGATTTTGAAGAGAAGTGTGGGTGAAAAGTACCGTTTCTGTTTAACAGTTATGTTATTTTAACGTTCAGAAAACGCCAGCATGTCTTTAAGTTAGAGAAAGTGACGTGGGCCACATCATTTCACTCTTAAAAACAGAACAACACAGTTAAATGAATTCAATGTGATTGAAATATTGTTGAATAAAATGCCTTAAAGTTGAAAGAAAGTCGTTTGCGATCTGTAACATTTCCTGTTTTTCCCCTCTGCGTATTGGGTCATTTAAGTTTGTGTTCGTAATGACTGATGAGCGATTGAAATTAAAGCGATAACAACTGTTTGTAAGATAACCATATTTCACAATAAATACATTGTAAATAACTCATAGAAATACAATCAATCCTATTTTACCCCCAAAACGGCGGTTCACAATTATTTTGGAATTTGTGCTTGCCATCACATCAGGTGACCTCCATAGATGGCTACACTCTGTAATAATCTCTCCCCCGTTTTTAAGAGATTGTTACAAAAAACAAACTTTTTAGAAAAAAAAAAACGGGGACTAATTTTAAATGTCGAAATAGATTCATTAACCATTGGTAAGTATGGGGAAATTGTCCTTTACCACAGGAAAATTCATTTTTTGGCCAAAATGAACAGTTGTTGTCCCTTTAATTCAAACTGTAAAATTTGTATAGAACGAATTATTCGTGCAAAATATTTCTTTTAATGGGATGTGATTGCGGTTTTGTCAAGTTCCCCTCAATACCCAGTGTCATGTTCAGTTAACGTAGTCAGAACGCCGCTCCCAAACCTCTCCCCCAGTTCCTTTCTGAATTTCTTCCTCACGATCAGCTTTGTCATCCAATCGCCATCATAACCTGGGGTTCGTGAGATCTAATACCAGTGACCACTAATGAGGTGTTCATGTTGTAGCTTGGCATACAATGAAGTTATGTCACGGAATGGTCAACAATTATTTAAGACATTTGCCTCTAAGGCTGTATTCCCAGAGCTTTTAGATCGATCTATCCCCGCGGGGAGTCTCACTAGATTACTGTCAGATAATCCGGCTTAAATGTCCGTCCCGCCTACTACAAGCTGTAAGGGGGTAATTAACTTTCGTGTCCGCCCGGCTGACAGCTATTTAGCGTGAACCCCCAGGGAGTTAGGTCGATCTAAAGTAGATCGATCTAATCTCTGGAAATGGGGTCTAAGATCTCGAGAGGTACCAACCTCTCCCGTTCCACGAGTTGCATTAACGTTGGGCTCGGAGGTTGGGGTGGGGGAAGTGGAGGGAGGTGGGGGTACAGCGTCGCTTGAAATATGCGTCCGTGGAACTTGTATTGAACAGGCAATGACTACACAGTGAACCATCTCGTTCTCTTGTCATCGGATTATAATACCTCGCGCAGACAACTCTTTAGATTTTGAGCAATGCCTAATTAGAATTTAAATGGAAGATGTGTGAAAAAAGGAAAATGAAGTACGGTCCAGCTATTTCTTTCGGACAGATCCCTGACCACTGATAACGAGATGGAATTATTGATTAGAAAATATACAGTGTATACTTGTATATACAGTGTATACTTGGTTCCATCACTTTGTATCCAGATTTATGAACAATCAAAGTATCGTCGCTATCAGATGATTACAGAACTTCATCAAATCTTTTTAATGGGTGGTACCAGGTTTGTAGAACATATGGCGCGTGGAAAAAGTATTTCCCATTGCATGAGATTTGATTGGGGCAAATACCAGCTGTGTTCGGAAACAACTTGTATATTCATCTCTTCCCATAATATTAATTCGCTGCGTTCAATCATTTTGCCCACATATGGAAGTGAGTGAAAGGTCATTAAATTGTCCTTGTGACACAGATGGGTTTAAAAAAGACTGTCCAGGTAAAAACTGTCATTTTAAAATCAGAGTTCAATATTTTAACACCTTTGTCGGGACTTGATAGCAGAGGGCACTGCTTGTGTTTTTGACCAAATAGCCTTGATTGATATTAGAGCAGCGGAATGAGCGACATGGACGAGATAGCCGCCCTGGTCATTGACAACGGTTCTGGGATGTGCAAGGCAGGGTTTGCAGGAGATGATGCTCCCAGAGCTGTGTTCCCTTCTATTGTAGGCCGACCCAGACACCAGGTGAGGAGAAGTTGATACGATATTTGTAAAAACTCTTTCTTGGTGATTATAATTTGAAAGGGAAAAGCCAGTTAGAGGGGCATCAATATATCGATACAGTGGCCGGTGTTTATAATGTCTCTCTGTCTTCGATTTAATTACAATATACGAAGTACTACTCGAGAAATGTATCACTCTAGAAAGCCTATATCAATGATTAAATATATTTCTCGTTGGTAATTTCCATTACTCATTTTATTGAACAGAAAACTGCAAAATTTTTCTTACGTGTTAACCTATAAAGAAGTCTATGATGGTGATTTTCTTCTAATTTAAAGGGTGTCATGGTGGGTATGGGGCAGAAGGACAGCTATGTCGGCGATGAGGCCCAGAGCAAGAGAGGTATCCTCACCCTGAAGTACCCCATTGAACACGGTATCGTCACCAACTGGGACGATATGGAGAAGATCTGGCATCACACCTTCTACAATGAGCTGCGTGTGGCCCCAGAGGAGCACCCAATCCTTCTCACTGAAGCCCCCCTGAACCCCAAAGCTAACCGTGAGAAGATGACTCAGATAATGTTCGAGACTTTCAACACCCCTGCTATGTACGTGGCTATTCAGGCCGTACTGTCTCTATATGCTTCTGGTCGTACCACAGGGATCGTGTTCGACTCGGGAGATGGCGTCACCCACACAGTACCCATCTATGAAGGCTACGCTCTCCCCCACGCCATCCTCCGCATGGACCTGGCTGGGAGGGACCTCACCGACTATCTCATGAAAATTCTCACAGAGCGTGGGTACTCATTCACGACCACAGCCGAAAGAGAGATTGTGCGAGACATTAAGGAGAAATTGTGTTACGTTGCCCTTGATTTCGAGCAGGAGATGGCGACTGCTGCTGCTAGCTCCTCCCTGGAGAAGTGTTATGAACTGCCTGACGGTCAGGTGATCACCATCGGTAACGAGCGGTTCAGGTGCCCGGAGGCGTTGTTCCAGCCGTCGTTCTTGGGCATGGAAGCCGCCGGCATTCACGAGACCACCTTCAACTCCATCATGAAGTGTGACGTAGACATCAGGAAAGATCTGTACGCTAACACTGTGCTGTCCGGGGGGACTTCCATGTACCCAGGGATCGCTGACCGCATGCAGAAAGAGATCACCAACCTGGCCCCGGCCACCATGAAGGTGAAGATCATCGCTCCACCAGAACGGAAATATTCCGTCTGGATAGGCGGCTCCATCTTGGCGTCTCTGTCCACCTTCCAGCAGATGTGGATCAGTAAATTGGAGTATGATGAGTCCGGTCCTGGAATCGTGCACAGAAAATGTTTTTAAAAGAACTCCACGGCTTCAAAGCTAGATTTATGACAATACATTTTAATACAACTGTGAATGAGTTTGTGAAATTTGACTTTCTTTGATACTAGTGGCTTTTGATCACTGGTAGAACTTCATTGGTGATGGTGAGCAGCGGGTATCTATGTATTTATACTAAAACCTGGTTGTGAAGAAGCGTGTTTCCTGGTGGTATTATTTCTGATAATGTTTAAGATGTAAGTTACAATTTCGCCGTTTACTACGTATTCGCAGTGTAAAGCGTGTACATTTGCATGATGAACGAGTAATTATATAAATGTGTTTACAAATATTAATACATTTATGCCGGATCGAATGATTTCCATTGTGTATATAGCTGTTAAAGTTGAAGTTCAATAAAATCTAATACATGGATTCTCAGAGTAAATATTGTTTGTTATAAAACTCAAGCATACAGTTGAAAGGAGAAACAAATCATCCGATTTGTGGAATTAAAAAACTAAATGCTGTAATTAACGAAACCTATAAAACATTCCTTAGCAATTAAAGCTACATCTGTTTAATGGGTGGTCCTTATTTCCGAGAAACAACCTCTTATCATTAAAATTATTCGATTCCACTGTAAGTGTTATCTTTTATTAAAGTGCATAAATCAAGACGCTGAGATTGCCATATGGCTTTTTCCCATGAGTATGGAATAAACAGTTCATCCAAATTTTCAATCCTCAGAGAATTGCAATCGGATCAAGAACTAAGTCAGTTTGATCTCTACAAAGCAGAATAATTTGAGTTAACCATGATTACAATTTTGAAGTCGGCTGTCGTATATGTCACCACTGTTGCATTTGTCTTCGCGGCATTGCGTTTGGTGACACCAGTAAAAGTGCGTTCCTTCACTTTCTCCAGCTCGTCTGGAAGAACGAACCGCATGTTGAGCGACAGTGCGTTAGTTTTACAAGAAATTCAAAACATTTCAGCTGTAGGTTGCGCTTTGAAGTGCCTAGTTACCAGTGGCTGCCGAGCGTTCAACTACGGATCCACGTGCCAGCTTTTATTGAAGGCGGTATGCGATGAGCCCACACTGAAGTTGGACGACAGCGCACGCTACCGGTACTTTGACATTTTGACCAAAAAAGAGGTAGGTTGGCCTTTGACTTCTTAATGGCAGTTATTTCCAGGGTAATCTCTGTATCGGGTAAATTATATATCGGGTATATTTTATCACCAAGTCAATTTTGGGGATTTTGAAATGATAAGCGTATGACCTGTACCTTACGCTCAAACATTGCGTCCTTCAACGCTTTCAAATATTTTCAGAGAAACTTATTGTACAGCGAGGAAAAGAAAGCATCATGTGTACAGCTTGGAAGATGTCTGTCGTTCTGCTCACCTTGAAACACCAGGGGTGGCAGCCGCCGCGTAGGAGCACGAGCAAATTCTGTTCATCGACAACGCCGACCCCACCGACCCTCTGAATATGGGGTTAAAAGAGAAGCACGAAAACAGAGAGCCGTGCAACTGCAAACATTTTGTGAAAGCAAGTTAACTTTGTTTAGGAAATGTAAACTTCTAATGTCAGCTTCCTTTTCTAAAAGGAACAAACGGTCAACAATCTCGGTTCGTACCTGGGAGATCAGCATGAACACGCGATTTCTGTTGTAAATTTTAATGTAATTTTTAAGTCTTCTGTCAGTTGCTTTTTCTGCATGGTTACTTCTCTCAACAGTAGACAGCACGAACAATGCTTTTTACTATTGAGGGATCCTGAGATGATGACACGGAAAATGACTGTAGTTACAGTTGAACTGCTGTCTTTTGAAGAGATCTCGTTGGGAAAAACTCTCCATATGTGACAGTGCACAAATCACCAATATCTTATATTATTGTAAATAAAGCTGACCGTACAACGATGCCTCCGCAATTTACATGTCTAATGATACATTTGAGGCCGATTGTCGGTTTAAAATTATATTAGTCTGTTGTCTTTTTGGCCGATTGCCGGTTTAAGATAATACTTGTTTAGACGTTGATTTACGGGTCAGAAGGAACCAATAGGCGTTGAGAACGTCAAGATATCGTTACACCATACGTAGTAAAACGTCTGATTATAGATATGTCTAAATACCCGGAGGACAGAAAAAGTGTGACTCAGATGACGCCTCAAATGTTTTTTTTCGCCCATCGCCTCACTTTCAAGCAGCCACGTCATGGGACATGGGAAGAGACTTACTTCTCTTGCCTCGGAGTAACTTAAAAATTTCCACAAGCAACATCGGTAGAGGGAGTTGAGGTTTATTGCTGCTATTCTCAGCTCACCAGCCTGGTTGAATCGCAAGATATTTTTGTTCAACAAATTAACTAACAAACCATCCAAAACATCAAGTCTAATCTGTGCAATGTAATGAAAAATACAGGTTAAATATAATAAAAGACACAAATGATTATCAAACCAGTTCTTCTTCCGACTTTGCACTTGGATTGCCTCCACGTGCACGGAAACTGTCCAGGTCTGTTGACCAGCTGGGCATATGTGTCCTCCTCTCTTTTCATCTGCATACATGATCCCCCCGCCAAACTGTGTATGTGTCTGCCATCTTCCGTTTTAGAGTAGTAAGAGGCTGTACCACAGATAAGTTAACTTAGGCCCGGAGCCCCACATTCTCTCCTGGGACTAAGGTTAACTTACAGATGATGAACCTCGCTCTTTTCCTCTCTCATCGATCTCCGTCCCGCCAGTCGGTGGTCCCGCCAGTCGGTGGTCCCCAATGGCTTTCATGGCATCTAAAACTGCGCATTTCTTTTACGTAAACAATCGGAAATTTTACGATTTTATCAACCATTACCGTCAGTTTAAAAAACAACCCCTGTCCGGATTTGACTAAGTTCAGCTTTTGTTGTGCAACAAGGTACATGGAGTCTAGTATGCCTCTGTCGCCATCTTTTCTTTTTTCTTTCCTTTTTTTTTCGCCCTGCGTGGCACATATGAAATAAAGCGAACTCTAAACGACGTCATTCTGTATGCTAAGACAATGCATTGACCTCTTAAACATTTTTTTCAAAGTAAATACCCTTGTCCTGAATACACGGGTCACAACTAATAGCGTTCGTCACGAAAATTGCTAGAAAATTCCTTAAGAGGACAAATGTGATTAATAATCGTAAATTACTTTGGAATTTTAAGAAATAAAAAATATAAAAATGACTTCTTAACAAAAACGTAAGTCCTCTTCGGGAATTAAATATACATTCAATCGATGCAGCACTTTTATAGTTAAAGCTGTTCAAAAACTGACTTTGAGAATATGTTCGTGCGTAAACAAATCAAGGTTTAATATTGATGACGTCTGTCTTGGTATCCCAGGTTTTGCAAGGTTCACTATAAATACCTCATTATATATCACTGTACATATACGCTTGGTAAATTTCCAAACGCCGTTTAACTTGCACAAAGGGTAGGCACACATACACCCTTTTGCGTTTTGATACAACAATCGGGGTTTATTTCGACTATCCTGCTTTTTCCGGGGTTTCAACACTTTCACGTCATTCAACACATACCTTTGTGTCTCTTCCATTATTCAAAAAATTTTGAAAATCGCTGAACAAATGTCAATATGGGAGTGAGAGAGATTTAGGTATTGGTATATTCACTATCTCACTGCTTATTTCAGACCGTTTTTCAGTGTAAAGATTAAATATATTTGAAGTTTCATTAGCTTAAATAGAACCCGTTCAATTTGTCATATCACCGAAATTGTTAAAGTCAAAAACATAAATCAAGACATTCCACTCATTCCAGATTTTATCTCTTCAACAATAATAATCTAATGACTGCTTTCAATATTGATGACTGAAAATAGTTCTGCGATAAAATGGTTCATTTGAAATTTGGAGTAACCTACATGTAGCACCAAAGTGGGCACTTTCCATGTAGACCGAAGTGTATGCGCCCCCTGGCGATGGTGTCAATACTGACTGCAGAAATTTCTAAGCACTTGCAGTCAATTGTGACATCATAATCAGAGACTGGGCATTCTGATCTGCCCGTCCTCTTCATATTTTCCATTATATTAAAATAATTTAGCAGATCAGTAACACGATATAATGAGTCTTATTTGTTGGCAAAATCATTTGTCTTATAAAATACTCTCGTGCATAAAAACATTATTCAATCTAGGGCAGGCTACTTTACATTTACAGCCCCGACAAGAAATCTTTTTCTTTCCTTTGACCCGTTGCAGATCGCGTTATCAGTAGTTTTTTGTGATATCTTGAATAAAAGAACAAATTGTCTGTCCTGTGATTACACCCTTTGAAATCTAATTTGGTTTTCTCTCTCTCTCTCTCTCTCTCTCTCTCTCTCTCTTTCAGTGTCTTTTGCCTCTCTCTCTCTCTCTCTCTCTCTCTCTCTCTCTCTCTCTCTCGTAGAAGTCAGTGGATTGCTCGCCGATCACTTTCAACGCATCCCGCAAGTTATCGCAATCGCAAGTTTCAAAGTCTAAACCTTGGACTACGTTAACTTACAAGTTGTGAAGAAAGTCGGTAGAAGGCAACAGTTAAAGAAAATAACCAACTTAGTAAGAGTTAAAGCCTCGTCAAACGCGCGCTCGCGAAGGCAGATAGTTTCCTTTATAATGTAATAATGTATTCCCGTTTTTTCTCTATACCAGAATACAATAAAACTGCGTCCAGACAATCTCGGTCAAGCACAGCCAATGGCCGCATTTATATCAATTAAACAAGTTTACTTATTATTATTAATTTTAAGAATAAAAAAAAACGCGCTAAGTATAAGACTCTGCACATCAAACACAATATTGTCAAATATCATTTTGGCCAAATAAGCAATGCACAACCTTTAAAAAATAAAGGAATATGAACGAGTGCTTCACTTACTCCTATACCACTTCATTTTAGTAATATTACAACATGGCAATTATTCTATGGGCTAGTCTGAATATGAAAACAATGAAATGTGGTCTAAGGATTGCAGTGGTCGCATAGTTGGCATAGGTTTACGCTGACTTGCCATAAATCGTCTGGAGGGCCTATTGCCTATACATTATTCAAATACACATCGTACCTATTTTCATCTTCGTCTTTGCTGTGGTCAATGAATTGTAAGTTATCCAATGCAGAACAGAGAAATTACTTTTTAAAGCATTATTTCACTAAATCAAACCATTTTAGGTAAAACTTATTTCATTTTCCTTGGGGACCACTGAATTCTCACGAGAAATGCTAGTTATTGTGGCCAGGTTCAATGTTAGTGGCATGAAGCGTCGTAAACTGCCGAGGCCCGAGGCATTGGTGCTACCGCCACCACTACGAGAGGCATGGTACGGCTGCGATATCCCACCACCGATGATAAACAATAAAATAATT